GCCGCTGGCACCCCCAGCGCCTCCCCAGCCGGTACCACACTCGCAGCAAGCGCCCCAAGTGCCGGACCCGCTGTCCCTGCCCCCGCTGCCTCTTGAGATAGCCCGGCAGAAGCCACGGCTGCAGCTCCTGTAGCAGCAGCAGCTGCTGCACCGTCTACGGCATCGTTGTCATCGTCAATGTCGCCAGCACTCTGGTGCCCCTCACCCAAGGTAGAGCTCTCGCTTGCCTCCATACCATCATCGCTACGGGTGCTGCCGCTGCTGGTGCTCGTGGCAGTGCCGTTGCTGCCGCTGCCAGTACTTCCGCCACCACCGCTGCTGCTGCTGCCGCCTTCATCACCATCCTCACCATTACCAGCACCAACCACATCACCATCAGCCTCCTGGTTCCCTGCCCCCCGCGTCCTCGTGGAGACTGCGGCATGGGGGCTGGCCTCCACGGCTGACTGCGACGGCGTGCCAGGCCGGGGCACCTGACCCCCGCTGGGGGGGCCAGGCGCCCGACCTCCAGCGGGGACATGAAAGGCAGCAGCGGCGACAGCAGCGCCAGCGGAAGCATCGTCCCCAGAAGACGACGACGATACATCACCTCCACTGCTGCTGCCACTGCTTGTGTCGCCTCCGCTGCTAGTGCCGCTGCTGTCGCTGTCCGTACCGCTGCTGTCTGTCGTGGTGGTGCTGTGAAGTGCAGCAGCGGCTGCACCAGCATCACCAGCACCAGCAGCGGCTGCACCAGCATCACCAGCACCAGCAGCGCCTGCACCAGCATCACCAGCACCAGCAGCGGCTGCGCCAGCATCACCAGCACCAGCAGCGGCTGCACCAGCATCACCAGCACCAGCAGCGGCTGCACCAGCGTGCATGTTTACAACATGCCCGACATCGCCTACAAAGGGGGCGGCTCTAGGAGGCGACGGGGAGTGGCCATCCTCCCCGCTGCTACTGCCGCTAGAGAGGCTGCCGCTGCTGCCGCTGCTAGTGCTACCGCTGCCACTGCTGTCGGATGTAGCACTGCTGGGAACGCAAGGAGCCACGTAGCCAGCGGGGGCGGCAACAGCAGCAGCCCTGCGCCTCGCGCCAGCAGCAACACGGGCAGCGGTGCAATCCTCAGCAGCAGCAGCGGGAGCAGCAGCGGGAGCATTGTTTACACCCGCGGAAGGAGTATCTCCGGAAGACGAGGAGTCATCAGTGTTGTCGCTGTCACTATCACTGTCACTGCCGCTGCTACTGCTGCTGGTGCTTTCCGTACCACTGCTGCCGTCTGTTGTGGAAATGCTGCTTAGGACACCCGGTGCCTCCAAACCCCCAACTGGAGCTAGTTCGGCAGCAGCAGCAGCAGCGGTGACATCACGTGCAACGTCATTACGGACGTTGACAACGGCGGAAGGGGTAGCATCAAAAGAAGACGACGGCGGTTCATCTCCGCTGCCACTGCTAGTGCCGCCGCTGCCGCTGCTAGTGCCGCTGCTGCCACTGCTAGTGCCGCTGCTGCTGTCGCTGCTAGTGCCGCTGCTGCTGCCACTGCTGCTGCTGCTCGCACCTTCCGTACTGCTGCTGTCCGTCGTAGCGCTGGGGGCGCCGGGCGACTCAAGATTAACGGGTGCTGGGTCAGTGTCCAGTCGGAAGGGTACGGGGTCAGCCTCAGCAACGGCAGCAACAGCGACGTTAGGGCCGGCGGAAGGGGTCGAGCCAAAACAAGAGGACGGGGATTCATCTCCGCTGCTGCCGCTGCTAGTGCCGCTGCTGCTAGTGCCACTGCTGCTGCTAGTGCCACTGCTGCTGCTAGTGCCGCTGCTGCTGCCGCTGCTGCTGCTGCTGTCCGATGTGGCGTTGGAGGTGGTGCCACTGGTTGAGGGGCTGCCACCGCTGCTACTGCTGCTGCCCGTGGTGCCGCTACTGCTGGTGCTGGTGGTGGTGGTGGCAGTGGTGGTGCCAGAACCGCTACTGCCGCTGCTACTTGTGTCAGAGCTGCCGCCGCTGCTGCTGCTGTCGTCAGTGCTACTGCTTGTGGTGTCGGAGACAGGGCTGCCGACGACGCCACCCGCCGGGATAACGCCACCGCCGCCACTGCTAGTACCAAGCACACCGGCGTCCCGACTGCCACCACCGGCGCTCACTCCACTGCTGCTCTCACCACTGCTGCTGCTGCTGCTGTCACTTGTGGTACCGGACGAACCATCACCGCTACTGCTGCTACCCTCGCTATCGGAATCGTCAGAGGTAGTGTCACTCCCACTGCTGCTGCTGCTACTGCTCGTAGTGCCGCTGCCGCTGCTGCTAGCCGTGGTGCCACTGCAGCTACCAACAGGAAGCTCCCCCTCGCGTCCATTCACCTCCCCATTGCGTGGTCCCCGCTGCGGCGGCGGCGAAGCAGATGCGGCGGACAGGGCGGGTTGCGGCAGGGGCGGTGAGCCCGCATCCGCACCAGCAGCAGTAGCAGCAGCCCCGTAGCAGTCAAGATGGAATAACTCGTCAACTTGATTGTAATGGTCGAGGTGGTTAATGTGGTTGGCACCAGGCATCGCTGCCGCTGCCGCCGCAGCGGCTGCAGCTACGGCAGTAGCAGCAGCACTGGCAGCGGCAGCAGCAGCAGTAGCAGCAGCCGCGGGCCCCAGGAGGCCCTCATTGCGAGCCACTGGAGGTCCCTGGGGCAATGCGGGGGAGGGGCGCCTCATGCTCAGCAACCGCGCAGGAGGACGCAAGACGGCGTATTGTTATAACTCTGTTAAGGAATGCCCCATCTCGTGACAGTAAGCGCTCGCAATCCTTGACGCTCAACTCGCGGATATCAGCAACACCGACAACCAGGCATCGAGGTTCAAACGTGCAACGCAGTTTTGCATAAGGGGCAGTAGTACCTGCTCCACACGGCGTGCACCACTTACCTTCCTCCTCATCTCCGGTGCCTTCACCGCTCGACTCGGACTGCGCCTCATCCCCACTTCCAGAGCTGCTGCTACCGCCGCTACTGCTACCGCTGCTTCCACTGCTGTCCGCCGCCTTCGCAGCAGCAGTCTCGGCAGCAGCAGCTGTTGCACCCTCGATCACCTGTGGAACTGCGACAGTCGCATCTTCATCCTCATCGCTACCGCTTCCACTGCTGTCGCCGCTGTCTTCACTGCCGCTGCCGCCACCGCTACTGTTACTGCTCGACTCACTCCCGCTGCCACTGCTGGTGCCGCTGGGAGAGTGGCTTCTCGCCTCAGCAGCATTCTCAACCCCCGCCGCAGCAGCAGCGGCGGGGCCGGCAGCAGCAGTGGCTGGCGGTGCTGCTTCTGCCATTGCAACGTCTTGCGGAGAGCCCTCCTGCTCATCATCAGCGCTGCCGCTGCTTGTGCTGCCGCTTGACGCGGAGTCGCCACCGCTAGAAGAAGAGCCGTCACCGCTGCTGCTGTCGTCGCTGCTACTGCTGCTAGTGGTGGCTTCCTTCACAGCAGCAGCCTCAACAGCTGCAGCGGGCGCGGAGTCAGCAGGGACGCCTTGCTCCTCCGCCTTGGGAGCCGCCGCCTCCTCCTCACCATCACCGCTCTCACTACCGCTGCCTCTGCTACTAGACTCGCTGCCCTCACCATCTTCATCACCGCCACCGCTTTCACTGCTGCTGCTGCTCTCACTGCCCTCGGAAGAGGAGGACGCTTCCTCCTCCTTCCCGTCAGCTCCTCCATCCGCCGTAACCACCACCTCGGGCGCCGCCACCACCGCAGCCGCAGTCTCCGGAGCTCCGGAACCCGTCTGGGTGGACGGTGGGTTCTGCTGATGTTGCCCTTGATCCTCCTCAGCTGCCGCCCCCTCCTCCTCACCGCTGCTGCTGCTGCTGCTGCTGCTGCTGCTACTGCTGGTGTCACTGTCACTGCCATCGCCGCTGCTACCGCTACCGGAGCTGCTACTACTGCTGCTGCTGCTGCTCGTGGCTTCCGACTGCTCCTCCGCTCCATCCATTGCCACTTCTGGAGCCTCAGCAACAGCATCGGGAACAGCAACAGCAGCCGGAACAGCAGCAGCAGCCGGAGCAGCGGCAGCGTTAGAGCCGTCCTCGCCACCCTTAGCCCCCACTTCCTCCTCATCCCCGCTGCTCCCGCTGCCGCTCTCACTACCACTGCCGCTGCCGGCACTGCTTTCGCTGCTTCCGCTACTGCTCGAGTCCGCGCTGCTGCTACTGCTGCTGCTACCGCCCTCAGATTCCTTCCCCTCCTTGGCGTCTGCGTCCTGCATCTCCACGTCACCGTTAGCAGCGGCAGCGGCGGTATCAGCAGCAGCCCCAGCCTCCTCCCGATCAGATCCCTCGCTGCTACTGCCGCTGCTGGCACTCGAACTGCTGCCGCTGCTAGTACCACTGCCGCTGCTATCACCACTGCCACTGCCACTGCTGCTACTAGAACCGCTGCCATGACTGCTGTCGCGGGCGGCACCACCACCACCACCCGCAGCAGCACCACCAGTAGCACCAGCCGCCGTGGTCGGAGCAGCCGTCGTTGCTGCAGCACCATTGGCAGCAGTAGCAGCAGCGACCTTGCGGGGGACGGCCGCAGTACCATTGGCCGGGGCAGCAGCACCAGCACCACCAGCAGCTGCCGCAGCGGCACCACCGGATGGTGCGGCGACAGCGGCCGCTGCAGTCTTTACCACATGCAGACCGTACCTGGGGGAAAGGGGCAAGGAGGGGGCGGGAGGGACTTCAGCCAGGATTCAAGTCAGCTTCTCTTCATGCGAGTGCAGTGCATCATACACGGCCTCAAACCCAAGGGCCTGTTTCACAGCCACCTAATGCACGCCCGGGACAGACCCTCTGGCAGCCAGCAGCCCCTCTGCGCACCCTCTCCCTCCCACGCACTTGTTGACAGTCTGCCTTGCCGCTGCCGCCAACGCACGTCCTCGGCTCTGAAGCGCCTGACACCGGTGCTCCAAATCAGCTGCCGACGGCGGCGCCTTCGCTGCTGCAGCCGGGTCTGAAGGACCCGCACCGCCAGCAGCAGCACCACCACTGCTCCTGTTTCCGTTACCGCTAACGGTCGACGCGCCGCCGCCGCTGCTGCTGCCGTTCCTACCACTGACAGCGGCCGCAGTCGCGCCAGCGCAAGCCGCCGCAAACTCCTCCGCGTCCCCCAACAGCAGGTACAGCTGCGAGACAACCGCCTGCATCTCGTTTGCAAGCGCCGGGTCCATGCCGGGATGCAACGCCAGCGCTGTCGTTGCCAAATGAGGCAACATGAACGACGTCAGCTTGTGCAGCGGCGGCAGCACCGCCTCAGCTACAACCTTGGCGGCGCGGAGGGACATGCCGTACGGCGTCTGTACGTTTGGAAGTACGGCAGGGAGCAGAGTGCTGACGACGGCGACGGTCTGCGGAGTGATGACGGAGGCGGCGGCGGCAGCGGGGGACGGACGGGGTGCCGCTGCTTGCGCAGCGGCAGTGGCGGCGGTGGCCGCAGGTGGAGGAGCCGCCGCCGCTGCCGCTGATCCGTTGGCGCCTTTAGCGGCTGTGTTTGTACCGTTGGCGGCTGCGCTTGTGCCGATAGCGGCGGCGCTCGTACCGTTAGCGACGGCGGTTGTGCCGTTAGCGGCGGCTGTCTGGGCGGGCTGAATTGCGGGTGACTTCTCCTCGGCTGTTGACATTGCCGGTTTGGAGAGGGAGGGGTGGCCAGCCTCCTGTGGATGCCGGGAAGAGACCCATGGGACATAACCGCCATCCGGTCAGGCTTTCAAGCAATCAAGGTACGGGAAGCGGTGGACCACGCATCTCGTAACAGCAAAAACGTTTCCAGGCACCAACTGATGTACAAATCATACTCCTACCTCCCAAGCTCCTGTATGTACGAATACGACCAAACAAGCGCAGCCGGTCATCACGCCAACATGAGCTGTCCTCCGAACAAGTCCTCAACCCCTCAAACGTCCTCACCCGAAGCAACGCCACGGCGCTAGGCAGCTCCCCCAGTAGCGCCACCGCCGCCGCCGCGCCGCCTGCCACCAGCACCCCGGGGTCCACCCCTTGCGGTAGCTGCTGCGTCCTGGCGCGAGACTTGAGGCGCTTCCAGGGCTGCGGCTGGAAGATTACGTCGTGCAGGTACGACAGTGCCGTACACACGCGGTTGAGATCCGTGACCGCAACGGGTGATGGTGATGGCGCTGATGGTGCTGCAGGAGCGGACGCAGTGTCGGCCTCCCAGGGTAGCACCTGTTGGGGTCACATGCGCAGAAAGGTTGCGGTTTGGGCTCACGATCGGGTATACGGTGTTTTCCATGTCAACGGTAAAGCAGTGACGGTGAAAGTTATCACGGCAGCACTGGCTGAATGCAGCGGCCATGAGACATGCCATCCACGAGATGCAGAAGAAGACGCCGCAGAGAGCACCCAAAACATCTTGCACCATTAGTACAACACAACTGCATTGCGTTTAAAGCCTGCCTATTCCCCTGGCAACAGATCCCCTTCAGCCCACCTCCAGCACGTTGGGCCGCACTGCTGGCTCCCAGGCGGTCCTCCGCTCGTCCAGAATGACAGTCAGCGCCGCCGGCGGGACACCCAGGCCGCCCTCCCGGCCTTGGCCCACGTCAGCGCCCGTGGTGGCGTCCTGCATGGCCACGTCACCGCCGCCGCCGCTGCCCTCGGACTCCGTACCGACAATCCTGGGAATCAGGAATCAGGGAAAGGGGCCCCGAAGGGGTACAAAACACGTATGGATCGAGGATTTGCATGGGCAGGTTTCCGGACATCCACAAGAAGACACGCCCTTTCAGGAAATCCCTATTGCTAAACCTCAAACCACGCCACAGCACCGTGTACAACCAACCTTGGGAGTCGCTTCTTCACGAGGCCAATCCTCCGGCCGCCCACCTCCTGCAGCTGCTGCTGCCCCCGATGTGCCAGCCGCGGCAACAACTCATCCGCCGGTACGACATCTCCCTCAGGATCCAAGACCTGCCACAACGCCATCGCCGAATCCACGTCGCGATCCGGGGAGATCCAGGGAAGGAAGTCGAACAGCCGCGATCGCGCCTCCGCGGCCGCACCCTCTTCTGCCGCTGCAGCGGCTTGTGCTGCCCTCCGAGCCTTTTTGGCGTTGCCTTTCTTCGCAGCGACCTCCTCGCCTCCGTTGGCGGCGGCGCCGCCGTCACCATCCCCACCTGCTTCCGTTGTCGACGCAGCTAGCAGCTTCCCGGCCAGCATGTCTTGGAGCTGCTGCCAGTACGGCCGAACCCGTACGAGCATGCTGGTTTCGGGGCGCTTGGGATCCGCTCGCGTCAGCGCAATGACAGCCGCAGCACTGCTGCTGCTGCTACTGCCGGCGTCAGCAGCGGTAGCAGGGGTCGCATTCGCATCCGAGGGGGTGGTGAGGGGGATGCGGATGACGGGACGTTTGACGACACCGCCGCCGCCGCCGGGCCGCGGAGCCCTCTCCAACCTGCGGGGCGTCAGAAGGGGGGGTACTGAATGCGTTACGTCAGAAGGGGGGGTACTGAATGCGTTACGTCAGAAGGGGGGGTACTGAATGCGTTACATCGTAGCCGCATCGTACTACATGTACAGCTATCAGCATCAAAAGAGGATGGACGATAATGGAGAAGCTTATTCGTCACAAACTAGCAGTCTGTACCATACCACAGTTGACAGACGGTAGCCTGGTCCAAAGCTACAAGCCACCTGCACAAGCAACGTATGACTGCCCTCCCGACCCGCCCACCTGGCCTTGTGCTCCCGGCCTCCATACGTAACGGCCTTCGACTCCACATACTCTCGCAGCAAACGGAGGTCCTCCTGCACACGCTTCATGTACGACACAGCCGCTGCTACAGCCGCCCGAAGACGTGCGACAGTCGGATCCTCACCATCCGCCGCACCCGCAGCAGCAGCCGCCGCGTTGGGCCCCGCGCCCTCGCCCTCGCCGGCATTACCGACAGCGGCGCTGCTGCCGCCGTCGCCTTGAAGTCGCCTCTTCTTCTTGCCTCGCTGCGTGTCAGCAGCCTCATCCTCAGCCGCTGCTGCCTCACGGGGCCTGCGGCCACCGGCGCTCGGCTGTTGTTGTTGTTGCTTTTGCTGGGCGGCGAGTGCCGCGTTCAGTTCACCTCGTAGCGATTTGCTGCACGCGGGAACCAATGTACCGTATCGTGGGGTGGTGGTATTGGGGCGGAGTCAGCGCACATGATTGGGATGCATGGGGCTCCCTGGAGCGAAACGAGGTTTCGCCAGGGTGAGAGCAACAGCAGCAGCAATAGCAGATTAAGGTAACCCTCATTCTATACTTGCACTACGGGGCTTTTACCCTGTGCACCCACCCAGCCACCCACCCCCACCCACCCCGACCCACCACCTCGTCTTGGCCGCCGCCAACTCCTCCTCGAGCTGCTGTACCGTGTACGACCGCACAATCGGTCCGTCGTTCTCCACGCTCGCCACCACCGCCAGGCGCCGCTCCCGCAGCGCCCTCAGCGCCGCTGCGGCCGCCCCCGCCGGCAGCACATAGCCCCAGAACACCGGCCCCGCTTCCGCTTCCGCTGCTGCCTCCGCATGCTGCCGCTGCGCCTCCTGGGCTGCAAGCGGCACCAGGAACAACTCCACGGCTTCTGTGGCTTCGGCCGCTACTGCCGGGACCGCTGCCTGGCGTTGCTGCCCGTTTGCCCCTTGAGTCGCCTTTGGCAGGAGGCTCAGGGGGGCCCTCAGGGCGCTGCGGCCCTCCAAGCAGGCCGCATGCGCCTCCTGGAGGGCTGCCCGGGCCCTGTGGTGGTGGTGCAGGAAGAGGAGAAAGGAAATACTCGAGAGGGGGGTGATGAGGGGGTGTTGGCGAGTCACGAACCATGTGACACGGCTGTAGTGGTGGAGATCTGGTGGTGAATTGCAGGGGATGCGAGGGTTTGGACACATGGCCTCCTTGGCGGGTACGGACACATGGCTCGCATGCACGCACCTCTGCACGGCCCTCTGCTGCTTCTTTTTCCCGGGCTGTGGCTGCTGGTCCTCTTGCTCCGAGGGCGGCATGAGCCGCAGCTGGGTTCCGCGACCTGAGGGGACGTAAAGGTAGCCGGAGGGAGGTTTCGGAGGATGGTTTGGTGGTGGGCGATAAAAGTGGGGTCGGGGTAGGGTCAGGCATAGGGAACCGATTCGTCGGTTGGGTTGGATGGACATGGGGCTTGCTTAGCTGGGGCGATCAGGCAGGATCACACGACCGACGTGCGTTATGGATGTAGAAGAATAGGTATTATGTCGGAGAGGTATGGTACGGACGTCCATGGGAAAGGGCACAAGGGCCGGGGATAGCTGGGGATGGTGGCATTGAAAGCAGGCCGGACAGGCAAGAGCAGGATTGGCGCCAACCCAACCCGCTGGCGCACCGTTGCTTGCAAGGTGCAGAACCGCCAAAGGAGCGATTGGTTTGGTGCTCCTGTGAGGTTAAATAATTGCGTTTTTGTAATCAGCAGGGCGCACGGATGGCGCCCTTGCATCGCGACTTAACGCCAAAAGGATAATTTGCAAGGCATTACTGCTTACCAGTATGAGGCCACATTGATTAAACCCGCCGCCGATTTGAGAAGCCTCTTGCCAAAGGCATTCTCGTCGACTGTGACGCAACATGTCAGATCCTGTTGCCCAGGAGCCAAGCATAGCCGCAAATTGTGTTTCATTTGTGCTAGCCCAAATATACGCGTCTGTGAGCAAGCGCCGCCGTCTGGCCCGTTTTAGCGGGCCTTCCTGGCTATGGCCTACTTATGTAAGTCCAGTGCTCTGCCATGAAAACAAAAAGGAAATGACTTATTTTTTGTCTTATCAAAGTCGCGAGTCCAGCACAATTTGAGCTGTGGTCGATATTCCCGTACAAAGCAGTAGTAGTGTGACACGGTGCGTGAATGTGCCCTGCCGAACTGCAGTCAGCCATTAATTCACACTAAAGGATTGCTTCACATCGTACTGCCCAACGGACTTGCATACACAGCTCAAACTATACATTATGACTCGGCTATCAGGCGCAACCCGGAGGGTCTTTCAAAACACAATATGATAGTCAAGAAGAGCAGTAGGACATTTACAAGACTTGCGGCAATATTGCAGCAGAGGCGAAAAGCAGCTGGGGCGACCCTCCCACCCAGGGCGCAGCTCGCTTTGCATCAAGACAGCTCAGCACCTATACCAAGTATTCAAACCGCATTCCGCAAATCTTTGGACACAAGCCAGGAGGCCGTAAAGACCCGCGGGCCTGATGGACAGTCGCCTTTCAAGCGCACGCTCCTGCGCTGATTTCCTGAAATGGATGGCCGATGAAGCTGAAAAAGCAAGGAACGGCCATGCCATGAAGCTACTTGGCGTGCCGCTTGCCAAGGCAACGCAGGGTAAGGGAGTGTCTGCGCCGTGTATGTTGCTTGCGTGCACTTTGCACCGCTTCCTCTTATCTTCTCCATCCTCGTTTCTGTGTTCGATAACCATGCAATTCTTCACATACGCGGTTCAAATGCCGGATTTAACAGTCACTCATGTAAACGATGCGGTGTTAACTCGCGCCTTACTACGATGCTGATGGCGTGGTATACCCCCACCCGAATCTCTCATGTCACCTTTTTTGCCCTCCCCGCCCCTCCATCGCCCCGCGCAGCTGCCAGCGCCGATCCGCAGCAACCCTCGCCCTTGCACCCGCATCCACACCCCTTGGCTGCCGACGCTGACACCACTGGCGGCCGGAAACCCCAGCAGCCTGACGTCCTAACAGACGCCACTGCGGCTCCTCCTCCTCCTCATTCCCCGGGAGGCAACACAGCTGCAGCGGATCCCGCGACTGCCGCAGCATCGCCGATCCCGAGCCCCCACACCGAATGGGTGCTCTCCCCAGAGCCCGACACGCCGCCGCGTGTGGTTGCGGCTGCAGGTGCTTCCGTCTCCCCGACGGCAGCCAGGGCGGGGGCAGCGGCGGCGGCGGCTAAGACCTACCCGGGGGAGTTGTGCACGGCGGCGGGGGTACCGGAGGAGGGCAGCGCGGGCGCGGGCGGTCAACCTGATGCCGGAGGCTTGCAGGTGACGGAGTCGTGCGGCGGAGGCAGAGGGGGAGGCGGTGGCGGCGGTACGGCCTGTAGCGGCGGAGGCGTCGGAGCAGGAGGAGGAGAAGCCAACGCAGCTGCCGAAACCGGAGGCGACGGAGGCGGAGGCGGGGGAGCCGCGGGGCCGCCGCCTGGCGGCGCTGACGGCGACAAGCCGGGTGGCGGCGCTGACGGAGGCAGTGGCGGCGACGCCAGCGCCGCCGCCGCGCCGTCGGGGAAGCAGCCAACCACTGTTTTCACCGTCCGGTCGCGTACAGGCGAGCTGTACCTTACATGTCAAATAGCAGAGGTGCTGTTTCCGGCGGCGTTCGAGGAGATCACCTCCGCCGCCGGGCACCGGAGCCCTTCCGCCTCCGCCGCAGCCACCGCTGGCCCTACTGCCGACGCAGACGCCGCCCCCGCCTCCTCAGCTATTGCAGCGGGTCAAGGCCACCAGCCCTCCGTACCGGACCTCAGCAGCGGCGGCGGCGATGATGGCGCCGGCGGCAAGTGCTCGCCCCACTCCCAGGCGCCTCACGCGGAGGTGAGGCTCTTCTATGAGGTGGCGGAGGCGGCGCACGGGGGCACCGGCGGCGGTGATGCGTCGGCGGTGCAGGCAGCGGCGGCGGAGGGTGCGAAAGCCGCGGCCCCAGCGGCTTACGACAGCAGCCGCGTCGCTCGCTTGCGTGATTGTACGGCACGCCTTGTGTCGTACAACCGCTCCACCTGGCGGCTGCACGACATAGCTGGAATGCTGGCGGAATTGGGCGTGAGCGGTGAGCACGGTCGTGTGGCGCTGTGGCGCGATGAAGGGGCCAGGGTGCGGGTTGTGAAGGCGACGGTGGCGGACGAGGAGCCGGTCGCTGATGCTGCTTCCGCCGGTCAGGACTTGAAGCCGCTGGCTTCGCAGCAGCAACAGCAGCAGCGGATGGAGCAGCAGCAGCAACAACAGCGGAAGGAGCAGCAGCAGAGGCCGCAGGCGAAGGTGGCTGCTCTGCTTCTGGCGTCCTTTCCTCGACGGCGCCTGATGGTGAAGGGCGGGGGCTCCTCCGAAGCCGCCGCCAACGCTGCGGCCCGTGCGATCGCCGGCAGCAACGCCGCCTCGGTTGGGGAGGAGCTGCCTGCCTGCCGCCGCGCTGATGGTGGTGGTGCACCTGGTAACGGTGGCAGCGGCGGTGGTGGCGGCAGTAGGGAGGGGAGGAGAAGCTCCGAAGCTGCTGCTGACATCACTGCCGCCGACGCTGCCGTCGAGGCCGGCGGCGCCGGCACCAGCAATGCTGTCATCGCGGTCGGCGGCGACGCGAACCCCAGCAAGGAGTCCGCCGGCGGCGACATACAGCACGCTCCCGACGCCGCGGCCGGCAGTGGCGACGCCAACACCGCGGACGGCAGCGCCGACGGCGACAGCCGGAGCCCTTCACGTCGGGGTCGTCGATGCAAGCTCGAGTACATCCCACACCAAGCCGCACAGCAGTCCCTGTTCGTGACCAACCGCATGCTGACCTCCAGCCAACACGTGGTTCTACGTAAGGACCTCGCCTACAGCTTGTTCGGCAACCTCATTGCGGCTGTGGGGGCTGGCCAGGACGTGGAGCTGGAAATGTTGGACGAGCAGGAGGGCTGCCGACCCGTGGGTCTCATCTTCCGGGGCTACCATAACAACGCGGCCACCGACTGCGCCGTTTGGACGCTTAAGTGGCTGCATGCCTGGGTGAGGCTGAGGAAGGCACGTGAGGGGGATGAGGTTCGGATACGGCGAAGCGCGGCAGTGGAGGCGGTCGGCGCTGGCGGCGGTGGAGGTGGCGTCGGCAGCGCTGACGCTAGGGAGGAAGAGAGGGGTGACGGAGGCACTGGTAGCGGAGGTGGCGGTGACGGCAGCGGCAGCGTTGCTGCCGTCAGCAAGCAGCATCGGTACTATATATCGCTGCATTCTGCTTTGTCTGGCGGCTGCTTAGGCTTGGAGGGAGACCGGAGGTGTCGCAGAGCTACGGCGGTGCGTGCGGCTCGTGCGGTGGCGGCGGAGGCGCGTGCGGTCGAGGATGATGACGGGGACGAGGAGGAGGAAGGCGAGGAAGAGGAAGCGGAAGAGGATGAGAAAGAAGAGGATGAGGAAGGAGCAGAGGAGGACGACGAGGAGGAGGAGGAGGAAAAGCAGCAGCGGCAGCAGCAGCGGCGGCGGCCTCCTCAAAGGCTGCATGCTGCTAGCGTAAGCGGAGGTGGCGGCAGCCGTACGGAGGCGTGCTGGGAGGTAACGGAGGGCATGTTGAACGGCAAGTTCTTCTCATTCATGCTGAAGGCGGATCTCCTGAGCGGCATCTTTGCTGACGTCATCGCCGGAAAGCCCACCAACGTAGACGTCCCCCTGCGCGCGTTTGAAGGTCAGGAAGATGAAGAGGAGGAGGAAGAGGAGGGCGAGGAGGGGGCGGGAGGCCAGCAACAGCAGCAGCAGAAGAAGGGCGGGAGGCAAGGAGGGGGGAGCGGAAGCAGCAGCCACAAGCGACCCGTGGGTCTGACGCTTCGAGGCTCCGCCCGGGGGCACTCCACGGAGCCTAACTGGTGCATGAAGGATCTTGTGAATTGGCTGCGAGATAAGGATGCACGGGTGGGGGATGTGGTGCGCTTTCGCAGAAGCGACGGTGGGGCCACCGACGCCGGTGGTGAGGCCGGCGGCGACGCCGGGCCGACGTTTTGGATATCCCTTAAGCGACGAAAAGCTGGAACGGTGAGTGGCGGCGATGGCAGTGGCGCAGCAGCGGCGGTGGTGGCTGGGCTTAGCAGTGCCACGGCAGGGGCAGGAACGGGCGGCGCGCGTCGGACGAGGCGGAAGAAGGAAGACGGCGGCGAGGAGGATGCTTCCCTTCCTCCTCCAGCTGCTTCTGCTGCGCCTTCCGCCAATACCGCCGCACCGGAGGCTGCAGCAGCTTCCCTCTTTCCGCACCTCCCCGCCGCCTCAATCACCCACCTTCATGGCTACACACCGCAGTCGCCCTCGCAGCACCCGCCGCCGCCCCAGCCGGGCGAGCTGCGAGTGTGCGGCCTCACCTTCCACCCGGACATTGCTGGCCGGGTTCACGCCCGCATGCAGCAGTGGTGCTCGGAGGTACTGAAGAAGGAACGTAAGGCCTCCCTGGAGGAGTTGTTGCCGCACAAATACCAGATCTGGATCCCGGGTATTAGTAATGACCCGGCGACTGCGACCGCCGCCGGCGGCTGCGCCGCCGCAGCGTTGCCTCCAGCGTTGCAACAAGGCGGCGTTGATAACCCATGGGTCACGGTCTTCCGCGAGAACGGCCTCAGCAGCAGCATCATATGCCATCGGCTAGCGGAGCGGCTAGAGCTGACCTGCACACTCGGGTACGGCAATCGGCTGCCAGAGGGACCCGTGGGTCCGTCGCCGGGGTCAGTGGAGGTACGCCGCGACCCAGATCGTGGCGGCTTGGGACTGTTCGCGACGGTTCACCTTCGCCGCAGCGCCGTCATTTGCAGCCTGGCGAGTTACGTCATGCCGGCGGACACCGCTAGCAAGAGCTTCATGGAGATCGGGTTGGCGAAGCTGAGGCCCGAAGTACGACAGGATCTTGGTCGCCACTGCGGCGACGGCGGCGGCAATGTGGATGCAGCGGTCGCCTGGGGATTCCTGACGAGATCTTTCAGAGTCTCCCTCACAGGCCCTACGGGGCTGGTGAGAAATGCGGCGACCTTTGCTCCTGGTGAGACGGGTACAGCGGCGGGAGGCAAAGCTTTTATGCGCGAGCCCCGATCCGACAATTGTACTTGGAATGTCGTACCGTTGTCTTTGTCCCTCATGTTCCTCATGCCACTGAGACGTCCTCTCGTACCTGTTCTGTGTCGTACATGCACTTGTCATACCCCCCAGACCTGCCGTCGCTGGACCTGCACATGCTGGGGTACGGCAACGAGGGAGCGCTTGTGAACGACCCACGGGTCAATCCGTGGACCGAGACCGTGCAGCAGCATCAGCAACAGCTCCAGGAGCCCCAGCAGCAGCCATCAGCGCGTGCTTACGCTGCTGCCAACTGTCTGGTGAGGGCGTTTGGTGGGTGGGGTGCTAGGGGTTGAGTTGGGTGTTTGGAACCCAAATTGATGCTTCCAGTCTTCCCATGCACACGTGCTCCTAAGCCCCTGTACCCTTCCCTCTCCCTCTTCCTTCCTTCACTTCCTCCTTGCTCCACCTTTCTCCCTACGTTTCCTCCTCGTTCCCCCGCAGCTGCTCCCTGTATTCGTCCGCGGCCTGCTGCTGCCGGTGCTGGTCACCAACCGCGACATCGCTCCCGGCGAGCAACTCACTCGCGACTACGGAGCCGACTGGTGGCGCCACATCCTGCCTGACTGGGAGCTGCTAGCAGACTTTGGCGTCAGTCTGACAGCCGTATTGTACGGCAAGAACCACAAGGCGGTGCTGGAGTCGTACCCGCCGTACTTGCCGCCGCCGCCACCGCCGCCGTCGGCGACGACAAGCTTGAGGGGAGGAGTGCCGGTTGCTTCCTTGGCCTCCGCTGCTGCTGATGCAGGGGCAGGGGCAGGGGGCGATGGGAGACGGCAGCGGGAGCCGCCAGCATCAGCAGCAGCATGCGGCCTAGCAGGAGCGCCGGTCGTGGGTGGTCGGCCGCAGGGGTTGCGAGGGCGGGAGCGCGAGGAAGGGGGCGGTGGTGGAGAGCCGCATGTGCGGCATTCGGGGGGGAGCGATCTGCGGCGAGGAGGAGGAGGAGGAGGAGGAGGAGGAGGCGGGAGCAACTGCGGTAGGAGCAGCGGTCGCAGCCCCAACCGACACCGCAGCCGCAGCAGTAGGGACGGGGAGCGGCAGCGGCGGTATCGAAGCCGCAGCCGCAGCCGTGGGCGTCGAAGCACTAGGGATCGCAGCTACAGCTCCAGCGGGGATAGCAGCTCCAGCGGGGATAGCAGCTACAGTGGCAGTAGCAGCTACAGCGGGGATAGCAGCTACAGCGGAGATAGCAGCTACAGTCGCAGTCCCTCTTCTTCCTCGTATTATAGCAGTAGCAGCAGCAGCCGTAGTCGCAGCCGAGACCGTAGCAGCCGGCTTAGGAAGCGCCAGCGTTGCCGTACTTCTAGCAGCAGTAGCGGCAGTAGCAGCAGGAGTAGAAGCCGCAGCAAGAGCAGCGGAGGTAAGGTAGACGGCGGCGGTGGTGGCGGTGGCAATGGCCTCAGGGCTACCAGCGGTGGAGGCGGCGGGGGAGGTAGCGGTAGCGGCGCGCGCGGTAAGGATGCTGCTCAGGTGGGAGGCAATGCCGCTGGTTTGTCCCATCAGGAGCGTTCCGAACGGGAGCCTGTGCAGGGCCGCAAGCGGGGCTCAGAGCGGGAGCCAGGGCGGGAGAAGAAGCGTCGCCGTCGCTGCTCCCTCTCCTACTCCTCCTCGCCCTCTTCCTCCCTGTCCTCCTCCCCGTCACGGGGTAGCTTCCGTTGGCGCCGACGCACCTCCTCTCGCGGTCGAGGAGACGGCGACCAGGGCGGCAGCAAGCGGAGTCGCGGCAGCACTAGCAGCAGCAGGAGCAGGAGCAGACGCCGTGACGGCAGGGGGGCCCACAAGCGGGGCCGTAACGCACGGAGCCAAAGCCGTGACGGCAAGGAGAGGGGCCGAGCGATGACGGCGGAGGCGGCGGCGGCCCTGCAGCATGCGCCTGCCCAGCTACCGGGCGGAAGCAGCAGAGGCGGCGGGCGCACCGCGGGGGGAGGCGGCGGGGCAGGCCGGGGAAGAGCAGGGGGAGGCGGAGGAGGAGGGGGAGGACGCAGTCCGGGGGGTCGTGCGGGTGCAGGTGTGGGTAGTGTGGGTGCGGGTGCTGGAGCTGGGGGTCGGGGCGGTGACCCCAGGGGGCCGAGGGGAGGTACGGGGTCCCCGCAGGCAGCGGGTGATGGGTCGGGGTTGCCGGCGTGGAGGGCGGAGAGGGCGGCGGCGGCAGCAGGAGGAGCGCCGGTGCGGCGTGTTGGGCCGGCGGGCGTTGTGGGGGGCGGCAGTGCTGCTGGGGCGGGGGCCGCTAGGGGTGGGAGTGGGGGTGGGAGTGGCCGCGGAGGCGGCGGCGGAGGCCGTGGAGGGGGAGGAGGTGGTGGTGGTGAGGCGAGTTGGCAGGACTATTGATCGATTTGATCCCCTCATGCCACATGACATGGCGGGCTTGCAGGTGTACATGACGCGGTGAAGGGTAGTGAGCGGCAGACGTCTACCTAGCTAAGCCGGTGTTTATGGGTTTGCCTTGAAAGAGCGTCTTGCCTTTCGTCGTCTTTCCTGGTTGCGGGGCATTGCGGGTGAGGCGGGCGCCGGCGGGGTGACGTGACGTACGTGATTTGTACGGCAGGATATGTACGGTACGTACGGTACGCGCGGTTTATACACCACTTTGGACGTGCGTTATATCAGTGTCGCTGTGCGCGGTGCGTCTATCTGGGCCTACCTGCGGCGGGCGCCCCCCTCCCCAGGGTGCCGCGATTGTACGGCCGCTACAGGCGCGAATAAGGCTTGATGGGGGATGCTACAGCAGGATTGCAGACAACCTATACCTTTGGAGCGTTATATTGGAGCTTATGGAAAGGAGACAGCACTCTCAACAGTCATGAGGTTAGTGGTTCACACACATATCCCGGTTGCTCCGTTTGTATGGAGTAGGTACGATACCCATGCCTCAATAGCACCACACGGCTTTGCTGAGACGTGCCTACTTCAATTTCCTGTTTTAGCCAGCCGGGCTGCACGTGTGCCAGTAGCATGATGCAGCTCATGCAGCCAGTCCGGCCACGTGTGCGGTTCTCCAGGTTGCGGGTGGGGGGACATGTGATGGTCGGGAACTTGGGATGTGCGAGGGGTTGCGGAGGTGACTCGTTGACTGTCGGGGAGACTAGGTTCTAAATACTCGGTACCAATCAGGGATACTGGATACTAGGTGCTGGATACTAGTAAGGGATACTGGATACTAGAGCGTATCGCGTTGCGTCCACATCCTGGATACCCTCCGAACTCCATAGGAGTATGGTGCATGTGGGTTATTACAGTGGGGGTGGTCGATGTCATTTGTGTAACTTTACTCATACTACTACGGCGTGTTATCGCGTGTGTACGGGGTGTTAAGGGCCCGGTTGGGTTGCCTTTCTTACCCCTTTCCACGCCCTTGGTTAACCCCATGCATGTGGGGAGTCTAGATGCGGTGCAGTTGCAGTTGGGGGAGTGTTGGAGCTAAGTGCACATGCGGGCTTCCTTTGCTGCTTTGTGGCTTGGTCCTGTGGACGAAAAACAACCGTTGTGGAGTCCCCGCCCGGTCGTGTACACATCAACCATGTTAACGGTTATGTAAGCATGTTGCCAAGACCCCTGCATGCCGTCGTTGCTATCTCTGCCCCCCCCTCCCTTCCTCTTCTAGTTGTTGCACTTCTTACATTTTCCCCCCTTCTCCTGGGTGAAATAAATCAGTACCGCCGACTAGGTGGGCTGTTGGCTGAGTGGGAATCCGTGACTTGTGGGTGTATTTGCGCCCATCGCGCCGACTAACGCAGTAGCCCTCCTGTCAGCATCCCTGGGGGACAGCCTTGCAGCCTTCAGCCATGCAGTACGATCACATAACCAACAGAGAAAACAGCACCAAAATGAAGACGGTACTAACGGCGGTGTGTGTGCATAATCACTAGCAACATCCTCCTTCCCCGTCTCAACGGCTCTCATCTGCTACGGGTACCGCATTTGAGGGCTCTGCATCATGAACGCCGACACAACAACAACCCCCCATGCCACATGCCCAACAATGCATCAAGCCACTAGCTCACAAGGCACCACTAGCTGCCAAGCCACTACCTGCCGCTGTGGCTAACGTGCCACAAGGCACTACTGCAGCTTCCGCAAACTGCCAGCTGACCTACTGCACGGCTTGCACATACGCTCAATGTCTACAACCGCTTAATGACTCTCTGAAGCAGCAGCTCGCGTGCAATGTGTATACCGGTAGTTTCGTGTATACCGGTAGTGCTTTCGAAATATAAACGGCGGCCAGGTTATGTGTATGACATCAAGTGTGGAGACGTATGCAGCAGAGACCCGGATAGGTCGGATGCCGCCCCCTCTCAAAACACGACCATCCGTGCACATCTGTCGTCCAACCGACAACAGCTTTACGCGGTCGTACTGCACCCCGCAACTCTTGCACTCGTGGCACGCACGCAGCCACTCCTCTCATCACCCTTGCGCCTCCTCCTTCCGCGCCTCCCTTCCAAACATGCGCCACTCTCTCTCTCTCCCCCCTTGGGAGCCCTGTTTCCCACTTCGTATCACTCCCTCTCCGCTCCTCTCCCCTCCTTTCGTACCCACAGGGCCTCCACAAGGCGCCACTCGCCCCTCTTCCTCCCCCACCTGCACTCCTCAACCACATACCCCACAGAGCCCCTAGGCATGTGTCACAAAACACACAACCCCTCCCCCATCATTAGCATCCCGCCCTCCATCCTGCAGCACCCCCCGCCCCCCCCCCCATCTCCTCCCCCCTCCCCCACGATGATGCCTTATCACACGGTCAGTTAGTTGTTTCCTCTTTACCCCTCCCCCTAATCAATCCGCCTTGAGTGTCCAGGGGCTGACCCCCAGCGACGGCGGCCGCAGCGGAGACACCCCGTCCTCCCCCACCGCCACCCCGCCCCCCGCGGCTGCTGCCCCCGCCCCCGCTGCTGCCCCCGCTGCCCCCGCTGCCCCCGCCCCCGCTGCCCCCGCTGCTGCCCCCGCCGAGCCCAGCAGGCGCATCATGAGGTTGGTGAACAGCAGCGACACCACGTGGGCCAGCAGCGTGTTGGTGGCGGCCTGGGGACAGGGGGGGAGGGCGGGAGGGGCGGGGGGCAGGAGGGGGGTGAGGGTAAACATGTGTGGGGTTAAAAGCACTTGTACCGCATTACCAGCTGTCCAAAGCAGGCTATCCGGACCACCAGGAGGAGGGAGGGAGGAGGAGGGAGGAGGAGGGAGGAGGAGGGAGGAGGAGGGAGGAGGAGGGAGGAGGAGGGAGGAGGAGGGGGGACGGGGAGCCCTCTAAAGTAAGTTAACCCCCTAACCCCACGTGCTCCCTCCCGGCCCCCACCCCGCACCTGCAGTGCGAAGACGTCCAGCGACACCAGGGCCGAGGGCGGGGCGACCGCGAAGGGGGCCTGCACGGAGGAAACAAGCGACCGGGCCACCAGCGTGCCTGGGGGGAGGGGCGGGGAGTGGGGCGGGGAGGGAAGAAGAGGACCCAATGTGTTGAATGGTGAGGGCAAACTACTAGGTGACAAGCCCCCGGTCACGGTGGGGGAGTTGGGAGGGAAGAAGGACCGTGCGTTGAATGGGAGTGGCGACGCAGGGGTGGGAGCGCAACAGCCGTTGATAGGGCAGGGGTGTTCACATGATCTTGGACAACATAGATGTTGAGAACGCTCGAAACGACCATGGTTTGGGCTCTCTGAAGTCCACCGCCTCTCCCCTCACCACCTCCCTCCCTCTTCCCCTCCTCCACCCCCCTCCCTCCTCCGCCCCCCTTTCCCGTCCCCGTCTCCCTTCCCCTCACCCACGGACGCCTGCAGCCCCACCACCGTCACCGCAATGCCCGCCACGTTCACCGCGTTGCACCGCAGCAGGCTGCCAGCCAGCCACCCAGCAGCCACGCCGCCGCCCGCGCGCAGCTGCCGACCCAGCCGCAGGAAGCCGTGCGCGAAGAAGGCGGAGGTGAGGGACAGCGCGGTGCCGGCAGCAGTCAGGTAGCGGGGCCAGGCGGCGGAGAGCTGGGAGGGGACGAGGAGAAAGAGGGTGGAAACGGAGGGAGAGGAGGGGTGGGGACTTGTGGGAGGAGGAGGAGGAGGAGGAAAAAGGGGTGAATGGCTGCGCCTCACACCCGTCCTTCCTGTTCCCGGCTGCTCCCCTCACCATTACACGCACCCCGCCCCTGCTCACCCCCTTGAGGCATTTCCTCCTACTGCCCCTCTTCCTCGGCGCTCCCCTTCCCGGCCCACCCCTCGCCTTCCCCCCGTTAACCCCTCACCCCTCATACCCTGCCCCTCCTCAAACCCCCCGCCCCTCCTCACCGCCTGGTTGGCGCTGTTGGCAGTTGTTGCCAGTGAGAACAGCAGCACCCCCGCCGCCACCACCGACAGCGCCAGTTGCACCCAGAAGGCCACGAAGCTGAGGCCGCACTGCCAACCCGCGGAGGCACGCAGGGCCACCTGGGCGGGGGGGGGGAGGGACAGCGGGGGGTGAGGAGGCGGGGGGGCGACGTGGAGCAACAGCATGCAGGCTTACACCGCCACTTGTTGTCATTTCGACCAGTTACAAGTTGCTGTCAAATGCGCCGCACGCCACAAGGGCAGGTGGCGTTTGCGGGGTCGCGCTGAGCAAGTGGGCAGCGAGTGTCATGTGTACGGCCAACAGGCACACGTGTCGTACGGTTGTACGACGGCGTACGTCGTACCTGCTCAGGTGACTCCGGGTCGAGGGGCGGAGAGGACTCCCGTCGGAGGAATGAGGCAGCCTGTGGGAAGTGGGAGTGTGGGAGGCACCAGCGGGGAAGAAGGGAGCAAGTTGGACGGCCCAAAGGCGGCAGGTGATATGAATTAATTGTCGCATTGCAGATTGGGGACAAGATCTTTGCTAGTGAAAACGGCGTGTCGCTTAGGGCGTTGCCACCGAAACGGCAGCTTATGAGATGTTGGATGGAGCTAAGAAGGTACACAGCCACTTCGCAAGTACAGGTCAATTCCAGGGACAGTAAGATTTGAGGGGAGCACGCACTTCGCGGCGCACCTTAACCTGCAATTTGGGAGCCGCTGGGCCGACGCGCGGCATCATCGCGGCAAACCCTGGTTGTGGAGCGACGCCAACGCGCTCCTTGCGATCTAGCCGAGCCGGAGTACGTGCAATGCATGTTAGGCTAGATCTTGTGGCAACTTTCAAAGGGCACGTCCTTATCCCAAGCTGCGGTTGAGCGAAGTGGATCGCGGCCATAGTGGGAAATCGCTGCCCCAAACAATTCTAATGGTTTCCTTACGAAAGAAAATGTTTGGAATGTAGCCAGTAACGGCTCAAGGTGTTGCCTGTTGTACGGCGCGCCGGCGTCAGCAGATGAACAACAGCCCAATAGGCGGGAGGGTTTGCCCCTAGGTAAATGGCAATGTTGAACACCATACTCTGCTGAGTCTCTTCACTAATCTTGTTTGCAACGAACATCATGCTTTCCCGCTACAAGGAGTGGGTAAAGCGGCATCCCGGCATAGTCCAAAACCTCGACTGGCTCCTCCTATTGTCTGTATGGAACCCCGGACGCACAAGTGGTGGCTATGAGTTTACATACGAAGCTTACCATGCAGCTGTGGGGCTGCTTTCGCTCTGGCACCAGAGCATTCTCGAGGAAGAGGAGCTGCCAACGTCACGGCCGTCACCATACCTCTGGCTCGATGCTCTTGAGCATGTAAGTACATTAGCAGTTAAATTTTCGCTATGTTCGCCGCATTCTGACGAACGCCGCCGGCATCGCCTTTGAGGCCCATTGGACGCGCACCTGCTGGACTTATCTACCCTAATACTCTATCCATGCGCTGTCAGTTGCTTAAGCATCTCTTCATCCGTAGGCTACGTGGCCTCTCCTAACCAAACTTGACAGTTAGCGTTGCACATGCTTTACAGTTGCTCAACGGTGCCTCCCCATTTCGCACCGCCTCTCCCTCTTTTTGCTCCCTTCCTCACCGGCTTCCCCTGCTGCCCCTCCCTTCCCTAGGTTGAGACACTCATCGAGTTGCGCGGGATGCACCTGGAGCAGGGCGGCAGGATGAGCCGCTACAGCCCCCTCATGGTGGTCGAGGTCGCCAGGTGAGAGGGCGGGCACGGGGTTAACGCGAATCGGTAAAAATCGAGCCGACTGGCCTACTCTTCCCGACCGCCACCCTCTTCCATCAACCTCCCTCCCTCCCCACCCCCCATCATATATATTTTTTACCTCCCCACCCCCCATCAGGGCGTGCCTCAAGATGTCCGCCTGGTCTCGCTACTCGGGCCACGTGTTCCTGCGGCGGCCCGCTCCGGAGGACCTGCACCAGTTTGAAAGCGAGCTGGGGTTCCAGGTAGGAACTGGGAGGGGGGAGGGAGGGAGGGAGAAGAAGAACCATGCGTTGAGTGGATGATAAGGGGGGACTGCCCCTGCTGACAGCTCCGTTCATTGCGGTTACCCCCATGCGCCCTGCCCCTGCCGCCCCCCAGGACATCCTGGCTTCCCTGGAGCGGCTGCGGATGAGGTACATCAGCTGCTGCCCCTCCGTCGTCACGGAAGGGGAGGAGGGCGCGACCGCTTTCGCCGCTGCAACAGCCGCACCGCTACCCCCCAGCGCTCAGCAGCAGCAGCAAGGGCAGGAGCGAGGACAGCAGCAGCAAGGGCATGAGGAGCGTAGCGGCGCTCTTTGTGGAGGCGCCGGTAGCAGTGGCAGTGGCGGCAGCGGCGGGGGCAGCTGTGAGATCACGGCAGAAGACGTGGCAGGGCAGCAGGGGCATGCATGCGGCGCTCAGAGGCCGAATGGTACTGGTAGCGGCGGTGGCTGCTGCGTTGGCAGCGGGGCAGCGGCGGCGGCGGCGGCCTCCCTGCCACGTGTGTACGGAGTACGGCAATACGTGGACGAGCAACTGGGATGGGCGGCGCGGGTGCTATTGCCTGGCAGAGGGCGAGTGGAGGGATGTACGGCATGCGGAGGTGCAGGAGGGCAGGGAGACAGCAGCAGCCAGGGTCATGGAGCGGAGGTCTCGGGCACCTTCTCCTCACCATCATGTGATGAGCGGGCTATGTCTGGTGCTGATTGCAGCACCTCTCCCGCTTGCACGACAGCAGCAGCAGCCCGTTGTGGCTACAGGGGCGACCCATGGGTCAACGGCACCCGCTGGAACCTCTCATCTCCGAACGGCCGGCTTTGCCATAACCTGCAGGCGAACGCCTCTTCCTGCCTTAGCAGCGGCACAAGCGGCAAGCAGCGACAACAGGCAGCCCTGCACCTGCTGGCAGCAGCAGCAGCAGCACCCGGCCAGCAACCCCCGACTGGGGCGCAGCAGGCGCGAGAGGACCCCGACCTGCACATGGGTCGCAACCTGCTGTGGCTCGCTGAGCTGCTGCACATCTGGCGCCCGGTGGTGTACGTCAGCTTGTTGCGGCGGTACGGCAGGCGGTCCTGGCGGCCCTGGCTGGGCAGCCTGGCTGTGGACCTGCTGTCGGGGCACTTCCACCGGCGGGGGCGGCAGCACCTGGAGCAGGCGGAGAGGAGGGCGGCGGAGGCGGCGGCGGCAGGGGCGGGGGCGGGGGGAGAGGAAGGGCCGGAGGCGGGGGTGACGGAGGCGGGGGTGGGGAGGAGGGCGGCGAGGATGGGAGGTGGGACTTCGCTGCTGAGCGTGGCCCTAGCGAGGTGAGAAGGGGCGGGTGGGGTCAAGGTCCATACCGGGCGGGGCGGGGCGGGGAGCCTACGAGGGATTTAGGGACGGTTGGACTGGGGTGAAGGTTGGTTAATGCCGCCAAGGAGGAGGGAAGGGTACAGAAGGGTGGGTTCTCGGCCTGCCGTGTTGACTGGTGCGGCGGCGGGGCAGTGCGACTAGGCATGCCGCAGGCAAAGAGGGGCACTGCTCGCACTTGCTTATTCCTGCACTTCTCGCTCTTGACTCAGAAACCGGAAGCCGCATGTTCGGCGATATACCTTCAGCCAGGTGCTGGTCCCCTGGCGTTGCTTTCCGCTATGTCCCTCTCGACCTGTTACCGGTAGCAGTCCTCCTCCGCCAACCTGCCTGCGCCCCACCAACGCGTCTGCGTTGTCCCTGTATCTTCCTAACCCTACCCTTCAAAACACCCCCCCTTGCACCCCCCTCCCCCCCCAGGTCTCTAGCCTGCTCGGGCATGTCGGCGGGCGAGCAGCGGGAGCTGTACGACAGGCGGCGGAAGCTGCTGCTGTACGGCCTGAGGAGCCCCTTCCTGGAGGCCACAACACTGTGAGTGCGGCCGCGGGGGTATTGCGCGGGTGTTGTGTGCGTGTGCGCGTCTGTTTTTTTTTTAAAACAAGTGCAGTGCGTATTAGAGAGGCTTTGAGCTGCCCTTTGAGCTGCAACTGAACATCGCGATGCCCTGTGACTTTACCCGTAACTGACCGTGTGCACCCCCCCCTCTCCCTCCCTCTCGCTCCCCCCTTCTCCTCCCCCCCCCAGATCCTGGCTGTCGCTGCTGCGCTCCTCCACTGCGCGGGTGCCGCTGCTGGGCTACGGGGCGGACTACCTGTACGGCCTCGTGGACACCTTCACCGCATACTACTCGTACACCAACGGAAGCAACTGAAACAGGAGGGGACGGGGCGGGAGAGGAGGGGGTGGATAGATGGGGTAGATAGATGGGGTAGAAGGCGTGGATAGATGGGGTAGAAGGGGTGGAGGGGGTGGTGCAGCGAGGGGGTTGCCGCAGTCGGTCAGTGCACGCATTAGCATATGCGCGCATGGGGGCCTTTGATGCACATGTGATATGGTTTTGGTGTTGTTGGTTCGATGTGGGTTTTTCGTCGTACGAAAGGTATCCGTGGGCGATCGGGTAGTTGGGTAGTTGGGTTGCATGACGGCTGTCCGGGGATGTGAGGAGAGAGGGGCAAGGCGAGCTTGAGAGGGCTGACAGGGAAATACCAAACAGCCCTAAAGGAAACCACAAGTGGGGCCAGGGCAGTAGGGCGAGGAGGCAAGGGGGGTGGTTGTGTGTTTGCGAGCGTTTGCAGCTTTGTGTTACGCAGCGTGTTACGCAGCGATTAGGAGGTTTACTGATGAGCACAGGGTATTGTAGACAGTCTCTTGCACCGCTGCAATTTTGGCGTTGTGTGGGGGCAGGTGGGGACGTAGATTAAATTGGGGCATGTTCAGGGGTGTTGCCAGGTCTGAACGTGGGACATTACGCACGTGTTTGTTGGCAGCTGTTTGTTTGTTTGTATGCGCGTGCCATGGCATGTGTTTTACCTGCTGGGTCGTTACATGTTATCGGAAACTGGTAATACGGAACCTGTTGCAGACTAGTGTAGGGATTGTAGGGCGGTACATCTGCCAGCATGCTAGGAGGCTAGGAGGCGCATTCTGCGTACAACTTCGTACGACATGCATCGCAAAAAGATGCTGCTTAGTAGCATCTTTTAGTAGTAAGGACTCGGGATGGATCCTGGATCCATTGATCTGGGCAGAGACCAATCAACCACAATCCAAGAATTGCAACCAACCGGAAAAAGGGTTCCTACCATCATCTCGCATTCGCAACAACCACCGCTTATACCAACAGCGATGTCTGGGTGATGTAAATCATGTTGCTGCAAAGCTCAGACTTCCTACGTGTCCCCCAGACGGCTTATTGGCTGATGATAGCGCTGCTGATATCGTAGGTCGGGATGCAGTGCATGTTCGGTAACCTAACATTCCGGTCAAAGATCCATGTCTCAGGACCTAACCAGCCCAACCGCTGCCGCCCCTGTCCGTGTTCCGTAACCGGAGCGCTGCATGCCGTACCCCCTGTGCTGCAACCGCACAACCGCAACACCCCCACGGCTTAGAATGCACTCCTTGTCATGCCTCTGTGATGCTGCTATGTGCTACCGGTATCCATTACCGCCAACTCGGTCACCATTCGCACTCCCCCTGACACAATGCAGCATATCACCTACACAGCCCCCGACAGCAGCCCGCCTGACGCCACAATCATAAGCGGACCCACCCCTCCACCTCCAACAGCCGCCCTGCCCCCGGCTCCTGCTGCCCCCCGGCCCCCCGCCGCCACCTCCGCCGACCCCCTCTCCCCCCTCTCCCACTTCTGCTGCATCTTCACGAACCCGCGCGTGTGCAGCACCAGCAGCTCTGAAAACACCTGAGCAGCCTCCAGACGGCTGCGAACACCGCTCAGCAGCGCGTCGGCAGGCAGCGGAGGCGGCGGCGGCACAGCAGCTGACGGCGGCGGCTGCGGCAGTGCAGCGGTGTCGCCTGCGGCCTCGCCATGCGGCTGTTCCTCCCCCTGCTGCCGCTGCTGCCGCTGCTGCTGCCGCTGCTGCTCCTCTGCAAAGAGCCTCTTCAGGTCCTCCAGCACGCTACGAGTTCGTGGCCTCAGCGCCTTCACCCCCTGCCGCTGCACCTCCCCTCCATCCTCCTCCACCTCCTCCTCCACCCCAACCCCCGCCTGCACCCCCGCCCCCAGCGGCACCCCCGCCATCGCCTCCTCCAGGCCCCCGCCCCCGCCACCCATCTCCGCCTCCACCTCCATCATCGCCCCCAGATCAGGTCCAGTCGCCGGCTCGTCCGTCTCTCGCAGCACGAAGCCCTCCAGCTCATCAATTGCGCCCCCCGAGGCCTCACCCGTCGCCCCCGCCGTCGCAGCAGCAGCAAGACTGCGATCCGACAGCATCTCCGACGGCTCCTTCGCCGCCGCCGCCGCCGCTGCGGCCGGCGGCGGCGGTGCGAGTGGTTCCGACGGCGCCGGCTGCGCATGCGCCGCTGCGGCCTCAGTCGGCTTCCGACGTCGGCGTCGTTCGCCGACGTCAACGCCGCCGTCGGCGGTGGCGGCGGCGGCGCCGCCAGGTGCCGACCTCAGGAAGAGCTCCCTCAGTGGCTGCCCGTCGGGAATGAACACCGACGCCGGCGCCGACGCCAAGTAAGCTAGTACCCCATGCATCGGCGGCGGCGGCACCACCGGACGCCCGGGCCTGCCGTACACTGACGGCGACGCCGCAACGCCGCGTCGCATGCCGTGCAGCAGGGTAGCCAGCACGCCGCCGGCACCGGATTGCAGTACGCTGTTGTAAACGGCGGCTGCGTCGGCGGCGCTGAGGGTGTGAGGGTGTGCGTGGCCGTGGGCTTGGGGCCTGCGCTGGTGACCCATGGGTCGCTCCCTCGAACACAGAGTGGGGCTGCGGTTGTGCTGCCACTCACGGAGCTCGGACAGTCGGAGGCACGTGTCCGCTGTACCCTGGCCATCTGTGGTACAAAGCACGTCGGTACAAAGAGCGGAGGTTGCCACAGAGACAGTCAGCAATACTTCGTTATTAACATGAAACCCTAAAACCCTAAAACCCTAAAACCCTAAAACCCTAAAACCCTAATACTTCTTCTTCATTAACCACGGGAAGGAACCACGGGATCTCCTCTTTACACTTCAAGTGTCAGACCCTCCTCTGCCAGTTCGCCCCCATGTTACCGGTAGACCTTTCAAAGCTGTTATGCTAAGAGGTGGACTGCCTTGTTGACACTCTTGTGGTGTGACGTGCTCCTAAACTGCTCTAGCGCATGAGCCGCTAAGCCCCTCACATACAACCCCATAAATCATGCAATCCCACTCCCGCATCGCCTCACCCTCATCAATCGTAAGCCGAGGCCGCTTGTGGTGATGCAGCTCGGGACCCCCATGCTTCTCCTTCTCCTTCTCCTCCGCCGCCTCAGCCTGTGCGGCAGCCGCCTCCGCCGCCGCGGCGCCGCCGACACTCGCGCCGCCGCCAGCACCTGCGCTGACGGCAGCACCAACAGTACCGCCCGGCGACGGCGGCGCTGCCTCCGCATCTTCGAGCCCTCCCTTATCGCCGGCCGCGCCCTCTTCAAACAGTCGTCGTCGCACCTGTTGCTGACCTCCCTCGGATGCCGAGGGTGTCGGCTGCCCGGCCGCCGGCGCGAAAGCAGCCTCGGACACAGACGCCGCCGCCTGCCGCATTCGCCCCGGGGCTGGAGGCGCCGCCGGCGCGCCGCCACCCCCCTGCGACACTTCCATCTGCTCTTCCGCCGCCATTCCATACATGTCGTACGCGCCAGCAGAGGTAGCCGAGGGAATCGCGCGACCCATGGGTCGTCCTGGCGAAATCAGCATCTGCGGCGGCATCTTGACGCCAGCCGCCGCCGCAGCAGCAGCGCTAGCTGCTGGCTGCGGCTCCGGCGGCTTGTCGGACGACGTCGTTGCACCTGCCTCCTGCTGCCCTAACGCCTCCACCTCAAGGAAAGCGCCCTGAGGTGGCATATGGTATAGTGGGGTAATGGGGCATGGGGGTATTGGGAAGATAACTAGAGGGCGGACCGGGGTACGGACGGAGGTAACTTTGGTACCTTAGGTGACCTCGGACAGTATGCAAGGGGTATTGCGTTCCATGGGGTGAGAATGCCATGCGTGCTGCAGTTAGGGATATGTACGTAGTAGGACTGTATGTTTTCATGTTGTGTGATGGAAACATCGGAGCGGTAAGGCAAGGGCCGACTTGGAACCTCATCCGTTATCCAATCCACATGCTAAGCGCTGGACTCTACCAGGTGACCCATGGGTCACATGCCCCCCCTCCCACCTAAACACACCGCCTCTATACTTTTTACCTGGGATGCGAGCTCGTCCACAGCAAAGGACGGAACCGGCAGGAGATCCATCTCGGCTTCAAGGCTGTACGGATCTGCCACGCCAGCAGCAGCTCTGCCGTACACGTCTCCCGCGCCGCCATCCTCTTTAGCCCCCGCCGCCGACGGCGCCGGCATGGACACCAGCCTCGCCAACAGCGATCCCGCGCCCTCCATCGTCGTTACCGCCGCCGTCGTCGCCGCCGCCGCGGCCGTCGCGGACCCTCCGCCGCGACCGCCGCCAGCGATCGCAATGTCGGCAGCTTCGTTCGTGACTCCGAGTGCGCGCATCTCCTCTTCCATGAGATCATCCGCCATGCGCAACTGTGCCGGCGCCAGATCCACACCCCGGCCGCCGCGGCCTCGTCGGGCGCCGGCGGCGGCGGTAGGGGATGCGGGTGCATGCGCGGCGGCGGCGGCGCCGGCGGCGGCTTCAGGCGGGGTTGCAGGGGAGAGGTGGAAGCTCCGGAGAAGCATGCCCTCGCAGTCTTGTTGCAAGTACGACATCTGAAAGGATGGAGGTGGAGGTGGAGGTTGGCGCGTGTGGTGCTAAGCATGGCATAACATGGCCTCATCAGCCTGGAGGCTTCTGAAAGGCAGATGGCGTGGCAGACCTGCCAGGATTGAGGGTTTAAGGAGCCCCAGAGCCCTCCTCCTTCGCCAACTGCACCGCCCCCCCCCCCCCACCTGCTGCGCATGCAGTCTGGATGCGCCCAGCAGCAGCTGCCCGCTCAGCCTCAGCCCCAGCGGCGAACTGTCCAGCATGCGGCGGATATCGGACACGGAGGCGCCCACGTCTGTGGCCGCGACGTTGGAACGCTGCGGTGGTGGGATTTGGGATGGAAGAGAGCGGGAGTTGTCGCGTCAGTTTTGTCGAATTGGCCGGTTTAACGTGCAATTTTGACGCAGTTGAAGATGTACACGCACGTCGATCGGACTCACCTTGAGTCGCGCGGCGCCGCGACCTCGGCCATCTACCGACAGGTATGAAGCCAGCCATATGATGTGAAGCGGCGAATTGGGGTTGGCAATGATTTGCTGGGCGTAAAAGGACATGCTGCCAAGGTTGCTCTAGGAATATTTGCTGCTGCTGTGGCGGTGGCTGAGGAATTTCCGCAGACCCTGAAACCGGAAATGTCCAGATCCTTCGCTAACTGTTATGTGGAGAAAGCAGTGGAGGTATTGGACGCTGTTGTGAAGAGGCCATACGGCGGCTGAGCTTCGTTGTGAGCAGAGTCAGGAGCAGGAAGCGGCCGTTCAGGATGCCTCTACTGTGCGGCACTGTGGTCTTCCTGAGGTTTCCCGGTCAATAAAATCTGGAGGCAGCCCACAACTGCGACCCGGCTGTGCGCATCAGATCTTTTTGTGTCCTTGGGTAAGCTATCGAGCTGTGCTCCTGCCTTTAAACAATAAAGCTGCAAGTACATTTGTACAGGACAGAAGCGAATTGCCATTACAAGCAAACTACCAGTTAAAGCTTTAACCGCAAAGGAAGAAGCGAAGGCTAGAGTGTAGGCATCCACAGGGCCCGGACCCATGGGTCATCGCAAAAGCAGGATGAGGACACCGCCGTTATGTTAACTTTGGAGCCCCAGCAAAACGGACACGCCTGAAAGCACATGCGCGCAAGGCACTGCAGCAATATATTTACGTTGTTGCAAATAGAGTTCAGCATTGTGGGGAGTTGTGGCAAACAACCATGGTTTGCTTTACTTGACAGCCTAAACAGCAACGCAAGGAATGAATAGCCATATATACCCAACAGCTACTTTTCCAAGCTGCACTGCCATTAGTTGACTGATGCACAGACGACAGCCACACATGAATTAGCTCAAGGCTAGGTACGCACCTTTGCCACACCAGGGATATACGCTTTCCTCGGTGAGCATGCACAGAAGTGCTAGGAAGAAGGTCCCGACCAATACCGGTATGCATGGAGTCAACCAGACACAACAACGAGTTGCAAAGGACCAAAGTGAACATCATAAACCAGCTACCCACGCTGCTGCGTGGGTGCAACGCCACCACCCAACAGCATCCCAACTGCACCGACAGCTGCATTCCCCTGTACTTGTACCGGTGTGTACGGCATGCACATGCCAGAACCCTGAACCCTGAACCTATAGCCTGTAACCTCCGAAACGAACCACGCATGTGCCTCCTCAGTGGTTTCCCGTTACCCCCGGCAGTGCCAAGCCAAGCAGTTTAGACACGTACCGCAACCGAGCCTCTGATCCCCTCAACTCCTTCCACTCCCAATACGGCACGCTCACCACATTCCCCGCCCCAAACACCTGCGCCAGCCGCCTGTCCCGCATCTGGGTGCGGCCGGTCTTGGTGCGCGTGTGCGGGTGGTTGGCCAGGAAGTGGCATGGACCGTCCACCTCCACCGCCACCCGCCTCCCTCCCGCCAACTCAACCACGATGTCTACCAGGTGGCACGTCCCAACCACCTCATGCGCTGGCAGGATGGCCACGATGGCAGGTGCCCTCGTGCCGCTCCCGCTGCTGCTGCTCCCGCTGCTCCGGCTGCTCCCGCAAAGGTTGTCGTTCGCCTTGCTGCTGCTGCTGTTCCTGCTGCTGCTGCTGCTGCGGCTCCTGCTGGCTTTGCACCCCGGCAGCTTTTGAGACCTGATCGCCAGCTCATCTTTCAGGCGTGCAATGCTGTCCGCAACCTGCGTCTGCAGCTGTGACGTGTCCTCGTTCCCACCCGCCGTGCGTCCCGCCGCCACAGCTCGCTCCATGGCACCCAGCAGCAGCTGCGACTTCCCACCACCGCCGCTATTAGCACCCCCTCCTGCAAGGCTGCACCCCAGCAGCAGCTGCTGGTTGTGTTGGCTGCCGCCATCCCCGCACGCCACCATCAGCTCCTGCTGCACCTGCCACAGCTGCACCAGACCCGCAGGCCTGAAGCTCGGCCGCCTGCCCTCCTCCGCCCGCACCTCCCACCTCCGCACCAAGTCCCCCAGCAGCCCCCCCACCAGGCCGCTGTGGCGGGACAGCACCTGCGGGCCCATCACCGCCAGCGCCCACAGGCTGTTGACAAGGGCCATGTTACTCAGCAGCTCCCGCTGCTTCCTCTTACCCAGCATCAGCCGCTCCCCCAGCCGCCCCACCAACGCATCCACCAGCCGCTGCTCGTATAGGCCTAGATTGGCCAGAGCCCATAGCAGGTTGGAGCATTGTTGGGCGTGGGAACTGCTGCAAAGGGCCTTCAGCTCCTCCTCCGATTGCACCATCAACCTAAGCAGGTCCGGGGCAGGGCGATGCCTCACCCGTGCGAACGCATCCCAAAGGGCGCACCAGTCCCCAATGCCGGCCTGCATGCAGTCGGATGCAGCGGCTGCCTTTGCAGCGGCTGCGTACCAGGGCTGGGGGCCTGTGTAATGCGCGGAAGCCTCGCCGAACCCCATTTTGGCATGCGCCGAAATTACAATGCTGATATCGTGTGCGCTGAAGCCGGCGAAGCGGCGCCGTCTGCACTCGTCTGCAAGCGCCTGCACCAGTGCCTCGCTGTCAGGTGGGCGCAGCCGCTCCAGGGCCCACAGGGTGTTGGCCAGGTGCTGGGGAACAAAGGCCTGAGCGTGCACCGGGTGCTGCAGGCGCAGATGCAGCTCTGAGCAGGTCTGCTGCACTGCGGCGGCGGCGGTGTACTCATCTCCAGCGGCTCCGGCGTGAGAGGTCCTGATGAGACCCTGGAGCTGTGCCTTCGCGCGGCCTGCAGCAGCCGGTTGTCCCCTGCACCCCGTAAGCTTTCGTTCCTTGCTGCTAACGCCCAGCTTTGCGAACCCCAAGAGCATGTTAGCGAGGGCGGGTTCGGTGAAGACGTGCGTATTTGCAGACGCCTTGTTGCCATCTTGCACTTGCGGCTGCTGTCGTGCAGGCTTCTTGTGTTGCTGCTGCTGCTGCTGCTGCTGCTGCAGGCGTGCCAGCACAGCTGCCGCCAGTTTCCGCAGGTCCTGATCCCGGGGCTTGTGGCCGCAGCCCTCAGCCAGCTCTCCCAGCGCATACAGCGAGTTGGCCAGGGCCTGGCAGCTAGCGTCCGGCTGCTGCACCAGGCAGGACGTCAGGTGGTGCAGCAGGGGGGCATGGCGGTGCTGCAACCGCGCACAAGCCAGCAGGGTGTTGGAGCAGGCCTGAGAGTCCAGCTGCTGTGCGGGCATCCTCAGGATGCAAGCGGCACTTCCATGCAACACCCCGCCGTCGCCTGCCGCCAATTCCTGCCGGGGCGCCTTGGATAGTGACCACCACAGCATGCCATGTGTTTGTCCAGTAGCCTGCTTCAGCAGACCACAGTCATCCTGCCCCAACCGTTGTAGCAGGGAGTTCGTGAGGTCCCCCCTCCAGTAGTCCACCTTGGCACATGCCCACAATGGGATGGTGCAGTGCTGGGCTTGTGTCAGGTGGGGGACGTGAGGCAGGTAGGCTGCGGAGAGCTGTTCTAGGGTGCTGTGTAGTAATTGGGATGCGACAGCATGCTCCTGCGACAGCTGCGGAGGGAGGGGGAAAAGGAGGGAAGACAGTGAAAAGCGAAGCATCTGGAAAAAGGAAGGAAGGGAGGGAGGGAGCACAACGCCGTAGGGAGTTGGCGATGCGTATGAGGGGATGCGTATGAGGCTGGGTTCGACAGCTGGGTGACAGTGCTAGCGGCCGAGAGGCCTCGTGCCGGTGCACCCGGCTCCATGCAGGTGCTGTTTCGGGCCGCACCCAACGTATGGGAGGCAGTTAAAGGTGTCAAGTGGCAGCCGGTGGCAGGATCCGTTCCTGTGCCTATGCTTGGCCAGCCAACAACCATCACAACGCGTGTCAGCCCGGCTGCGAACACCCGTAGCCGCGCCAGCAGCTCTGCTCAACACCCACGACTGCACCCGGAATTCCATCCTTGCCCAACCACCGCCTCCACACTCAAACCTTGACTGCTTTGCTGAATTCGGCACACAGGTCTTCAGGGCGCAATTCTCTGGCTCGATCCTCCGCCAATGTCGATGGGACCTCCGCACAAGCCGGAGCGCCGCTGTGTACCTGTACGCCCACCAACGCGGTTCCCGCAAAGCCCCTCAGGACCCATTTGAACGTCCGGCACGAACAGGCCCCAAGTGCATGGGCCGGGCTGCTTGGGCCTGGGTCCATATTGTCATCGTTGTCTACGGTACGCTTGCAGTCTATATCATTTCTGCTTATTAAAAGTGAGCCTAAACCAGCGTTCTGGCAACGCAAAAAGCGTGCAAAGCACCATGTAGGTTGCCCAAGGCGAGGGAGCATGGCGCATTCCGGCTACTGGATACTCCGGTGCAAGGAAGCCACTATACCGGTAACAAAACCTCGTGTAATATTACATTCATAAAATTAAAACGACTAGTCATTTGGACCCGCCGTTTGGAACGATAGAAGGACGGGAAGGAAAAGATCCGGAACTGGAGGATCCAGCTGTACGCGTTCTACCTGCGGATAAAGTCGGGAATTGTGTATATGATACGAAGCACGCTTAAAAGCAGATGGAATACCTTCTCAAGTAGCACTAGCTCTTTTGTTTTGCTTTGCAGCTAGCGGCAGCCCTTCTAATGCTAGAATGTAATGTTATGCAAACTCAACAAGAAAGAGTTGCATAGGACAAAACAATGGCGGCTGCGGAAGGCCTCCAATTAGCAACGACGCCAATGACAGGTGCTTAGCAAGTCCAATCAAGAACACAACAGGGCTGATTAAAGTTGCGAAACAGACAGCAGGTGCAGCAAGCCATGACATTCTGTCAGGAACAACTAAGCATGGTACAGCAACTGGAATTGCAACAAAAGAATCCTTAAGGGGAACGGGGGAACGCAGGGAGAGGAGCATGAACGGATCGTTCGAAAGCAACTTCGTACTTCACTCGCAAGCAGTTTTAACGCATAGGGGGCGTTTGCATTTCAACACATGTAAGGGGGATGGGCGCACCATACCCTTCCCCGACCAAGATGCACACGGTCCCAAAGAGCTTCACAGACGGAGAGACCAAGACAACCGAACGGGGAGGTCGCATTGGTTTTCGTGCCTGCCGTGCGAGTGAAGAAGATCATTGACGCGGTCGTTTTTAAGGACAGAGCATGGCGAACTGGGTGGCGGTACATTGCTGTTCTGAGTGAAGAACGTGCTTATTTGCTGCCGCTGTGTGGTTGAGGGAATAATCCACAGGACGTATCATGCTTTCCATTGTTGTTACAGAACTGCATGCGGCTCCCCCATGCCAGCATGTAAAGTTTTACGTTCTTAGGGCCTGCCGCACGTACCAAGAGGCTGCTCTCTGCGATCAGACATCATGGTACCTTCTAGCAGCGCGTGCTGGTGAGCCGATCCTGTCATCCATCCATCCTCACGTGAACGTGCGAGTCGCACCCACCAACAGCTCTCATATGCACATGGCAGGAGAGGAAAGGGGAAGAAAGCTATAGCTATACCCAGGCAGGCCCTACGAACAATAAAAGCCTGGAACATTCTCTTCACATAGCAAACCTTCACACAGCAACGGCCTGCAAATAAACGCTACGCCACGCCGAACAGCAAAGCGCAGGAAGGTAGCACCCACCTCATTAGCCCCCCCAGATACGGGATGATGCAAAGGGAGGGTTAGGGTGCCCTGCAACACCCGCTACTATCATATATTTCATATCCTCAGGCGCTGCTAACCGCGCATCCTGTACGTCTTTCTGCGACGTTACTGAGTACGTACCGGTACCGCACCAAAGTCCCAAACACACAGTTTCTCCGGCTGTACGACAAACCATGCAGTGCGGTCCGCACACTAAAACAACCGGATGAAGCACGGGATGAAGTGCCCGGTCATGAGTACCCCATGCAATCCTGCACCTGCGCACACGCAACACCCCACAACCCAACACCCCTCTCCTATTACTCTTATCCTACCTTATCCTACCTAACCTACGTCAAATCCTAGTGTTGGAGGAGCCCACACGACCTGTCAACCCTACCCTCTCACTCGCACACTTCCCCTGCTACCCACACGAGCCTACATCCTTATGTGCCTACTCTCCCAGCGTGCATGCATGCGTGCATGGGCCTCATGCTCCAAAACGACAACTGCCCACAAGCAACAACCACTATGCGATGCAACCGCAACCAAGTATTGTTATACACGCTGTTGGTCCCTATCCCCGTAGCACTGCATAGCTCTGAACCTGCATCTCACTTCGCCCAAAGAGACCTTGCCCAAGTAAAAGCACTACGAACACAATGACCCACGGGTCACTTGGCCAGACCCCAGCGCAGCTGCCGATCAACCATTTGTTCTAAGACTGCAGTCAGATCTCAGTAATCGGCTGCTCTGTTACGGGTAACAGTAATGTGTGAACATAGAGAAAACGGAGAGCAATGTTGAGTTCCGCGAGTGATCGTACTCACTGCCATACCACTCTCATCCATCCCACATCCCGGCGTCACAAGCACACGGCTAGCAAGCAACCAAACGCTAACCACCCCCAAGAGGAAAGGATTCCTTCTTAATTCCTCTTCTTTGTCGTACCGCTGCCGTACTGCTCGTCCACCTCGGGCGCACTCATGGGAAGCAGCGCGTAATCGGCGTTCATAGTCTGCGGGGCGATTAAACAGTAACGATTAACGGTACGATCAACGGAGCGAAGCAGTTGTGCCAACAACTGCATGATGGTATTCATGAGCTCTCTGGAGCGAGGCCTTCCTACCGGTATGTTTGAAGCCTGACAGTACATATGAAGCCGGGTGGCAAGGTAGTCACAAGGAAGGAATGTGGCGCTGAGGCCACTAGGCCACAAGCCACTAGGCCACTAGGAGTGCGTGCTCATGCATGGATTGACCGAGGGAGCCATCCGCGGGTGTCCCCACGCAACCTCCGCACCTCAACGCAATCATTCGTCTCTCGTACCCACGCACTCCCCTGGGTCATGGCTTTGTAGGGTTCCATATCTATCCTTCCCAACACTCCGTACTCAACCCCGCTTTACCAGCCCCCCCCCCCTCCGCCTTATCGCACGGTTCGCTCGGCGTTTCCTCTTTACCCTCCTCGCACACAAACACGCACCTGCGTCTTCTTGAGGTGCCGGTTGCGCAGCTCGGCGAGCGGGTGCGCCAGCGCGGCCTCCTGCAGGTCGTGGCACAGGTCCTCGATGTCCTCGCCGCCCAGCACACCGTCGGGACTCAGGCGGGCCTTCAGGATGTAGATGTCCATTCTGAAGGGGGATGGGGGTAGGGGGTAGGGGGTAGGGGGAGCGGGTGGGGGGGTAGGGAGGTGGGGGCAGGGGCTGCAGCGAGGGGAGGCGTGTGAGGGGGGAGAGACAGTGGGGGAGGAGGTGGTGAGGTGGGCGGAGTGGAGCGGATGGAATGAGGAACGGAACGAGCGGGCCACTCGGCTTTCGTGTTTGTGTGCCTCCAAGCGCTTACACCTATATGCTTGGTTGCATGCTCACATACACGGCACAAGTCGATTAAGCCGCATAATGGCTGGTTGCAAGAGGCAACGCCCCTGCCCAGCCAACTCCAACCCAGCCCCCCTCGGTCATCTGCCCCACTCGCTCTCCGCCATCTGCCCATCCATCTCACTTTGGCGAGGGCACGTAGCACACGCGCACTTCCGACTTGTCCGACTTGAGGTAGCTGTTGAGTCGCGAGCCGCCCGCCGCCGCGCTGGTGGACTTGAACAGCTGGTAGGCGGTGTACCAGCCGATGCCCGGCACCGCAATCATCTGCCATGCACCAACATGCAGGCAGTTAGTCCAACCGGATGCGTCACGTGTACGCAAGCCGTTCACACACATTGACTTTGTAAACATGCAACGAGCTGGCACATGGAGGGATCTGACGCGCATCGGACCCTACCTGCGCATGCCATCCAAGCCGCGCGCTCCTTGCACGCATTCCTCTCCCTTCCAGCCCAGGGCCCTCACCTCCAGCCCCACCCTCGGACTCGTTGTTCATTTATTTAATTTCTTCCCCTCCTCACCTCCAGCCCCACCCTCGGACTCGTTGTTCATTTATTTAATTTCTTCCCCTCCTCACCTCCAGCCCCACTGCCACCGGCAGCATCACCCCCGCCACCGCCGCCTTGCCGGCTGACTTGTAGCAGAAGGTGGAGGTGAGCTGCGTGAGCTGGTCCTGGATCTCGTCCGGGGGGATGGAGGCGGGGTGGTGCACCACCAGCTGGGGGGGGGGAGGAGGCGGGAGAGGTGGGGGACAGATACGGGCGATCCCCAGTTCGTTCCTACTCGCGCCAGTTTCCTTAACCTGGAGGTTGGAGGCCTGGCCTGGGGAGTTGCATACTTACATTGCTCTCTGCCCTGTCCATGCCTCTGCTATGCCCCACACACCCGCCTGCTCCTCACGCGCCAGGAGGCAACCATGAACAACCTACGCCGACGCGTCCTACATTCCGCACCCCCTACCTTGTTCGCCCGCTTGGGTATGTTGCGCATCAGCCGCTCCTCCGCGTTCATGTTTTCAAGGATGGCCTGACCCGCTCTGCAGCGGTGGGGCGGCGGCGGGGTTGAGGGTGCGGATGCGGGCGCCGGAGAATGGTGTGGGGCAGCGGTCTCCATCCCCAAGCCACATTGCAGTAACACCGCGTCCGCTGCCCCACAGCAGCTGCAGCGCCTCTCCCCTCAGTACCTAGAGCTCCTCCTCCCTTACCCTCCACTCAGGACATCTTTAAAGGCAAGGTTTCCCTAGCCCGCCCTGCTCGGCCCTGAGGACTAGTGCCCTGGCCCCAGTATGCCGCCCGCCCTACGCCACCCCCCTAGACACCTTCCCCTTCCCTCCCCCGTGCTCATCTGCCTCCCCTGCTCCCCTGCTGCTCACTTGTATATCTTGGCGGGTAGGTTGCCCTTGTCCTTCAGGCTGTGCCACATGCTGCTGATGTTTTGCTGCACGCTGGCCACCCCCGCATTCATCTTGCCCATCACAGCTGAGGGGGGAGGAGCAGACATGAGCAGACAGGAAAGTGAGCGGCCCGGGAAGGAAGGCTAAGGTCAATGACTAGGGAATAAAGGCCCGGAGCAAGTAGGCGAGCTCTGGACTTTTGGCCCCTCCTAAACGCGTGTCGATTGATGGTGTGTCCGACCCCGCTCCGCCCCTTTCCCCTCCCCCTCCACCCAACCCCCCCCCCCAATCTCAACTGTTTGTGTCTGCCTCGTCCTTCCAGTTCACCACCGGCAGGAACACCAACCGCTCCTTGAACAGCGGAATCGCGTACAACAGCAGCTCGCGAGCCGCCATGGAATAACCCTCGCCGCCACCGCCGCCGCCGGCAGCAGCAGCAGCGGCCCCAGCCCCGGCTTCTGCGCCGCCGCCGGCGACGCTCCTACCCTCGGCTGCTCCGCTGCCGCTGCTGCCGGCTCCAGCAACCCCCGTAGCCGTCGTGACAGCGGCGGTGCCGGCGTTTCCCGCAACCAAGAAGTCACTGAATGGATCGAACACGTCGCTGGGCCGCAGTCCTGTTGACGTTCCCGCTGTCGTACGTTCCCCTGTCCCCGTTAACAAGGACGCCGCTGCTGCTGCCGCATGACTCCTAGCAGCCCCCGTAACACAGGTGCCTGACGACGTCCCAACACCCGCACCACCGCTTCCGCCAGCACCGCCAGCAGCGCCTCCCGCCTCCGCTTCCCTCCTCCAGCGCTGCTGCTGCAACAAGTCCTCAATACCTGTCGTACTTTGAGAATGCACGTGACGCTGTAACCCCCTAGCGGCCGCAACCGCGGATGCTGTTGCCGTACAGGTTTGCGCTCCTGACCCCGCCGCCGTCGCTGCTCCGAAACTACCAAAACCCAAGTCTGGAATCCCCGAGCCTGTTACCACGCCGCTAAAGGAGGCGGAACCCCAGCCTGCGCCGCCGCCGTTGGGGTGCCCTCCCAGCCCCGCTAACCCCCATGTGCCGTAACCTGTAGCGCTGGAGTGGTTGTTGTTGTTGTTGTTGTTGTTGTTGTTGTTGGTGGTGGTGGTGGTGGTGGCGGTGGCACCGCCCAGAAGGTCTGAGAAGCTGCCGAGGGAGGGCACGGAGGAGGCGGCGGCGCCACCTCCGCCTGCAGGAAACCCGCCCGCAGGGGTCAAGCCGCCGGTGCTGCTGCTGCCTCCGCCGCCACCGCCAAAGCAGAGGGAGGATGTGGCAGCAACGGCGGCGGCGGCGGAGGAGGAGAAGGGGCCGGCGCTGGTAGACGCGGCTGAGTGGGCGGAGGAGCGGAAGGCGGCCTGGTGCGGAGGCCCCTGGGGGGCGGAGGGCCGCAACAGCACACCCCGTGGCGCGCGAGGTCAAGGAGGTCAAGAAGGAGCGCGGCAAAGGAGAATGGAGGGAATGGAGTGGAGAGGGTATACCGGGTTAGCCAGCCACCCTAGCCCGCTGCGAGGTCCCATCCCCTGGCCATGAACCCGCAGGGACCTCTGCGCCATGCCAACGACACACGCCACCCACCCCCCTGCTGCCATTAGCCCCTGCTGCTCCGCTTTCGGTCCAACACAGCTACTTCAACACAGCCATCACAACAGGGCAACTACCGTACGACACAGCCACACAGGTCTACCTGCAGATCTAGTCCAAGGTCATCCAGGGGGTGCAACCGCGGGCGCCCACTCGATGCTGGTGGTGCTGCTGCTGTTGCCGGCTGCTGCTGCCGCGGCTGGATCAGGAAGTCAAAGGGATCTGCACAGGGGGTAGGGCCAAGCGGGCAGAGGGTTACCTTCTCAGGGAATAGCAGGGCTTTCGGTTCACCGACTTGCCACATCGCTGCATGACAAGCCGAACCCCATGAGGCACAGCCAACGTGTGGAGGATGGCCCCTTGCCCTTTTGCTCAAAACATTCAGCGCAAGTCAGCTGCCGCAAAGCACTTGCAGCCGCATACAGAGGGCTAGCGGCCGGGTTCCCCCACCTGTAGGCATAATCGTCACCAGCTCTACTTGTTGCGGGGCCTGCGGCTGACTCCGGCCCCAGCGCGACTTGTCCGACCGGCATGCTGCGGATGTTGCTGATGATGGGCCTGGCCGCGTGTCCGCGTCATCGCCGAAGTCAATAAGATTGCTAGATGGGGTGCCTGTAGACGTCACAACCGTGGTTGTGGCCTGAGTCCCAGTCCGCGGCCCCCCTTTTCGTAGCTGGACATCCTGCTGCGTGCGGCTCCTCGCAGCTCCGGTGCTAGTGACAACGTTGGGTGCAATTGATGATGGGGCGTCTGCGATGTGATTTGGTGATGCCTTTGTTGTGTATCATTGAAAGATTCATAAACCGCGAAAGTTGGAAGCTACGCGGACATGGGTCTTTCAACCATATGCAAGGCCGAAGCCGAGCCATCAACAAGCAACAAGTGGAATCACACTTCAATAAAAAACATTCTTAAGCTCGGGAGGAGCTTGTGACACACAGCGCATGGTCGCGATCCTCAGCACGAACCTGCTGTCTCACGAATCAAGCGTGCAGCAGCAGCTGCTTCATCATCAGGTTCTTCATTGAAGACGCGAGCATACGTGTTGAACATCGTCGGCACAGTGCAACTAAATAGTGAAAGGAGCCTCGGCTGACACTGAAGCTGTCGTGGCTAACATTTCACTGTTCACCGTCTCTAAATTGGCATGGTGGAGAGCAAGGCGGTTAGGACTTTGTGGAAGCCAACAGGAGCGGTTAAGTATGGGAGTTGCTTGACAGTCGACGTCGACTCTGGCTGTGTGGGTATAAGTGCAAAGGATATGGCAATGACATATACACGGAATCCTGGTATACAATCTTTCCTTAATGAACGGAAGCATGCGGCGAATCCGGCAATGCCTTGCGCGTGACTTATACGAGCCAGACCTCAGACATGCCACCCAGTCAACAAGGGCGCCCATAACCTAATTTAAACAAAAAAACATCTATCATAATTTGCGGTACTTTAGCCCCGTTGCGGTACCAACGTATGCAACACATGCTGTACAGACACGCCTCCCACATTGCGCTGGCCATCAACCGATATGCACAAGGAGCGATACGCCAGGAACTGCAAGAGGGCCCTAATCTAGAGGAGCTCTGGCATCATACCATCAACAAAATCGCACACGCGCTCCAGTAGCAGCGCAGCTCCCCAACCGCCACATGATGCTCCCATGCCGGCGGATTAACACGTACTCGAGCGAGGCACATGGATTCTTTGTTGTCAGGGCATATTGACACTTGCCCGTACATACTATAAGCGCATAACAAGTGTCCATCGGAACTGCGTCAGGAGACGCAGACGCGGACAACCAAGATGCTACTGCCGTGCCAGTACTGTACAACGAGTCAACGAGACCGACAAGTCAACCACCTGCTCCTCCTCAAGCAAGATCATAACCAATTATTTACGCAATGCTAATGTAAAGAAGATGTTCCACAATCCCTATGAGACAATCCCTACGTAGTAGGCAATATAACAAGAGTCATCACCTACGGTCGGCCCAGGGTACTACCCTACCATGCCCCCATCGCAATCAAAGCGCGAGAAGCGGCTAGCATAGCAAGGCACCGGTCATCTGGAAAGTTTAACATTCCTACAAACACGCACAACAGAATCATGCTACATAACACAAGGGCAAAGCCTGGCGGTGACGGCCCAAAATGGCGACGCTACGACCTCTGTCTTCCCTATGTTTCCACTATGTTTCCTTTCCACACAACCAAGCTACACAGTAGAACCACACACACAGCACCCTGCAACAAACAAGCCTTGGCCCTTCCTAAGTTGCAGTCTACAGCACCCCCACGCTGCAATGCATCTTGAGCCACCCACGTCTAAAAAGATGCGCAGCCCCGGAATCGTGCAGGCACGGTGGTAGTTGCTTGCACACAACAATTACGGCATGACTTGATTTTGTTGACTAAAGCAGCGTCGGCAACTTGCGCTGCGACGCGTTAAAGGGCCCCAAGGGCAGCTCTCTTTCACCTATACCTATGTAGGTGTAGTATTGGGATATACCAAGCCCAACACCATGTCAACAGATTAACAGCAGCTTTGGTGTACAACAGTCCCTCTCTCCCGCAATTCCCTGCCCAACCCAACAACAGCGTGTCTTTTCTGCTTCACACGGACACCGCGCATGGTCGGACCACCAGCCCGACCCAGCCACTGCCCTCTCGTCCACATGAGCCCCAACCCCACGAGGCAACAGTCCGCTACTCTGTCCTCATGCCTCCCGCCTCGCCGACCCGCCAAACAGGCTACCCACCTCCTGCTCCATGCCCTCCGCCAGCTGCTTCGCCAAGCCCTGCAGGCTGGACAGCACGTCAGGGCTCGAACCGGAGCCGGAGCCGGCAGCGGGTGAGCCGTCATCCAGCAGCCCAGACGACCGCGAGCCGCCGCGGCGTGAGCCCACCGCTGCCGGGATGGCGCCCTGGGGACAGGGAAATGGCGCGTGTACGACAAGTAAGAATGCGGTAACGGCACAGGTATCCACAGCAGCAGGCCGCTCCGTAAGGACCAGGACTTCCTAGGGCACTACGGGACGTAAGGTGCGAGCCCCTCAGGCCCCACCCGCAGCTCCCAGCCCCGGTCAACCCCGCGGCTCAGCTTATCTAATCCCCCTCACCCTCAGCTCCACCATGGCCTGCCTCGCCTCCTCCAGCTCGTTCCGCAGCTCCTTCACCTCGTCAATTGCGCTGTTGAACTGGCTGCGCAGGCCGCTACGCTCGCTGGCCTCCGTCTCCATGCGCTTGTACTGCCGAGCCAGCTCGGCGTCCTTGTCAGCAAGCAGTTGCTGCAGGAAATAGAGAGTCGTATTGGTACAGTAGAATTGGTGTATGATGAATGAGGATTAAAAGCACGAGGCGGGGCAAGGAGTAAAGGACTTAAGTGCAGCAGTCTTGGTAGGAGATGGTAAGTTACCTGTAGCGTGGCAACCTCCGCTTGCATTTGCTTGGAGCGGATGCGAGTTTCCTTGTACATCATCTCGTACTGTTGTAGCTTGACCACTATTGAGCGGGTTTCCTCGAGCTGGGTTGCAAGCCGCTGCAGCTGGACAAAATCCTTACTTGAGTCCTTCACATGCGCCAACTGTGCGCACAGAGGGAGCCAGGGGCCAGGGGTGAAAAACCAGCGCTAGGGGTTCGGAGGGAGAAGGACCCAAAGGTTGACGCTACAGCAGGGTGGATGGGGCAAACGTTTTTGGGGCGCACCTGGGTGCCTTTGTTGTGGCTGTTAGCGTGTGGCGAAGCCGAGTAGCCGTTGCTGGCATGATGCCCGTTGCCGCTGCTTGAGTGGCCGTGCCCGTTACCATTGTTGCTATGATGGTGGTGGCTGCAGGGACAGTGCTCCGGACGGTTAGGAGGGAGGGTAATTAAGATATTCCCAGAAACTTCCTGCCGGGCCGTTAGTTCCCCTACCTATGTTGTTCATGATGCGTCGCCTCCATCTCACGGACTTCCTCGGGGTTTGCAGGGTCGAAGAAATAGAACTTCAGGACTTGTTTCGCATGGGCCTGCGTCATGCGGTACGTGGAGGCCCTGTCAGTTGGCAATTGTCGTGACCTTTATCGGTTGTCGCTTATAGGGATATAGAGCATCAGGAATTCCAAAAATGATGGCGAGCCAGGTCCCAGGTGCAACCTACCTTGCCATTCCCGTTATCGGACACCGCGTTCAAGTGCGTGAGCCCTCGCGATATTGTGCGGTGCGATGGCAGAACAGTATAGGATGTAGAGCAAGGCGTCTGCGCAGGCGCCATGGAGCAAACATCTGTGTTAGCGACCCGCATATAACGTATCCAACACCGACACGGCGCCGTAACCAACGTGCCTGCAACTTGGCTCTACCAGCGACATGGCTGGCAATCGGCAGCATAGCTAACAGCGACAATTGTAAAAGCTAACAGGTTGTCAGGTGTTTTCAATTTTGCCTGTTAGGCGCTATCGGACAACTGGAGGAAATGCGTAGAGGAGAAAGAGCATAAGCGGTAAGCGTAGAAGCAGTTGATGAGAACGCGAAGCCCAGATGGAAGTGAAAATCCGGGCTGCAGTGCTCCAGGAGGGGCCAACGTAACCAGACCTTGATACACATCCAAGCCCTCTCTCTATGCGCTTCGCAACCTAACAAACAAGACAGTAAGGGATTGCAAATCCAAGTGAAGGGAGGAGCTATACTGCCACTCATTGCTAGACGAGACAGCCCCGGATACCTCAAGCCAGCAGGGCTGCGTTGGTGCGGGCTCTGCGGTGCTGAAAGGCAATAGCCATGTGGCGGGGCCTGGTGCAGTAACGCGGTTGCGCCGTGACGTGGTTAGCGCGCTCATCGGGCGGGCTTGGCATTCGGGGTTGCAGCCTCGCAAACCAGTAGCTAGAGCAGATCCCTAGCTTGACAAGCATTACAGTTTTTGCAAGCAGCCTGTGCTGGTGCCCTTCAGGCGCCCGGTACTGCTAGGCGTCGCAGATAAACGCCGCAAAGCGGCCTGCGGACAAGTCCAGCAGCCATGGAATCTACCGGCGTTAAGTTAGCTGCCTCAGATGCCTCCGGCAACAGCGCTGCTCCGTCGACTTCTCCTGCTGCTGCTGCTGGTACGGCAGCTGCGCCTGGGCCTGCCAGCGCCCCAGCTGCTGCACCTTCCTCTGCTGCAGCAGCTCGGCCTCAGCAACAGCCTCCTCAGCCTGCTCCACAGAGCTTCACCACGCCCCGGACCCGCATCTACTACAACCCAGAGCTTTCAGAGTTCAGCTTGGGTGACGACCATCCCATGGTGCCTCACCGCCTGCACCTCACGCACCGTCTAGCCGAGCTGTGGGGGCTGTTTGACGACCCTGCCGTACAGCTGGTCCAGGACTACGCCCCTGCCACACCCGACCAGCTTCGGCGCTTTCACACTGACGAGTACATTGCTTTCCTGGAGTACTTAGACACGCTGGATCTGGCCAGCATGAGTGTGGAAGAGCAGCAGGAGCTGCTAGGTGACGATCTCGCGCTGTTCGGGCTGTCCGTCTGCCGGCCCGCCGTACCCCAGGAAGAGGAGGATGAGGAGGCCGCGGCAGCCGCAGGACCAGGACCGGGCTCGGCGGTTGCAGTGAAGAGCGAGCAGCAGCGCGCGTCGGCGTCCCGGCAGCAGCAGGATCAGCGGCAGCAGCAGCAGCAGCGGCAACGAGCAAAGTCCGAGTCGCAGCAGCAGCCCATGCGGCAGCCTAAAGCGGAGGCCAAGCCGGGCGGACAGGTAGGGCCCTGGAACGGCGGGTCAGGCCAGCAGATAGAGCCTGTGGTTCCGCCGCAGTTGCTGGCCCTGGCCACGCAGCTGGTGGTTAAGCTGGTCCCGCTGTCGAATCAGCAACTGACGCCGGCGCAACAGCAACAGCTGCTTGTCTACCTGAAGCAGCAGCTGCAGCAACAAAATGCACCCATTGCCACGTCTCAGCCGCCTAGAGGGGGATTTGGGTCGGGCGGATCAAGGCCGTTGACCATGGTACGGCCCGGTCAAACGCAGCCGTACGGAAAAGGCGGGCAGCAATCCGGCGGATCTGGATCCAAAAAGCGTAAAGCGGATGGAGGAGGCGGTGGTGGGAAAGGCAAGGGCGGAAGCAAGAAGAACGCCAAGGGCAGGCGCCGGCGGTCCTCGTACAGCGAGGATGATGATGATGACGATGAGATGTCGGAGGAGGATGAGGATGCGTCGCCGGCGGCGCAGCAGCCGCAGCCGGCGGCCTGCGCTGGGGCGACTGGGTCGTCTCGTCCGTCGCGTCAGGCGGCGACTGCGGTGGCGGCGCTGACGAACGCCGTACGGAAAACGGAGGCGGAGGAAAGCGAGGAGGAGGAGAGCGAGGAGGATGAGGATGAGGACGACGATGATGAGGGAGGTGATTGCCCCATCTTCCCTGGGCTGCTGCGATACGTGGGCTTGCAGGTGGGAGGGAGGCGTTGGCTGGTGGGCTCGTTTGAAATGCGTTACCCCCCGATTTGGGTTTGGCTTGGAAGAGCAATTGCGCTGCAGTTGCGCCGACCCACATCACTGACCCACATGGCGCTTCCCGCCCATGCCTCCATGACATGGTTTTCTATCACCAATCACATCCGGACTTACCGCAAGACACCAAGGTCTCCATACATGAAACCCATATGCGACTCATGCAACAATTCCAAACTTGCTTGCACCACGAGTCGCTCGGCTCCCCGACCTAAACCGCGGTGCTGCCGCCACCTTCGCTTCCCCTGCAGGCCGCCGGCAGCATCCTGGCTGCTCGCGACCTGGCTTCCGGCGCTTGTGATGTGGCGGTGCACTGGGGCGGCGGCATGCACCACGGCATGCCGTACCGGGCGTTTGGATTCTGTTACGTCAACGACCTCGTGCTAGCCATTCTGGAGCTGATGGCTGGGTGCGGGCGGGTGCTTTACATCGGTGAGTGGGTGGTGGCCTGGTGGGGTGTTGCAGGTTGGGCTTTAGGATGCTGCGGGATGGATCATGAGTTAAGGGCTTTACGCTGTCATGTGGGCTGTCATGTGGCCCTGTTTTGGGGGACGAATTGGGTCGGGGCAATCTCTGTTGGGGCGGGATGCGAGAAAGGATGGGCTTCTTGCGATGTGGGTCAGGCAAAAAGCCAGCGTTGCTACAGGGTAGGATACCGATAGAAGTCACAACAGGCGGCTGCCCGACTGGAAAGCCTCCTGCCCTTTTTGCGTTTTACCATGCACTGAGTGTTGTCGTGATGCACCTGGTTGCAATGCACTGGCTCGCACTCGCAGACGTGGACGTGCATCACGGTGACGGAGTGGAGACAGCGTTCAAGCGCTCGGAAAAGGTACATTGGACAAGAAACATGATGAAGATTGGAGGAGCGGCATGACGAGAAACGTGCTGTACACTTGACGTGCGAAGGTTGAGGGCAGACAATACTGGGTCTTGTCATATTCGTATGGCGCTCCTTGTTAAGTCCATTCTTGTGTTTAAATCTTGATCCACTCTGCCCCCGCCCGCCCTCGCTCTCCCGCTCTCAGGTGCTCTCGATTAGTCTCCACAAGTGGGACGACGGCCGATTGCAGGTAGGCATGGTGGTGATGCGATGCGGTGAGGAGCTGAGGGCTAGCCCGGTGATACCGTAACGCCAACCCCTGTGTGACCCATGGGTCGTGCATTGGCTTACACCTGACGCCCTACTTGTTGCCAAGCAGCCCCGTCCAACCCGGCCTGACCTACCCCTGACCTCCTCCTGCCAGGCCTCCATCGACACGCTGAACCACGGCAAGCCGCAGCGCCCCGTGTTCTTCCCAGGGACCGGAAAGAAGAACGACCTGGGCGAGGGGTCCGGCAAGTGAGTGCTGGGAGGTTAAGACGGTTGGCAAACTGAAGATCTAGATGCTGGTTTCCGTGAATGATGTGGGTTTTCAGGGGGCTTGGAATTCATGGTGGCAACACGCCTCGGGAGGAAGCAGGGGAGCGGAAATGATCGGTGGTATGAACCCCTCTCGACTGACATACTGCTTTAAATACTGCACTGCTTTTAATACATGCTGCTTCAACGAATGGACACGTACCGTACGTGTGCAGGTACTACACGGTCAACGTGCCGCTGCAGGATGACATCGCGGATGAGTCGTACTTCAACGTGTACAAGGCCGTCGTGAAAACGGCCTTTGAGCGCTTCAAGCCGCAGGTGCGGGGCGGGAGTTGGTTGTTGTGGTGGTGGGCAAGGGTTGCGCCGTGTTGTCAACCCATCATATGTGAAACTCAACGCTGCCCTCCAGCGATTCACCGCCTTCAAAGTCTGTCTCGTGAACTGACCGGCTTACACACACACATGTTCACGCAGGCGGTGGTGCTGCAGTGCGGCTGCGACTCGGTGGCGGGCGACAAGCTGGGTCGCTTCAACCTCTCCATCCGAGGGCACTCCAGGTGGGGCGGGCTGCTGAGAGCTGGGGGCCATCAGCCGTGGCATGTGGCACGGCACGGAAGGGGCTGCTCCTACTACGGATGGAGGACATGACGTCAGGGGGAGTCGGAAACAGCGATAGCCCGGGGTATCGACACTATCGACCTAGCCCTCACAGCCCCACCCACATCATCATCCATGCGGCAACCCCAACCGGCGTTTGCGTTGCAAGCAGTCAAGCAACAACACTCCCTGCATTGTGCACTTCCGTGTGTCAGACCAGCGCACCAACTGACCCAACCGGCACCCAACCGCCACACTCCCCCTCTCCCGCTCCACACACCCGCGGCCAGTTCCCTTAACACACCCACATCACACACGCGCAGGTGTGTGGAGCTGGTTCGCGATCTCTGTCGTACGGGCGGCTGCGAGGGCGGCGGCGCGGGCCGCGGGGGGGCCAACTGGCGCATCCCGCTGCTGGTGACGGGCGGCGGCGGCTACACGCCCCCTCTGGTGGCGCGCTGCTGGGCGCTGGAGACGGCGGTGCTGCTGGGGCGGACGCTGGGGGAGGCGATGCCGCCGGCGGTGGCGGCAGCGGCGGACCTGGCGGACCTGGGCCCGTCGTACTTCAAGTGAGTGGAAGTACGGAAGTTGGTCGCTTGGTTACGTGGATGTTGGAGGGGGGGTGCGTAGGGAGCTCGGATATGGTTGCATGGGGACGGTGGCATGGTCGGTTGGGATGTAGGTGAGGAGGGTGTACACGTGTCCTTGCTTATCTGCGGCCTGACCTTGCCTCTGCATTGTGCGGGGTCTTTTGTATTTCGGTGGTCCTTTTCTAAGTTCATATGCCTTCACGGATGGGTCAGAACAACCTGCCCCGTGTCCTCGTGTCGCCCCTCCTCCTGCTGGGCTCTTCCCCCGGCGCAGGGATGTGGACCTGTCGCGCCCCCCCACCGCGCCCTACTCCATGTGCCTGGACACGATACTGCTGCCGGGAGCCCGTGAGTGGGGGGGTGGGGGTGGTGGGGTGGGGGCAGCGGAAATGGTGGTGGGGCGCAAAGAAGAGGAGTGAGTCTCGTCAAGGAGGGAACCCTGCGAGGAGGCGAAGGAGCAGCTGCCTGCCCAGCTGCTTGACTGCCCTCCATTCTCGCCCCGCCTGCCTCGCCCTACCCGTACCTCACTCCCTTTGCTTGCGTGCTTGCTTGCTTGCTTGGCTGATTCAGCCTTCATTCCATACACTCTTCCCTTGCTCGCTTGCTGTCCCGGCCAACGCAGACAAGCAGATGGACTCCGACTACAGTCTGTCCCGACTGGCAGGTGAGCTGCAGGGCCTTGTGGGGAGACGATTGTGGGGATTCGCGGGGACCGGGAGAGGAGGGATTTGTGGGCCGAGTCGCAGGGCTCATATGGCTCTGCATGGAGACACACGCGTACCGTAATACCTCCTGCTGTAGACACATGCCTAGGTAGCATTATCAAACTACGTACATGTATACAAACGGTGCATCTTTGGGCCCATGCGCAGGATACCTGACGTCAAACATGCAGCGGATAACCATCCGGGACGCACCCTCGGGCACCGCTGCCGCCGCCACCGCCGCCGGTTCCGGCGACAAAGCAGCGGAGGAGGGCGCCGCTGCCGCCGGCGGCGGCGGCACAGACGCGCATGCGGCCGCGCCCGCCGGCCCTGACGGCAAAGAGGGCGGGAAAGACGCCGCCACGGCGGCGCCTGCTGCCAAGCCGGCCTCCAGGTCCCGGAAGTCCGCCTCTGCTAGCGGTCCCGGTGTGGCTGACCCGCTGCGCCACCTGACGGCCGTCAGCAACTACCCGGATGCGGAGGAGTACATTCAGGTGAGCGCAGGAGTGCGGGGGGCACACACTGCAGCCAGCAGCCCCTCTCTGGTGAATGAGGGTCTACGATGGGGCTGGCAAAAAAGCGCGGAAGGCATCCAGTAACGGCCGCTGTTTTGCAAGATGTCGACTGAAACAACGTTACATAATTGTATTCTTGTCGCCGCCTCGCCTTGTTGCTTACAGGATCAGAAGGACCGTGTGGCCGCGAATGCGCCTTGGGCCGCCAAGATGCCTCCTCCGCCGGTGCCCAAGGGACGCAAGGCGCAAGCAGCAGCTGCTGCGGCGGCCGCTGCGGCGCAAGGAGGCAACAACAACAACAGCCGTGCAGGAGGCGCCAATGGCGGAAAGCAAGGGGGGTCGGCGGCGGGAGGCAACCGCCCGGGAGCATCTGGGGCGGCGGCAGCGGGTCAGGGAGGCAAGGGTACGGCAGCTGGCGGTACGGAAAAGCAGTCCGCTGCAGCTGCGAACGGTGCGTCGGTGACGGTCCCGTCGCCCCACGTTCCTGGTCTGCCCACAATAATGCCGTACAAGCCCAAGTCCGGGGCCGCTGCTGCACAGCCGGCCACGGCGGCAAAGTGAGGGCTACCAAGAGCCTGTTAGCGCTGACTCACCTCGCCCTGGGCTGCTGGGCGGACGCCGTCCTTACATACCGAGAGGAATGGCCTCTGGGGTCGGATACTGGCGGCGCATATCGGGGGCAATTGCTGTGCATTTAAGGGGCGGGAATTATTGCTGTGCAGTTAGTATATATGTGGCTTGGGTTGGTTCGTGGGCAGGTTTGTGCATAGGACGTGTGGCTAATTTCGGCGCGCACACAATCGCGAGTGCAGCGTGTGTGTATGTGCATGCGGTTGCTTTGGTAGCGGTAATCAGTAGATGGGTGCATGTTGGAGCTTGGCGAATAGCAGCATCGCATTTGCGTGTGCGTTAAGGGTAGCACTGGTCGCAATTCGTTCCCATTACTCTTGGCGTCATGGGAGATCTCCTCCGAAGGGCATAACGGGCTGCCTCTGCAGTACAAGAAACTCGAGACTCGAATGCGCTGCAGTTACCAGAACATGGCCAGGGGCAATGTTCCTTACTGACAGCGAGCACGAGAGCAAGGAATCGTGTTTGCAAGTTACTCCTACGGCAAACCCAGAAGCCAAGCGTGCCTTTCACAGTAGACTGGATATAGGTGGCGTATCCTGCGGGTGTACTGGTCTTGGGCGGTTAGAGGCAGTGCCTAGGGCTTCTGTTTGTGCATGGATTGTCAGTCGGCTTAGGTCGCTTAGATTCAATGCGTCAGTAGTGGCGAGTGTGAGGATATGCTTTGGCAACGCTAAGTTGGCATTACAATGTCCTTTGTCACTACCAAGAATGACAGTTATGCACGGCAAGTCATGTACGGAAAGAAAATCGCTGGTTGCAGCAGTAAGGTGTGCCCTAGGGCGCGTATTTGTAAGGGTTGGCGAAACCTCAAATAATGGACGCCTAGCTAGAACGACGTTGCACACCTGACCGTCGCATAATACAGGGTGCACAGTATGCACACAAATGGTTGTTGCCGTTGGGTGATGGTTGCCGCTCAAGTCCGTATCAACGCAACACGTCCAGTCTGATAACTATGATTAAGGCTAGCCATGACTAGCCATGCAAATATGCCTGCACTTCCAAACCATCACTACGTTTTCCTCAGCCAATTTGGGTCACGGCTCGCACACATACCGGTTGCTACACGGAAAGTCTAGGTAAGACGGTCACCAAAACCTTATTTCGCTGGAGAGATAGGGCCCCCGACAATAACGAGCGTCTAGCCCTATCCTCACTACCCACATTTAGGATCTGGCCCTTGGCGTCATGTCAATACTTCATCACACCTCCCTCGTATGCACATCCGCCACGTCCTACTCATCTACACCTCCCATTCGTTCCCACTGCCCGTCCTCATTTAATCGTTCCCGGGCCGCAAACCTTCAATACACAAACAGACCGCCTCAGCGGCTGCTGTTAGGCGGCCGACGCAGCACATCCGACAGACTCAGCGGTTTCACACTGGGAGACGGCGGCCGACGCGGCAGCGTCCAATCGCCGCTGCTGCTTCCCCCTCCGCTGCTCATGCTAAGACTGCTGCTCATGCCAGGGGCCATGGGGCTCAGGCTGCTGCGCGACAGCGAGCCCAGCAGCTGCGGCTGCCGCTCCAGGAGGGACGACTCCGCCCGCGATGCCACCGAGGAGAACAAGCCCTCAGAGCGGCTGTTAGGCCACCTGGCCTCGGGATCTACAGACTCGCGGGGGGCAGCCGGCATGCTGCTCCGCTCAAACTCCCCGTGTGACTGGAAATCGGGGTCGCCCACGGCGCCCTCCCTGAGTGCGGCAGCGCCCGACGCGGCGGTTGAGAGTCGCAGCGTGGGAAGCGGCGTGGCGGCGTCACCCTGGTCCCGAGAAGGTACTCCACCGCTGCAGCGTTGGGGCGATTCGCCCTCCGGGAAAGCCGCACCATCCTCGGTACCCTCCTCATAGTCATAGTCATCATCGTCCCCGCCGCCGCTGCTCAACCCTCCGTCGCCCTGTATGCTGTCGTTGCTGTTGCCACCGGAATCCGCACGCCCCAGCGGTGTCGCGGGTAGCTGCCCTTGGGCCGCAGCCGCCGCATCAGCAGCCTGGGAATGCTGCTGCTGCTGGGTACCGCGACGGAACGGAGCTGCGCTGCTGTCCATGCTCTCGCACAAGTCCAGAGACACAGCCAACAGCGTTTCCGGCGGCATGTCCGAGACATCAAACACGTCATTGTCGTACAAACTGACGCCCAGACGCGCGGTGGAATCCCGTGGCCCCGGAATCGCGGCACCGTAGTCGTCAGGTCCGTCCGAGGAGCAGGTCGGCTGGTCGGCAAGGGACGTCCGTACGCTTGCCGTACCCGGCTCGCTAGGCTCCGCTGCACCCCGATCCCGCTCGCTATAAGCCCCGGCAGTCGTACCAATGCCACGCCCTGAAGTCGCATTCCATGCCTGACTGGCCATGCCGCCCGCAGCCGCAGCATCGCAGCCAACTTCTTCCTTCTCATACCAGTCGTCCTCTTCAGCATGGTCGTTAGAAGGGAGCCCCTCCTCCGAAATAAGTTCGTCGTCCCCTGCGGCAAAGTCCTCACTGTATGGTACTTCCTCCTCCTCACCCAAGGTGGGCCCGGAGCAGCCGCCGCCGCCGCCACTGCTCGCATGGGGGTGGTCCTGGTCCGCGGTGCGCCGCGTCTTACGCGGCCCGTCTGAGTCAAAACCACTCGACTCTGGTGACGGCAGCGGCGGAGCTTCATTCCCATGCAGCGCCAAGGATGCGCCTGGCAATGGCTGCCGCTGCAAAGGTGGCGGCGGTGGTGCGGCTCCTGCTGCTGCCGGGGCCGCAGCGGTCGAAGACACCGCAACGGCAGCTCCACCTCGATCCATGGAAGCCGTACGCCAGGTGTTGCTGCCGCTCTCCAGCTGGTCCAGCAGCGCAGTTAGGGGACCCCCGACGCCGGCACCAGCAGCTGCGGCCGCCTCAGCTGCGGCCGTCACGCTGGGTCGCCGCGGGCTGCGCATCGGGCTCTGAGGTCGCTGCTGCTGCTGCGGCGGCGGCGCTCCCATCAGTGATTTCGACGGCGAGCGGGGTACGGCAGCAGCATCCGGTGCAGCTGACGTCACGTGCGGGGTCTCCTGCGCTTGGTGCCCAGCCCGCCAGCCGGGCGCTCCTCGAGGCGACGCCAGGGGGACAGACGCGCCGCCGCCGCCGCCGCAGTCCCTAGGGCTGAGCGGCGGAGCTGCATGCTGCTCGCGGGGCGAGACCGGCGCCGCCGTCACCGCCGCTGCTGGATGGTCCACGGGGACATCATCCACAAAGGTGACACTGCGCCGCCGTGCGGTGCGCTTCTTGCTCCAGTTGTGGTTGCTCATGCTGCTGCTGTCGCTGTGCTGTTCGCGCAGGCTGCTGCTGCCGCCAGAGCTGCGACAGGTCTCCTCCGACGAGTCCTCCACTGCCGACTGCCGCGGCGACTGGCAGCGCTGCGGCTGCGTCATGGGGAAGCTGAAGGAAGCCACAACGGGCAGCAACGCGGCGTCAGCATCCGCGGCATCTGCCAGATGGACCGCCAAGCCGGCGGCGGCAGTCTCGGCGGAGGATGTGAGATCCTGGCGACCCGGCAGCGTGACCAGTGCCGGGGCCGAGGTCGTGGCCACGTCTTCTTCGCCTGCAAGAGCCGCAGCAACCGCAGCGGCCGCAGCAGATGCGGCTCCTGGCGACCCCGGGAGGTGTGTGGCCGCTAGCTCTTGAAGCAGCTGAGCCTGGCGCAGCTGAAGGCTGCGCAACGCAGCCCCCAGCGCATCATCGTCAACACGGTCGCTGGCGGTGCTGTTGAGTGGGCCACCGGCAGCTGCTGTCGCTGCCCGGCCGGGTGTGGTAGCCGCTGCTGGTGCTGAGGCTGCCGTACACCTAGGAGGCATCAGGGGCTCCGACACGACCGGTGCTGCTGATGGTGATGAGGACGGAAGGAGGACCGCATGCACCCTTTGCCGCGCCTCCTCCTCCATCTCCTCGTCCTGCCCTCCTCCTGGCTGCTGCAGGTGTTGCGGCGTAACGTCGAACGCGTAGCTATGACGGAAGACCTCCGGTGTGCGGCCCGGTGTAACCCTAGGGGCGCTGCTGTTACCGCTGCCACTGCCGCTGCACCTTACTGCCGCACCGCTGCTGCCGCTCTTGCTGCCCACTTGTTCCCCACTTGACCTCCTCCCGCCGCCACCTGCCGCGGCATCACCCCTCGAAGCCTCCTCCCCCTCCCCCTCACCGTTGCGGCTGCTGCCTGCTGCCCGCAATCCGCCGCCCTGCTCGTAGTAGGCACGCGCGAGTTTGAGCGGCGACGCCATCTCCGTCCTGCTGTCCTCATCCAACCCAAGGCTCTGGCTCATGTCGGTTCCCAGACCCGACCTGCCAGCATTGGAGCGTGGCTTGGAAGCCGAGGCCGAAGCTCCGGCAACAAGCGACAGCGGCAGCAGGTCGGTATCACACATGGGCTGCTGCTCACATCTAGCCAGTTCAAGGCCGCCTGGCGAGGCCGCCTTGGTCTCTTCCTCCAGCGTTCCGAGGGGGGCTGAGTGGGTTCCCGGCAGCAGCAGCGCGGCGAGCTCGACTGCGGACTCGCTGTAGCGCGGTTTGGCGGCCTTGATGGAGGCGTTGATGGGCGCAGGTCCGCCCAGGATGTACGCTCCCCGGCCCGTGCTGCTAATGCGCGCGCCAGGTGTCGAGGCGCGTTTGCGTGGAAGCGTGTTTGAGGAGCCGTCGTGTCGGGCCCAGCAGGCAACCGTGCGGGGCTCCGGCGTTCTGCGGAGCCAGCGAAGGTTTTCGGAAAGGGGGCGGGCGAACAAAAGGGTTCAAGCTTAATTATATGGTTACAGGTTCACCCTAGGCATGCCACAGCGCATTTGTCTTAACGAAGACGGGGTCGCCGCAGGACCATGCAGAGGCCTTGAACTTGCGTGTAAAGGCCTAATGGGTTGGCGCGGCATACCGATGGCCCCCATGCGTACCTAGCTCGACGCCGCTCGCCCATGTGCTCGCTGCCCACTGCCTCTAACGCGCCTCCAGCGCTACGCCCGCAGCCAACCGCCAGCGCCAACGCATCCACATGCCTGCGAGCGCCCAGCGCCGCATACGTCCGCTCAGGCCCCGGCCGCGCCGCCGCTGCGCTGCTGGCTCCCCCGCAGCTGGCGGATCCGCGGTTACGTCGCGGCTGCGCCCAAAGCACCCGGTCGCCTTGGGACACCGGAACCGCCATCAGCGGGGAGGAGGGCGAGGGCGAGCCCCCGTTGGATGCATGGGAAGCGCCCGAGGGGGCAGCGGAGTCACAGGCTGCGAAAACAGCTTCAGCGACCGCCTCGCTTTCGTCGTGCTGCTGACACAGCCTTGGGCTGGCAGCTGCAGAGGTCCCGCTTCTGTGTTCTCCGCCGCCTTCGCTAACAGCGGCCGCGGCCTCCATCGCCGCTACAGAGAAGGCGTTAGCGGCGGCAGCAGCAACTGCCATATCACCATCACCCGTACCGTAGCGACTCCTAGCCCGGGTCGCTCCGGGTGTTGTTGAGGAGCGTTGCGTCATAGCTCCATTGCCGCCGGCAGCACTGCTGCTGCCACCGCCCATGCCCGACCGCGGCACTGCCCCTCCACCGCCACGTCCTCCCCCACCTGACGCCGCCGGCCTGTTAGCAACACCCCTCACCGTTCCCCCAGCAGCAGCAGCTGCTCCTGCCCCCAAGTCACCCGCATGCCCCGGTCGGGACCCCAGATCTGACCTAGGCCTCATGCGAGCGCCCGCGATGGCCCTCCCAGGCGGTGTGCGCTCCCGACGCCCGCCTGTCGAAACCGCACGCTGCTCCGGACCGCGTCGGGACCGGTACCCCTGACCGGCCTCGCAACCACCAACCGACTTGGAGCGGCCGCCTGTGGAGCGCGGGGGCTGCGGGGAGGGCGAGGCCGCACGACGGGTGCGACCTAGGCTTGCAGTGCCCAGGAACAGACCGCCGGTCATGCCGTGTTTTGCGGGGTACGGCATGACCGATGGGCTGCCATCCCGGCTGCTGCTGGTTCCGTACGTGTGGGTCAGCTTGGCTGGGTTGACTTCTTCGGAGGAGGGTGTGTGGTCGGGCGCGCCGGCTTGGGAGGTGGGGAGGGAGAGGCTGCTGCCGACATGGAGTGCTGTTAAGGCGGGTTGGAGGTGCAGAATGGAACGTAAGGCGAAAGAGGCTGTAGCTGGCATTGTTGCAGCCGATGCGGCACGGGAGGAAACCGTCCTGGGCAACGGCGGGCCTGCACAGCAGCGCGAATTGGAAAATGGGACCTTGTCAGCTCGGGGTTGCTGTGTGCTGGAGACGGAGCAAAGGATAAATGGCGCCCATTTATTAGCGGCATGGGTTGGCAAAACATGCAATCTATAAAGGCTGTGCACAGCTCACTGCAGGGAGCATAATGCACCAACTAAACTATTCCAGCACGCTGAGACCCAAGATCCACTACCACACCTCCGTCCCATGCCTCCCCCCACCCGACCTTGTCTCACCTTGGTGCTGATGAGCCGCCCACGCGCCACCAATCCCATCTGCAACACCTCCCCCGCCCATGCCGGAAGGGATGATCGTAACGACAGCATGCCCCTCCCCATGGCTCCCCAGTCGTGGCACCCCGTCCTCGCCGCCCGCCGTCGTCAACGGCCCTGCTGCGGGACCCGTCACGCCACCAGCGGGTTCGCTCGTGGAGCTGGCTACCACCAGGGAGCAGCTCCCAGCAGAGGTACCGGTGTCCCCGCATGATCCCGTCTGCAGGGCTGCGAATGCTGCAGCGGCGGCGGATCCGGAATCTGGGGAGGGAGACACCTGAAGCAGCGCCTCGGCTGCGGCGGCAGCAGCGGAGGCTGCAAGCGCCGCGGCGGCTGCGGGGTCGCTCTTGTAGCGAACCAGCGTGTCGAGAGTGGGGTCGCTTTGTCGTACGATAGCGACGAGCAGCGCAATTTCCTCCTCCATCTGTCGTACCTGTATGGATTTTTGAAGAGCAAAGCGGTCAGCCCATGATGCGGTTCGTATGCTACTCCGCGTTTCGGTGAGAGGTAGGAAAGAGAGACATGCGACATGCAGCAGCAGCGCACGTCAACTCTTGGCCGGCAGTACGCATGCAAGTACGACCAACACGGCATCTACCTGCTCCTGTGCCGCTTGCCGCGCCTCCTTCTCCGCCGCAACCGCCTTATCTAGCGCGGTGTTGCGTGTGCGCAGCAGCGTCGCCCGGGACTCCAGCTCGCGGACCAGAGCTGTAATGGGAGGCAGGGCGGGTCAGGGTGTGCGGAATGAACACTTGCCGTTTTCGAGCCACCTGCTCTGGGACCATGCCCTAAGCCCTATGCCAGCGAGCCACCGGCACATGACCTCGTGCACCCCACATGCGCCCCGTGGCACATGCCTTGGCACACGTGGTGGCCTCAGCCCTGCAGCCCTCACCCAACCCTCCCCAACCCTCACCCGCCGACTCCTGCGCCACCCTGGCTGCAGTCGCCAGCTGCTCCTGCTGCGCCTCCGCCTTCTTGGCCAGCGCGGCCAGCTGCCGGTCGCGGTCGCCCTTGCGGCTGTGCAGCTGCTGGTGCTCGCGCTGCAGGGGGGGGGGGGGTGTTGTACGACACGAACGGCATTGTGAGTTTTTAGTTGAGCGACCGATGGCATAGATGCCGTAACTGCTGGTGTGCTCAGACCCAGGTATACGTCAGGAAGGCACCCGGCTATGGCGCCCCAGCAGACGTGCACATGCGAGGGCCGGTCCCCCAACACACCAGGATTCCAGCCGCAAGCAGCGCATGCAATGCAGTACGGGGTATTCCATCGTATCATGCAGCCCGAACCGCAACAACGACCCTTGCGGAAACGAACCTGCAGCTTTGCCAGCGCCGCCAACGCCGTCGCTGCCTCTTGCGACGCGGCCTCCAGCTCCCGACGCAGTCGGGCCTCCCGCAGCGCTCCGTCCCTGCGAGCCGCCTCGGCCGCCGCCTGCGACTCCTCGTGCCGCCGCCGCAGCGAGCTGAATTCGGCTTGGACCTGTACGGCATGTACCGGTACGGCAGAGCGGGGGTTCACATGGCGGAGGGCAGGACGTGGTCCTGATGCGGCCGTGTGGTAATGAAACGACCGGCTGCACAGGTGCTGACGTACACGGCAGGGCACCCGCGAGCGTGAGCTTGTTGTTCAACGCGTGTGGCCCTACCCTCCAAGCCCCTTTGCCCCTTCGCCAAGCACAGCGGTCCAATGCCCCGCTTCCTTACCGCCGCCAGAGCTCTGTCCCGCAGACCTAGCTCCTCCGTCAGCTGCGCCGCTGAGGCCTTGGCGGCATCATAGTCGGCCTGTGAGTGCATAGGAACCGTAGTAGGTGACACCGGTAGAAATCTTTGCAGAACCGTGGTGCAGAGGTTGAGGAGGTTTGTGCGATTAAGCACTGAATGGCCCAGAGATCGGTACGTCAGCAAGGCGCTAGCCAAGCCGCCAAGCCTACAGACCGGGTATGCACCCTTTCATTAACCCTCGTCTGCACTCCTAGCAACACTCCCACCTGAAGCGCCGTGTGAGCCGTCCGGAGCTGCTTCAACTCCTGGGCTGCCTGCATGGAGGCAAGGAGCAACAGAAGGAGAGTCCATTACCACCAGGGGGACAGGCTCGCAACACAAAACTTGAAAAGAAGTTGATGCGGATTCTGCACTACCGATAATGCGGTCATGACTACACGGGAAGCACTGGGGCGTTGGGAAGCGCTGCCTGTTGCGCCATGCCTCGCCGCTCCTCTCGCACCTGTTCCGCGGCTGACAGCGTCTCCTCCAGCGTGCCGTACAGCGTCCGGTTCTGGGAGGCCAGCGTCTCGTTGGTGGCTCGCGCCCGAGTGAGCTGCTGCTTCAGGTCGGTTTCGCGGTCCATGATCTCCTTGATCTGATCTAGCAGCTGAGGTTGCGCTTGCGGCTGTTGGTTGTGCTGGACCTGTGTTGGGGAAAAACATCACATTTCACCAAAATAGAAGCAGTAGTTCAACGTTTTCAGCTGCTGCACCGCAACAAGAAGCCCAGTTGCTTGTGCATCTGGTGCGTATCACCACGCACAGCAGCAACATGCCGACCTAGCCAGCACTCGGGGCATACCTGGGCCTCTGACACGGGGATCTCCCCTTCCCACCACGCTAACCCACATCCGTAACCCCTCACCTCACGCGGCGTGGAAGCTCCCAGCGTTGGCGCCCCTTCCTTCCCCGCATCCCCATGCGGTGCTGACAACGCCGGAAGCGGTTGGCCTGCCGCGTTGCGTGCCTGCTGCTGTTGCTCTTCCTGGGCTTCAAACTCCAGGTCCGCGCGGTTGGACTGCAGGTCCGACAGCTGGGCGGACAGCGCCACCACCTGGGGGGGGGATTTATAGATAAGTGCACCAGCGGAGGCGGAGGGGTAGGCAAGGATTGGAGGGAAGGGACATACACACAGTACAGCGGTGCATGCTGTTGGGGAGAACCGATGAACGGCCGCTATGGGAACATTTGCCGGAGATGGTGTTCTAGGAGGACGGGAGAGGCTGCCTCGAGACATACAGTACATTGGGCATGGATGCAAACAAGAGCACGCATGGGAGGAGGCCCTGAGCTGGTGTTTCTACACAGAGGCTGTGACGAACACAACTCACCTGCTCCTCCAGTCGACGAATGCGTGACTGGGATGCCGTGGCCGCCCCGCCGTTACCGTTAACCTCCACCTCCTGCTGCTGCTGCGGCTGCTCCTGCTGCCGCTGCTGTCGTGGCTCAACAGCCGTCGGACGCTGAGGCGGTGGCGACAAGGAAGGCCTTCCTCGGCCACCAGACGCCGCTGCTGCCACCGCCGTCGCTCCCGACCGCGCCGTAACCGGCCCACGTCCCGGCGACGGGCTGGTCTGCCTCTGCACGTGTTGCCGCATGGCCCGCTGCTGCCGCTGCACCACAGCCGAGGCCGCGGACCCCGCACCTCCAGCCGGCCACGCCCCAGCCGTGGACGAGGTGCCACGCCGCGGTGACGGCGAGCGGTCCTCCACACCTCGACCCCACCCCGCCACGCCACTTAGCAGCGCAACCCGGGTTGCAGCTGTGGCTGCGTACCCGGGGATGTGCCCTGTAGCTGCACCCTTGGAGGATGCCGAGGACGTCCGCCGGGACCGGGAGCCCTGCTGCGACCCGATTTGGACCAGATCGTCCGCTGCGAGAGCGGAGGCAAAGGCCTCTAGCTCGCTGGTATCGCCCATGACGGCTGCGGACTGGTCGCCGCCGTGGGGGTGCACGCTTGCGTTACAGGTCTGAACCTCCGTGGCCTGAGCCGCGTCAGAAGCAGCGGTAACGGCGGCTCCATGCACGTAGCTAGGGTGTGGCATCAACGCCGCTGCCACCGCATTGGCGCCTGTCACAGGGGCAGCAGCCCGCAAATTGCTAGCAGGCCCAGCCGCCGCCACCATAGGCCCGCCCCCTACACCTCCACTACCAGCCGCGACCCCGGCTGCTGCTGCCGTACCACCCGCAGCCGAGTCAGCAAGCGGAGGGCACGCTGCCGGCAGCTTGGCCTCGGTGCTGCCCGGCTCCGCAGCCGCCCGAGCCTCCGCAATACGTTCTGGCGTGGTAGAGCGCTGCTGCTTGAGGGCTCGCAAGGCTGCAGTACGAGTAATGGTGTTTGAGCTGCGACCGCCGCCTCGTCGGGCGCCACCGCCTGCCTCGCAATCAGCGCCCACATTGGACTGCGCAGCATCTCCATGCGGCTCTGCGGCTCCTGATGCATGGCTCAGTGCGTGTGGCTGAGCCGCACCGGCAGCGGACCGGTTGGCTGGTAGGCCGGGGCTGACGTCACGGGCGTTGCCATGATGGCTATGGTCCACCTCGGCAGGGGAGGCAGCACCCGCCCCTCCAGAGCGGAGGATAGCTTGGCTAGTAGCGCCGCAGCCGCCGTCGCTCTTCCCACCGAACCCTTCATGCTGACGTCGGGAGTTGGGGCTGTTGCGGGCTCCTCCGCCGGCTTTGACTGCATGGTTTGCGGCAGTGGAGGCCTGCAGACGCTGCTGGGGGGTGGTGTGTTGCTGTTGCTGCTGCTGCGCCCGTTGCCGCAGGATTGCGTTTGCGGGTGCTGTTACCCCAGGCGCGGCCGAAGAGGTGCAGCCGGGAGTTGCGTGCGTTGTGGCGGTTGAGGATGCTGCGGTTGCAGGAGTGGCTACGTTGGAGGCTGTCGCCGGGCCCTGCAGCTGCAGGGATCCGGAGCCATGGAGAATACTCCGGGAGAAAACCAGCTGCGGTACTACCTGCAGTGTACGGAAGGTGCCAAGGGCAGGGGCCAAGGGCGCCAGTCCGCAAGGAAAGATGTTACCAGGGGGCACAACTGCGCTGCGAAATGGGTTCATAGTAGGGTTGAGTAGACCACACGCACGGTCGCGTGCGTGAGATCCTGTGAGTTAGGACACCAGGATAGGATAGGGCTAGAACACCTCGGGAGCCGTATAGCTAGGTGAGCTGGTGGCTGATGTGACGCTGGGCTGTGCAAGGTGCGAAGGACCTCTGTGAAGCACCTTACCGAGGCGGTCGTGCCTGCAAGGCTGGAATCCCGTGAGCTGGCACCTCCATAAGTTGCTGTGGTTGGGCCTGTAGAGCACGGGCGACGGGTTTTGCAATGAAGAAGCCAGCAGAGAACAAAGGTAGAGCGGAGGGGACTACACCGAGATAAGTTGCTTGCACCAAATCGCTGGGGTACCCAAAGCCTTTTCTTGTTCTTGCCCCCTCGTCCCGCCCATACGACTGGACGACTGTATTAAAAATAAAACTTGGCCAGCCTCAAATGTTTAGAAGTAGATGCCTTACGGTGTGAGTTGGGCAGTTTCGCTGCGGCACCCGCTCGGCGCTTGTCCACTCCAGAGACGCATCGACCAGTGCTGAGGTCCCGCTGCTGAAACGCAGATCCAATGCTCCTGCGACATTCCAGCCCCTTGTAGCATCATTTGTTGACCTTTCCTTGGTAACAATAAGCAGGTCTTCCCAATCCCCCAGGAGCAGACCTCGCGGGACTCCGGCCACCTTGCGACCTTGTGTTACCCGCTGATACTATTCGAGTTAAAACGCGGTCAAGAACCGCATCGGTGTGCGATAACTGGGACATTGCTCAGCCAGCTGGTCAACTCCTGTTAATTGTTTGAGCTCTACCCTGCATTATTATGTACATCCTTTCGAGCATTGTCCACATACGCCAATTCTGTTTGGCTTGTTTGCGTTCGGATACCAGCTTCACACCGAGGACCAGCATGAGGACGCACCGAAATCAAAACCTGAATCCAGAAGTACATAGGCGACTGGTAGAAGGAAAGTCAGCTGCGACTGCCAGGTCCACGTAAGGTTTGCTTACTCCTATAATATAATCATGTCTCCTATGCACGCGCCGCTTTGGCGGAGGCTTGGCCCGGTGGCACGTGAGTCGGCACACTCGGCACCAGCCTTTTGCAGGCTTAATAACAAACCATTAAAGAACGCTTGAACCCCGTATACCAATAACTGTTGGACTAGCACCAACTCGGCCTTGCGTTGTGTCCCAGGTGCCGGATTCACCTCGTGCGTCATCATGCAAGCTGGCGACGTCGTATGTCAGTGCATCCAACGACGAAAAAGGTGCGTCACCCGCACCTGGATGTGCTAGGCTTTCCTGACGTTCTCTCCCTCCGCGCAGACGAGCTACCTTCGCATGGCGTGAGCATGACTGGACACGGACAGCACAATTTGGGCTTATTGGGCTGACTCTTCATGGCCCATTTTTCTGGTGGGGCTTTGGAATGCTGGACAAGCGCTTTGGTCCAGCCAAGAGTCTTTTGACGGTAGGGACGTGACAGATGTGGTTCCTAGCAGCGTTGAAAGCGAGTCAAAAGCCCCACCGCAAGTCTGTCCAGTGTTTCCCCGCGAACACTCCTATTAGTACCGGTACCGCATAAAAATGCCGGAACCTAGCTCCATTTTAGCCCAATGGTGACCTGCCTACCAGCACTGCACGTGTTCCCGTGCACCCCTGTTCCCGTATTCCCGGCCTTATTCCACCAGTCCGTAGTCCCAGCCTAAGGGAACTGTCTTCCTGTGCAGGCGGCAAAGAAAGCCGCATTCGGCCATATGACCATCTTTCCAGTGTACATTGTCGCCTTCTTCTCCTACATCACTCTCTTGGAAACTCGCGGCGACTTGGCGGCAGCAGCAGACAAGGTCAAAGCCAGCTTTGTCAAGACCTTCGTCGCAGGTGGTTTTTTTAACGCCCCTGCTCTTCAACCTACCTCATGTCCGGTTGCCTTCTCCCGTGCCTACCATATCTTCCTCACCCAGAGGTTGGCTTCTTACCCCTCAGCCACACTGCTTCATTGCACCTCCTCAGCTCTTGCCCGGGCCTGTGCCCCCTCCATCCGCGCCCAACCTCCTCCCGGCTAGGCTCGCTTGCATCGCAATTACGCGTCATCACTGACTTTGCCACGGGTTATCGCCATCCTTCACAACATGATAACAATCCTATCCTCCTTAGCTCCTTTCCCGCTTCCCCTTCCTTCCCCGTGCCGCACATGCCCCCCTGCGCCCCGCAGGCTCCCTCCTATGGCCACTGGCCAACATGATCAACTTCAGGTTCTGCCCGCCAGCTGCCCGCGTACTGTACATCAACGCGGTGGGTCTCCTGTGGAACGCCGTCCTCAGCGCCTTCAACAGCAGCGCGCTGGAGGCACGCACGGGCGCCGTGCAGGCCGTTGCGGCATGAGGGCGGGAGCGCCATGCGAGCCGCCGCCAACACGCTATGGTGTGCGCCAGACGCCGGATGAGGGTAGACGTATGCTGGGAAGGAGGAGGGTATGGGCAATGGAGGAAGTAGGCCGTTTAAAGCTGTATGGATGCGGCGCACCGCTACTACAGTTTGGGGGGATGCAGTGCACGCGGCCGTTGGGGTACTGTTTTTTCAGGTTTGTGCACACGAACTGGGGTGGGCTGTGCGGCGGGCTTTGTGTCGGAATCGGCGCCGCTGTGTGTGAGCCCAGCGGTCTCCCTGTCACACACGGATTGCCATGGAGCGCGTTTCGTGCATAAGAGTTGCTAGGGAGAGGTTCGTCGGTACTGATGTGTATGCGAGCGGGTCGCTATTGGCAGTGATGGCAGTGATGGATGTCTAGAGGTGGTAAAACGGTAGGATATATGGAGGAGTATTGGCACCCTTTTATGCGCCATGATGGGCCTAAACACGCGGGAACCCGCGTCTAGTACTGGTAAATGCTCGAAGTGAATTTGCCTCGTCGCGTTATGCAGCAGTGAATTATCCTACCGACATGGGAGGGTGCATGTGTACATTGTGAGGGTGTCAGCGTGTGAGCGACACAAGTTCAACACAATGTTTGTTAGTGTATAACCTATGTTATTGAAGTGCTGCTCAGTGCTTTCAACCTTAGCCGCGGTCATTGACGTAAATGGCGCCTTGTTGTGGTGAGGGGGTTGAGGAGGATATGCGTCCGTCAATGGCATGCCGTGCGGAATGGCCCAGCGAGTGGCTCAGTAACGAAATGCAAAGCATTTACGTGGTTGAAATGCTCATGGTGAAGGGAAGGGGTAAGCTATATTGGGCATTTGGACCTCCGGGCCCTGAACGTTGTACGAGGACTTGACTGGGGTAGCATGGCGCGCTTGGGCGCACCCAGGGCACCGTGCAGCTTTCCTCTCTACAGCCATGTGCTGTACATTTGCCATGTATGGCAGTCATCATCTTGCTTTTGAAGGCACCTGAACACAGGATGAGTTGCCGAGCTGCAGAAGTGCTTATACTGTAGGTACTGTGTTGCTCCGAAACCGGATGCAACATGCACGGTTGCACGCAGTCCAGCGTTTACACAAAGCAAGAAGGGTGTTCTTGTTTAGCGCATCTGTTAAAGCACGGGCTTACAGCACCACCGGTTAGCTATTAAGCCACCAACTGACGCCCTTGCATATTAAACGTTAGATCTTGCTCAGAAACTATTTATAAGCATGAGGCAACGACCTCCTACCACTGAGAAATTTGACGTCGTTGATTCGCTTCTCGGCAACAACTCCAAAATTGAGACATCTGCGGAACCCCTGGACGAGCAGGAACAGGAGGCCATCATTCAGGAGTTTGAAATCCTTGCGATTCAGCAGCATCGCACCTGGCGCAGCGTGTTCGGCGCTGGAACGGTTGCTGCGGGGCTGTTCTTCCTGTATGCGGCATGGCGACAGAAAGTGGAGCCCTATGGCGTGGTAGGGCAGGAAACCGACACGGTATACACTTAACGGCTCATCGCCATCAACAAAAGTATTGTGTGAGGCCTCTGTACCCGACTGCGGGGTTGTGTTCCGATAGCCGCAAGGCTAACCCATCACATTGCTTCATTCCGTGCCGTCCGCAGCGCTACACAGGGGAGCTACGCAGTGTCACCGGCGCGAGCACTGTGACAGCAGTCCTTGCGCTTCAGGGGGTATCGCTGCTGCTCGCGGCAGCAGGTCTGCTCGTCAACCTACCTCCTAAAGCGGGCGCGGGTAAGCAGAAGGCCGGCTGCATGGCCTGTGCACAACGCTGGAAAGAGGAGTGTAGTTTTCGCCAGGGAAGCGCCGTCCTTGTCGCAATCTAGTCTTCTAGATGGCAGGATAGCGTCTAGGGCCCCCCCAGGATAAGGCAACACCCTGACATGCTCCCAACGCACAGCCACGTGTAAGCATGTGCATGCATGCATGCCCGCCCTGCCACGTACGCAGCGCCCATTCGCACGCCTCTTGACCCCCTGCTCTATACCACCCCCCTCCGAACCAGGTCAACGGGAGGCGGCGGGCTGCCTGCCATTCGCAGTACGGCAGCGGTTGGCCTTGTGGTCCGGGGTGTTGGGCGCGGCGGGTGCGGGCGTGTACTGGGCAGCAGCTCTGGTGCGTATGGTGCAGCTGCATGGGGCGCAGGTGGGGCTGCGGGTGGGAGGGAGGGGAGAGAACGTGGCCATGTGATAATGCTCCACCAGCGGGGTAAGGGGAGGGAGGGAGGAATCAAGCTGGGGCATGAGCTTGCGCCTAGAATGGGAGGCTGATGTAGGGCGAAGTTGGGACATGGGAGAAAGCTTGAGGGTCCGCGTTTGCTCTGGGAGTGACGTGGTGAGGCTGGTGGGAAGGGGCAGCGGGGCACCCACAGCAGATTACACACCTCGCTGGCACCTCTGATATAGATTCCCAATTGTCCCCCGCTGTGCTTTGACTTGGTTTTCGTACGGCATTCAAGTACGGCAAGCGCTGGGAGCTGTCCTGGCTGCCCGCTGGACCCTTGGCTGCCTGCCTGGTGTGCTGCTACGTGGCGTCTTCATTGTACGGCACGGAAAGAGAGGTACAGTGCTCCACCCTAAACCTACTGGGGTACAACCTTGCGCACCCTAGCCATGGTGACGCCTCCCCTGCTTCAACCCCCAGTCAGGTGCATTGCAGGCGGTGACCTAGTGATAATACTTAAACACGTACGACATTACCCTGGCCATGCGACGGAATTGAATGCTCCATTTTTGGACCTCGCGTTTCGCGTGGACAGCAGTTTCACATCAGGATTCCGGAATGCTTCTTGCTAGTGTACATAGCAACTATCATACATTTCCCTAGCCCACCACCACCTCACTGGTTTGCGCCTCACCCCATCACCTGCACTTCCCCTCTTGCTATTATGAGGTTTATGACGACCCTTTTCACCGGTAATGCCCACGCCATCACCTGCTTCCTAGTTGGGACTCAGTGGCCTCCCACGCAGCCGACTGTCACAGCCATGCTCTGCACGTTACTGCCAATCATATAGCCCCTCATACCCCTTCCCCACCCCCCCACAAGCATAGCCCCGTCACCTCGCCATTAAGGACCGCCGGTCCTAACCAGCAGCGCGCCTTTGGCCTTTTGGCGGACGCCCTAACCTCACGTCTTAAATCCTTCCTTCTTATCTCCCTCCTCGTCCCTCCTCTGTGTTCACTCGCAACATCTACACCCCCGCAGATACAGCGCCTTCGGAGCTACCGCTACCGCTACAAGAAGCTGTGACAGGGTTCACACTCACACACGTCAAGGGGGTCAATCATAGTACGTTCCGCCTCGCGGACAGCTGTTTTAACACGTCAAGGGGGAACAGGCGGACTGTAGCGCATGCGTCCGCCACCCCGCCCACACGCCTCAGCTGCTGCTGCTGAGTCTCCTGCTTGGAAGAAGCCATCCCGCGATGCACCTTCGCCACCCGTCTCACCAGCGGGCCGCCAAGTACCGCCCTTCCTGGCCCAGTCCTGCGCGTTGCCCTGAGCCGTACAGCGCCCGGCAGGCTGCCTCAAGCAGGCTGGCCAGGCCAGGCTAGACTACCCCAGATGGCTTGCTGCTGCAACTACCCCAGATGGCTTGCTGCTGCAGCAGCGGCAGCCGCTGTTTCTCGCCAGCAGCCGCCACCGTGCTATACTAGTACCGCTGGTGCTACACCGGGCAGCACACGGGGCCGCTGGCACGCAGCCCGCCGCCGCCGCCGCTGTGTCTTCTCAGACCCGCCCCTGAGACTGCGCGGGTATCACCCACACCAGCAGCAGCGCCAGCAGCAGCACCGCCAGCGGACCCAGCAGCAGCCGCGGCGGCAGGATGCGCGCCAGGCCGCGCAGCATGGAGGTGAGGGACACATGGAAGGCGCGGATGATCGCGTTGTTGTGGTGGAATGCCGCGAAGTGTTGGCCGATGAACTAGGGGGGGAGGAGGAGGTGGTTGGCGGAGAGGACAGAGGGCAGGGGGGTGGAGAGGACAAAGGGCAGGGGGGGTGGGTTCCGAAGGGTTGCAGGAGTAGGGAAAAGAAAGCGGCAGCAGCCGCAGGAAGGGTACCTGTAGCAAAGAAGCAGCAATGGCAATGTGGTGTGGGAGCAGTGAGGAGGGAGCGATGGGGTCGTACAGGGGCTTGGACGTGGCTTTACTAGTTGGGTTGTAGGGTAAGGACGCCGGTAAGAGCCGGAGGACGGGAACTTGTAACGGCTGTTGCTTCCCGCCACTTCCCCAGCCTTCTTACCGCTTGCACCTCCTCCTCCGACAAGCTCCGCCCCCACTCGTCGAGCTGCTTCTTGAAGTGCGACCTCAGCGTGTTGTTGCTGTCACCCTGCCACCAGAGCCGCCATCAAACAGGGGGTACACAAGCAGAGGGCAGCGACGCAGCGTGGATGTTTGCATTGCTTGTACGGACTAGGCGCTGAAGACATTGGGGGTTAGGAAAAATACCAAACCGATTGCACTGGGGGTTGGGGGCAGAAACACGCGGGGGTGCTAGCTCCTACCTCCCAATCTGAAAGGTGGACTCTCATCGCCGAAGGCGAAGCAATTCCACCTTTCAGGTGGACGTGCGGACGCTGTTCACCCGGAGGGTGAAAAGGAAAGCCAACAGGTGCCGACTGCGTAGACGGTGCTGTCCCCTACCTTGAACTCAAATGCGGCGGTGCCCTTATCCTCCGGTAGGCCCAGGTGGCGTCGGGCCCAGCGCCGGACCATCTGCCCGCCCGAGGCGGCTGCCAGGTGCTGCGTGAAGACGTGCGCCAGCAGCAGCCGGGGCTGCTGCGCGGACAGTTGCTGCAGGTGAGACTGCGGAGGGCACGGAAGGCACGAGCAGGACAGGGCAGGGCAGAGGGGGCATGGAGGCGATTGCGCGCGTAGAAGGCGAAGAGCATGACGGGGCTGAGGGAGTGAGGGAGGAAGCAGCCCAGGTCCTGAGGGACATGGGTCCTAGTGGTCCTTTGTCAGGGACCCCAGCGATGCGTTTGGACTCACACACCGCTTTGGTGAATGGCACGCACGAACCCGATACCGGTGCACGCCAACCAAGACCCCTCCAACCAGGACCACGTAGCAGCCTGCATCATCACTGACCTCATACGCGGCAACCGCCTCGCTCCGGAGCTTGTAGCGCTGCTCCCAGTCGGACCTGTTTTTGTTGTTGTTTTTGGTGGTGGTGGTGGTGGTGCCATGTGGGTTGTGAGAGATGCGGTGCGCAGGTGGGTGGTGGGGGCTTGGGCTGGTGCGAAAAGCCGCTCAGAGGAACGCAGAGAAAGCTGGGGTACGCGTGACGGGTTGGGAGTAGGACACATGCAGACTTGCAGAGAGTCAGCGAGAGGAGGCGTGGAAGCCGCGAATGGCAGCTGCTCTTATGGCAACGGGATTGCGGGCACGGTGCTGTGCGACTGGGGAACAGGGAAGCAGCAGGAGTTTGTAAAGAGGGCGTATGGGTTGGTAGTTGGCCAGAAGACGTGGCGACGTACCCTAGGAAGTACTCCACATCCTCCCGAAATCCAGGGGCCCGATAGAGGCCTCCCTTAAGCGTGTCCTTGAACTTCAGCAGGTCTGAAGTATGGGAAGGGCATGGTAGCTCTACGGCTGGCCCTCTGTCTACCCCTACGTCGTTGCGTAAGCGAGCAACTTGCCTGGGTCGTTACGCTCCAACGCCTGAGCAACAAGTAAAGGGGTATGAAGCTAGGTATCTCCTTAGAGGTGCGACCTGGCTTCAAGCTTGCGCACCTTGTCGACCGCATCCTCCAATGCCGAGAAGACATAATAAAATGAGGCAAGGGCCTTTCCATAGAGCTCACGGTCGCTGAGAAGGGCCACAAGCTTAGTGTTGACAAGGGAGTTGCTTAGCTTATGCAGCTTTTTAGATTCCTTGTTCAGCCTCGCGACGAGAGGCAGCTGCGCGGCAGCGCTGTCCGCCATTCTGCCCTGGGCTGTGGTTAATCCAATCCAAAAGCGTAGGGATTAGAAGAGCGCACAGCCGACGGCTAATCGAGTTGTCATGTTTCATCACTGTTTCAACCGTGCCGTACTCGCGACCCTTCGTTCAGCGACTTCAGCCAACCGTAGCGTACTACGTTTCATGTCATAAGTTTACTTTTCTTCTTTTGTTTGTTTACGTGTTTTGTGCTTGCGATCCATGAGCCTTCTGGCTCGGACGGATCTTACGAGCTCGGTACGAAGCTTGTAACATACACATACACAGCCAACCGCTCCTCCACTTCATTGCAATATACCGTATGCGCTGAACTTCACCAGAAGCGGTCATGTTGTGCATGTAACTTGCCGTCGGGATTAGTCTGCATTGGATCAGCAGCTGTGCATCCCCTGTTGCCTGGCATTAGTCTCCTGCAATGCGAGGTAGGTACCGTTATTCTGTTTATATGTGGTTACATGGGCGTGTACTGCCCTACCCTAGAGTGGAACCGTAGTTAACCACCGCCTAGACACTGCATTGACTGCGTTGCCCTAACCATAGAACCATCACCCCAACGCAATGCGGTTTAAAGAGTTCAATGATCACCAAGGTCGAGCAGCAAGCATCTTGCCCCAGCAAACCTGGCTATGTGCATCAGTAGACTATGTGCAGAAGGCACCAGACCAAAAACAGAGGATGCAACAGGAGTCATGCTTGAATGAACAACACACCGACTATAGCCACGATGCAAACCGTACCTCGGCTGCCTGTGTCACCCGTACGCATGCAAGAAAACTAAGAGATTGGCTTTGTCCACAGATCACAAGCTCCATAACCGGGAACCGACACCAAGCCATCAAACAAGCATACGGCAACGCAAAAGAAAAGACAGGATCACAGCTCTCCTAGCGGACTGCTGCTGCAAATGCGTTCACGTGGAACCCACGAGTCCCTTTTGTTATGCTACTACTACTGCTCTTGAGCACAGAAGGCCTAACTCCCAGGATAGAAAAAACTACTGGGATGTAAAACAGATGAGCCAAGACGCACTCAGCTAGATGTTTGTGGTGACCGCCTTCCGTCTAAGTCCGCCGAGGCGACTGCTCGTAGAACGTTCCCGCAAGCACGCTGCGTGAAGGAGGGGCCGGGGCACGGGGAAGGAAGGGACTTGTTAGGGCTTCGCCATAGCTTGCTAGGGCTTCTTTACGGTACTCAGAGAGCGCACAGGACTTGGTTGCAGACATGTCAAGCAGCAGACACGGCACATGGGTTTACACGCCTCAAGCAGCGAGCCAAAAGCAACAGCTCAGGCCTCCGATACCGTACCACCGCCTAGCCCAAGAGTTCAAGGCCACGCGTACACGACCCGGCACGCATTGGCTACGGCCCACCCTGGTACCCACCACACGAGCAAGAACGCGATGCCCGTCGGCGTGGCGTGCTTGTCCCAGATCAGCACGTTGATCACCACCGTGATGATCTTGCACAGGATGCCCACAATCGTAAACAGCGTCGCGGACACCGTGTCTCGCAGCAGGTACGCGCTGTGCGACATGCACACGCCCATCAGGCAGGACAGCACCAGCGGCATCAGCACGGCGGGCGTCCAGTCGATGGCGGCCAGCTTCAGGTGCTCGCCGGTCATGGGCAGCGCACAGAGCAGCGGAACCAGCGCAAGGGCGTTGGTGTAGTAGACGCGGCTCCAGTTGGTCATCTGGTGGGGGGGGGGCATGGGGGAGTTCGCGGCATAGCGGATGGGGCGGGCGCGCATGGAGGGGGGTGAGAGGTCGCAGTTGGGTGAATGGGTTGCGGCTGCGGGTGGAAGGGAGGCGGGGAAGGGATGCATGGAGAGGACTGGAGAATACGGTCGCAGGGAGTCGAAAGAAGAAAGCGTGTTTTGATTAGGCGGTGCTGTAGAGCAAGTGACTGGTCCTTGTACAGGAGCTGACAATACCTAGGCCAGCTCCTCTGTTTAGGTGGTTTGGGATCTATGCAAGAGCGGACGGGTGGCCTATTCTCACGGCATATGGTACCACGCCAAGAATGACAGGCAGGCCCCAGTTAAGTGTCCTCAGGTGCCCGACACATATGTAACCCAGGGCAAGACGGGCTTTGTGTTGGCTTACCTTGACGGTGTCGCACATGTGCTTCACGTACACGGTGTCGAAGGTAAAGAACACGTACCTGCGGGGCACGAATGGTTACGTGAGGTGCGACATACATCACGAGTCAGCTCGCCGGAAGGGTCTCCCAAGAGAAGACCAAGCCCATGCACATGGAACGCACCGTGCATGACATCGCAGATTGCGACTCCAATACCAGGCAGCATTGAAGGCGCTATTAAGCAGGCCGCAATTCCCTATTCGACACCCCCAACCTTCTCCGTCTGAATTTGCGTGACCCAGACCCACATAGCCATCTGGCTGCAGTCCCCAGGCCAGCCGTACTGCGGAGAGCCACCCGCAAGGATCACATCGCGCATGGTCACCTCATTCAAGTCATGAGACCCACCACAGCATAAGCCAGTAGTATGCATCGACGTGGAAGTCGCTGTCAACCATGACATAGCCCACACTGCCGCCCAGCAGCACGAGCAGGCTCGCCCAGGACCGCGCGGAGGGAAGCGCCCGGCCCAGGAAGAGGTAGTCGCACAGGGACAACACCTGCACAGGAAGTGAGCGAAAAAGGGTGGGGTTGGGAGCGTTTGGATGGCAGAAGAAATGACCCATGGGTCAGGAGCGCTAAGAGGGAGCGCGAATGGTGATGGATGGAATCCCTGGTGTGGTGTAGCGGCGCCTCGAAGTCAGTGGAGACGTGCAAGATGGGTGCGGGATAGCGGGATTCCTGTGCAGCTTCAGCCCAGAGTTTCAGTAGTGCCGGGCCTAACGTAGGGAGCAGAGGCATGAAGATAAGGAGCACAAACTACAGCGTATGTAATAGCTACAGACGCTACGTGCAACCTTTGAAGACAGCTGTGAACCAAACAGCGCTGATGTAAACAGCGCTATGAACCAAACAGCGCTGATGTAAACAGCGCTGTTTGGTTCCACACGAGTGCCGAAACCCATCCACCCCCCTTTCCCAGGGGCAACTTGCAGAAGAGACGCAGTTGCTTACCAGTGGGGTAGAAGAGCGGAACGTAATGAACGTCTCAACGTTGGCGTGCTGCAGGACCTTGATGTTGGCAAAAATGGTGCCGAGGAAACTGCGAAATTGTCGAATACTTCCGTTAGCTACACAATACACCAAACAGTTAAGAACGATGCCCCATGTCTTCAGCGGCAATCTTGGAACACAAGTCGTCTTAACATTCGCGGCATGATCGAAGTTGGCAAACACCTCAAAACTCCTTACCCGAGGACCACCCAGATAAACTTCTTGAGCTTCGGCCAATCAATGGAGTCCGCTTGGACAGCACCAGCTTTGTTTCCAACCCAGACAACTAGTGCGGACGAGAACAATTGGACGCAGAGGAGGAATATTGGGCAAGGCAAGTTGTAGATTGCCACCTTGTTAATCACAAGCATTGTTGAGCTGCAGAGCGCATAGTAGATGATGACGAGTCCTGTCACGCCCAATCCAAACGCAATGGGCTTTCCCGCGCCAGTTGCTGAGGTCTGGCTACTAGCTTCTACGTCTTTTGTGCCAGCGAGTAGAGCTGTTTTCTCCTCTGCCGAACCGCGCTCTCGGTCACCCATCTTTCGCACGTCTCGATGCGTAGCCAACTTAACGTCTCTTACAAGTGTATAATCGTCGTAAGCTCAAGCCACCTATGAAGGGTATTGAACCTCGCTGTTCAGCAGTCAACGCGCTCGACAGCACGACTCGAGGTTGGCATACGACATTGGTCTTAGCAGGAAACCGTCGTTCGTACAAAAACGGCCAATGGCAGGCGTCGCAGCCTTCCGAGTGCCGACTGAAAAGCTCACCCTAGGGCGATTTAGTTAAAACCTACCGCCGTAAGGCACAATGCAATGCGATAGATAATGTAAGGAAAAGCTGCAACGGGCAGCGTTTGGTTGTGGTCCAGCTGCGACTAGAAAGAAACGTTGCAAGGGTATGTCACTGGCCAATCCGTAATATAGCGCCCTGTATCCTCTGCCGCGTTCTGGACCCAAGGGCCGGGATATTGGGCTTCAACAATTTAGCAGCCCTGTCAGCGAAAGCTGGCGGTGCATGGCGAGAAAAGTGTTAAAGCTGTGTGAAGCTGGATATCTGCAGAGCGCTGCAGGGCGGTTGCAACCTCCAAAACAACTCATGCGCTGCTTTACCAACGTAGTTGGACCCATACTCCGGCGCACACGCAATACGTTCACACAACGTACAAGCCGCGAGATGAACGCCACGTCCTTCCAAGCCCAACCCAGCATCTAACTGCCATGCAGACTGAGAAGTACAAACCAAAGGAAATGATAAGTGTCGGCCTGACGCACGCGTCCAGAATAGCTTCCTTCAGCCATTGACATCCAGAAGCGACAACGATAAAATGTGGCCGCAAAAGGACGCACGCAGTCGAGTCTCCTGGAAGTATGGTCCAAAACCCACAAACTACACCAACAAAGTCACAGCGTCAACGGCGTACGACGTGTTATCCCCCTGCCGTACCAAAGCAAGTTCCTTTCCTTACCCTTACACGGTAAACGTGGAACAGCAGCATCTGTTCCGCCCACGTCTCACACATTTAACACCAAGATTACTAGTATGGTGTCTTATAAACGGCCACACACCTAACCAGTTCCCGTATTGCATTCCGAGATGCATGGCCATTACAGGCCTCCTTAGAATCTGTGCTCACGTTCGTTGGTCTCCCACACAACACCAAGGCACGTTAAGTACCATGACACACTTATGCCGCCAGTACATGTCCAATGCATGCGGCGTAACCCTCGTGGAAAGCTGCACGGTTCTGAAAGCTGAACACCTGTCCTAGATCCTGCTATAACCGTATCCTACGCATCCAGCCAGCCACCCCAGCCACGCTACAACGCCTCTGCCACAAGCGACAGCCTCATGGACGTCATCTGCTGGCCGTTCTTATCGACCTTTGCAAACTCCGGCTCTACACGGATGTCGTAGTTGTCTTGCTCCAGGAAAAGGCGTGCATTGCCTACCGCCAGCACTGCGTTGGTGACGGCGTCGACACCGATTGCCAGCAGTGAGGTTTTTAGGTTCTCGCGTATTTTGCCGGCAATGGCGCCGGCCACGGGCACGATTTTAGATTGCGACGCGACGGTGAGCACCACGTCGTCCCCATGCGTCGTCTGTTGCCGTGTCGTGCGGTCCTTAGCAATGTAGAAGGCGATGAGGGGCTTTGTCCGGTCCGTGTGCCGGAAGGCTGGCTGGAAGCTTAGCTGCAGGCCCTCCTTGCTCAGATCCGCCCGTGCGATGGCTATCGCTTTCACAGCCTGGTTAATGGACTGCCCGCCGATAGTAAGCAACGCCGGGGGCTCGCCCACGCGACAGGAGTCGCAGATGCGCTGGGCTATGTCCTTTGCGTCCTGGTTTCCGCCAACTTTGATGGCGTTTTGTGGCGTTGCCGTGTCATCTAAAGTCTCGCTGATGCGAGTCGTGGTGCCAAGGCCGCTCCTGCTACCACTACCACGTCCGCCATAAGGCTGCATCCGCTGACCTGACGAGCCGGGAGGACCGCCCACACGTGGAGCCTTCCCATAGCCTTGCTCCACAATAAGTTGGTCTAGCGAAGCATTCAAGCGACCGTCTGCAGTGGGCAGTTGAAGTTATTTGTTATTCAAGGCCAAAGCCGGTTTGCAGCAAGCCAGGGTATAATATCCAGCTCGCCGAACAAACTTAAAAGTGCTATTTCATAATTGCTGGCAACGCAAGCGAAGGCCTTGAACGGAGCTTGCGCAACAGCGTATCAGCATCATTCAGTTTTCCGCATATCTCTTACCAGCCATCGTCCGTGTATTAATTGAGCCTTATAGATCTGCTGCCGTCGGAGGCTTTGCGGGCTTATCAAGGCGGGATGTCAAGAGTCTTTAACCCAGCTTCAACAGGATTTTGAAGGCCAAGACGAGCACGTCGATAGGAGTTCGCACTGTATGCAAGGTGGGTTTTTGGTGAAATGTGGGTTCGCGTTCCACCGAACCAAGCTATCCTGTACGACAAGTGACAATTAGCTCGGTTGGCACACACAAGCGTGAAGTCCGATCACCCGATCTGCCCATGGTGAATATGTCCTTACAATAGCGAGAAGCTGTCGCGTCGCGTGCCTGGTTTGCAGCAGGAGCCCTTAGCCATGGCCATCAACACCCTATACAAGCAGCAGGCTGCGATGCAGCACCAGAGAAACGTTATCCGGCCATCAGGGCTGCGCGTGGGAAGACGATGCACGGTGGTGGTTCGCGCGGGCGTTGTGGAAACGCTCGTTAAGCCCTTCACGACTCTTGGCAAGGTACGTCCCATTAGTTGAAGTCGATCCCCCATTCCCGTCAAGTATACTCGGTACAATTCTGGCATTTGTGTAGTGGGCTGCCTCGGGCCAAACACCTCCTATCAACCGCACCCTGCAAAGGAACGCCACCTAAAGCCCATGTCACCGCATGTGGCCAGCCTCGGCTAGCATGGCAATTTACACGTGCCCTAGGCATGCTTAGTAACCCTTCTTGCAGCATGTACTGGACATAAATGGCAGTCCTGCAACTCAAAAAAGCGTGTTTTGGGGGTTAACAACATCTCCATGCATCCCCTCCTTCGCTATCCTCCCAAACGCTCCTGCTGCGTTACCTTAGGAGGATCTGCATTGCGCCGGTGCTCATCTGTTCTCAGACCGAACCCTCCTTGCCACCATGGTCCCATCAATCCTCGCATGCCAGCCATATATGCCCCCACGCCCCTTTCATGCCGTACAATCCTTGTGCACGCCCATACACACTCAATGCTCTTTCGCATGTGCCCTGCAGCTGCTCCAAAAATAAACTATACATCACAGTACACATGCCAGCAGCCGCACTACGCATGCCACCGGCTGGCCTCCTGTACCCGGACTCATCCACCATTCGTACTCGTCCAAGTGTCCTTACATGCTCCTGTGTGTATTTTGCCACACCGCAGCGCTTGCATGGTCCCGACTGCCGCCGCCCTCCTCCCTTGTTAGCACCCCGCCGCTCTTCTTCCGCTTGCCTTGCCTTAGCCTGGCTTTTTGGTGTCCTCGGAGACGCTTTTACGTCTCTCTGACCCCCTCCCTTGATACCGGTAGCGTGGCAGGCAAAGCACAGCTGGCTGTATGTGTAAGCACAATGCCGGCATTTGCCCACATGCGTAGAGGGCCACTCGGGTGCTTGGCAGCGGCACCTGTCTTACCCGCATTACACTTACACCAGGGCTGTTGACCCGCCACCTACGCAGGTAAGCGACCTCAAGGCAGGAATCGCCGCTTTCTACGATGAGTCTTCTGAGCTGTGGGAGAACATGTGGGGAGAGCACATGCACCACGGTACGGCAAACGGCATGCAACTTGAATCGCAGAGACCTAACCGGAGCACTAACTTGGTTTCGGAATCACTCATGCTGAGTCCTACAAGGCAGTCAAGCTCCCTAGTTGCTAGGCAACATGGGGACGTGGGCTTGTAGGGGACTAAAACGCTTCCCCGCGGGGCAGGGCGTGTACTTAGGCGACACCCGAAAGGAGTGCCTCCCGCTGTGTTAAGAAAACTGGCCGCGAGTAGGAACGTACTGTGATTGTCGGAAGTGATTGTGATTGTCCCGCTGTGTGCGACATCATCATGGGCATCATGCGGCCATGACGCCTGCCCGGCTTGCCCCTCATGCGCCATGCCGCGTTCTCCGCTGCGTCATTCACCGACAGCAAGGAAGCGTCGGCTCTGGCCCCGCGTGTTGCGGCTCGTGCCTTCTTCCCTCTTCACTTGTTGCCCCAAAAGAAACAGCCACTACGAAACAAACCCGCCCGCCCCCTCCGCCCAATGCCCTACGCGCGCTGCCTCCCCTCTCCCCTCTTCCCTCCCCCGGTTCATTCCACCAGGGATTGTCAGCAACTTATATCATTATCACACCACACTTTGGAATTTCTTTTTCCCCCCCCCCGTCTTCTGTCGTGCGGTGCCAGGTTACTACCCCCGGGGTGCGCCCCCAAAGTCCAACCAGCAAGCGCAGCAGGACATGATTGAAGAGACGCTGAAGGTACTATAAGAGACGGGTTTGGTTTTCGATGTGGAATGAAGCGGTGCAGACCCCTCGGGCAGCCGTCTGAAGCGGGAAGCTGTTTCTGAGCCGTTTTATTAACAGAATGTGGATTAACAGGAATGGTCGGGGGAATCGGATTGGTGGGGGGGGAATGGCTAGGGGAGGCCGGAATGGCTGTAATGATCATGCCCGTTTGCTGCCATCGCCCCCCATCCCTGCCTTTTGCTCGTTACCTGCCTACCAGGTAGCAGGCGTCACGCAAGTACGCAACGTAAGTAGCGTGCCTCATAGCCATGTTCCTGTTTGTGTGCTGTGCTAGAATCGATTTAGCAAATGCAAGCAACTACCTTTGCATAGCTGACATGTACGTACCTGTCTTCTGCCTCCCTCAGTAGACAAGTAGGGCACGGAAACATAGGTCTAGCTCTGCCAACGTGCTCCGCGCTCTGCGCCACTGCAAGGCTTCATCTTATGTCTGTATCTAGTCCGGCTTGCTGCGCTCCCCTTGTACCCAGATGGTCGATGTGGGCTGCGGCATTGGCGGCAGCTCGCGCTACCTGTCGCGCAAGTTCGGCTGCCGCGCGACCGGCATCACTCTGAGCCCAAAGCAGGTGGTGGTGCGTGTGCGTGTGTGGGGGGTCCGTGTGCTGTACGCGTTGCAACAACTGGCTGTGGGGTGTGTTAAAATAACTGGCCGCTGTGGGGTGTGTGTGTGTTTGTGTTTGTGTTTGTGGGGCCCGTGTGGGCGCTTTGTTGGGGCAAGCCATGTCGCTCAACGCGAGAGACGCGGTACGACTCCCCTGAGCAAACAACCTGGGGATGTAGGGAAGCATTGCGGCCGGGCGCCTGGGCTGGCCATGGGGCACATGTGCATGGATACCGTGGCGGCGGCTGGTGGCCATGCCAAGCTGTTTGCTTATCTGCCGCCAAGCCCCTACCGGTAACTTGAGGTTGCCAACCTGAAACTTTCTCTACCAGTAGTCGTCATGCATATTGACTTTGCCGAGGCGCCGAGTCATCGCCGCCCCGTGGTGCCCATGCTCCTTGCTGATGCGACACGCAGGCTGCCCGCGCGAATGCCATCAGCCGAGCCCAGGGTTTCGAAGACAAGCTCGATTTCCGAGTGGCCGATGCATTGTCGCAGCCGTTTGATTCGGGCGCCTTCGACCTTGTGTGGTCCATGGAGAGTGGCGAGCACATGCCGGATAAGCGGTGCGTGGTTGGGCAGGGGTTTGGGGTTTGGGGCGTGGAAGGTCGGTAGAGGGCGTGGAAGGTCGGTAGAAGGTTGCCGATATACCGGTAGCGCTTGAAAGCCCAGGTCACGCATGCGGATGTGTGATGGATGTTCACTGGGTGTTTTTGCTCGTGGTAGCGAACGAGTGCCCTTAGATGCACAGGATAGACGGGATCCGAAGATTGCCGTACGCCACGGTAAGCCTTGCCGCATGCCAATCGGCCCTGCCTGTCATGCTAGGGTACCGGCCCCCCCTCTGCGCCAGTCGGCCCTATTGATGAGCGACGTGCTTCTACCTCATCTCCTCACCTCCTTAGATGTCGTACCTGCTTACCTGCTGCCGTATGTTAACTAATCGGTTCCCGCACTCCGCGTGGCGTTGCAGCGGAAACCAGCGTTTCCTGCGTTCGGTATGCAAGTTAGAAAGACACACTTCCTGTACCCCTTCCCGAGCGGCGCAGGACGCAATGCTGGAACTGCCCCTTAATGCTACCACACCCTTCCTCCTTACCTGCCCTTCTGTACCCTCACGCCACCCCGCCCTCCCTCCTCACCTGCCCTTCCATATTCCTCGCACCACCCACCTCACCACCCCTCAGCCAGTTTGTCTCCGAGCTGAGCCGCGTGTGCGCCCCCGGAGGCCGCATCATAGTGGCCACCTGGTGTCACCGCGTGCTGGCCCCCGGGGAGACAGCGCTGCGGCCGGATGAGGCGGCACTGCTGGACCGCATCTGCGAGGCCTACTACCTGCCCGCCTGGTGCTCCGTGCAGGACTACAAGACACTATTCGGTGAGCGGGGCGCATGCGAGCATGCATGCATGCCTGCGTATGTAGGGGGTAAGCTCATGTGATGGGTTGCGTGGCGACCTCATGGCGTCATAGGGGAAGTGTGGCAGGCTGCGGGGTGCGTGCGTGGCTTTGTAGGTGATGTGTGTGCGGGTTGGGCACGATTGTAGGTGTAGTACGGTAACTCCAAGGCAAGGAATGGTGGGAACGGGATGTTGAAAAGCCCCCTCGCGCGCCCGAAGTAATATCGGTGTCCTATTCCTTACTGTCGTACTGCCTGCCTGTTGGCCCCCATGCATGAACTCGATGGCTCAATGGATGAATGACCCATGGGTCCGTCAGAGGAGAACGGACTCGTGGACATTCAGACACGTGATTGGTCGGAGGAGGTATCGCCATTCTGGGGTGCCGTGATCGCCACAGCGCTGACGGGCGAGGGGCTGGCAGGACTTGCGCGCGCTGGTTGGACGACTATCAAGGGCGCTCTGGTCATGCCGTTGATGGCGGAGGGGTTTCGCAGGGGGCTGATCAAGTTTAATGTGATCACAGCGCGGAAGCCTGCTGTGTAAGTGAGCAACAAAAAAGGAACGAAAGATTTCAGTGAGGTATGAATTTTAAGCTGCGGCTGGTATTATTTTGCACAGTCAGGGATACAAGCATGTTCGTCAGCATTCTCGAAGTGTTCTCTCTTGCGATCCCGATTGCAGCATTCCCTTTGATTCAAGCAGCTGTTCTAGCTGCCTTTTGGCTAGATTGGCATAATTCCGCCGCCGCTGCTTATTAGGAATACATGATGGGTGTTGGCTACGGGGCGGCTAAACAACAACACATCGTACGGCATTGCTGTATAAGATTACAGAAGATTTGTCTCTTCACGTCTTCGGTAAGCAGATCAAATATTCCCAATCCACAACATGAGAGGTTGGACAACGGGAAGACACTACATGCAAGACGGTTTACATTTGAGTCTGTTTACCGGCACTAGGCCCACACTCCGAGGGTCAGGCGCATTTAGTGCTAAAGAAGATACAGATCAAGTGGCGAATAATCATTCAATGTTGTCGATGTGAGCTGCAGACACAAATCAATTTCTAATTTGTCTGTAATGGTGCACATCCCCATCAGGCACGCATCAAAACCACACACAATGCGAAAGGCGCGTGTCCATCGTGCGCCTTGTACGCATTACAAGCTAAACATCGAGAACAGGTTAAAACCCAAACATAGTGTTCAAAACCTACCCACATCCTTGCCCCCCAAAGACCCTTCCTAACAGTTCATAACCATACTAATCCACAGTAATCGACATACCCAGCCTAGGAATCTCTTAACCAAGGAATGCACAGGGCACGTTGTTGTACGTAACGTTGTTGACAGTCTCATAGTTCACAAGGACGTCGCTTACGATGTACAGCATGCTCTGCGTGCCGGTCAACGCGTTGGGCTGCGAGGAAGGAGGGAAAGAAAAGGGAGGGATGAGTTGTCAGAGAAAAAGCTACAAGCGCTAATGTGTTTCAGACAGCAACATCACCCATCAACCACGACATACAGCCTCAATATGCCCAATACTCACAATGCCAACAGGGGTCGGGCCCTTGGCGTCGACGATGGCGTTGCAGGAGCCCGTAGTGGTGAACTGCAGGCCGCTTGGCGGGCTGGTAGCCAGGTTCAGGTGGTATAGCAGCATCGTGCGGGAGTTACCGAACAGGGTGCGCGCCCCAACCATAGAAAAGAAGGTGGCGCGGCCATAAGGCTCCGTGCCTGGGTTGTAATGGGACGCGTCTAACGACGGCAGGAACTGCACGGACGGCAGGATGGAGAACTCCACAACAGCCCTGCAGATAGCCTGCTTGGCAGTCTTGGTGGGGTCCAGGCACTCGTAGTAGGACATGGCAGAACCGTCAATAGTGAAACGGGCGAAGAAGTCGATGAGGGTGTTGTTGGCGGGGGCAAGGACGGTGTACAGCTGGGCGGGGTCCGACAGAAGCTGGCGGAAGGTGACGGTGGAGTTGTACTGCAGGTCCAGAAGAATGCGGTACATGGCCAGCGAGGGCTCCTTCGCGATAGCGTCGTAGGCGTTTGTGGAGTTGTAGACGTTGGGAGGCGGCGGCGGAGGCGGCGACGGGGGAGGAGGAGGAGCAGGAGCCGGGACATTGTTCACCGCGGTGACAAAGTGCGCAATACCGCAGTTGAGAGCGGAGGTGTTTGTCGGGAGGACGGCCTGGTAGAGAATGAAGTCGGTCCGGCTAGGAATGATGTACGACGTGCTGGGCGGCATAGACACGACCAGCGCCACGGTGTTGGCGCTGGTGGCGTTGATGAACAGGGTGTAGCCGGGCTGCTGGGAAACCTCGGCGTAGTGGTACGGGTAGTTGCGGCTGGGCAGCGGGGAGTTGACCAGGGAGTTAAACGTCCAGGTGCCCTCGATGACCTGAGCCTTCAGCAGCTGCAGGGTGGAGGCCAGGTTCGCGGCTTCGCAGAAGTGGGCAATGGTGTTGCTGACGTTGGCCGCCGGGTTGATGGTAGCGTAGTAGGCAACAAAGGCAGCGTCAACAGGCACAAACACGGTGCTGGAGGCGGTCGCTAGGCTAGCGTCCAGACCACCCGTGCAGCTCAGCAGAGCGTTGAAGATGGAGGCCTCGGCGAACGCGTATGTCAGGGACAGGCCGTTAGCGTAGTAGGGCGAGGGAGGAGGAGGCGAGGGGCTGGGAGGAGGCGAGGGAGGAGGAGGCGAGGGAGCAGGCGACGGCGGCGGCGGCGGTGACTGCGGGCGGATCTCGGGGAAGAGCAGGTTGCTGGTGGCGTGCACGTAGCCAGCCAGACCAGCCTGCACGGTGGCGCTGGGCACACGCTGGATGGGCATGTCGGGGAGGGTGATGATGGCAGTCTGCATGGCGTAGCCAGGGAACTGCTGCGACAGCACCACGGCGGAGCCGGCGTGGCTGAAGGTGATGGTGTTGTACAGGTTGCTGTCGGTGGACGGCAGGTGGGTGTTCAGGAAGAAGCCGTCCGTCAGGCTGGCGGTCGAGTAGGCGCCGCTGCGGGTGAACATGTTACGCACGATGGAGTAACCGGAGCCGTCAGCGATGACCGAGTCAACGGTGGCACTGCGGCCAGCCAGAGCGGCGATGCAAGCGACGTCAGTGGGCACAAACAGAGTCCAGCCCGAGGTATCGAACTTGGCAATCTCATCGTAGAAGTTGAAGGCGTTGAACAGGCGGCCGGCGCAGGCAGCGAACTCCACGGTGTTGGTGAAGAAAGAGCGCAGGCCGATCGAGGGAGGAGGAGGCGAGGGCAGCGGCGGCGGGCTGGGCGGCAGCGGCGAGGGAGGAGGAGGCGGCAGGGTGGGGCTCAGGACGACGCGGTCAACGATCTGCACAAAGCCAGACGGGTTGGCGTAGGTGCCGACCACGATGTCATGAGGGACCCAGTGGATGAAGGGCGCACGCTGACGGGGGTCGTACTGAGGCAGAGCGGGATCCGTGCTCCCGCCGGTGAACAGGTAGTACACGGTGAAGTTGCAGCCAAAGTAGACGTTGCTCACGTCGTCGTACTTGGCGCACAGGGTGCAGTAGCCCAGGGACTCGAGGGGGATGCCGGTGAGGGCGCCGACGGTGGCGCTGTCCGTGCAGTTGTTGGTGAACCTGAACACATGGAAGAGAACGGCAGTGCGTTACGTCCTGACACAATAGACACAACTACAACATACTGATAGGTATGCACACGAAACCCTGACTTACTGCGCCTTCTGGATGCTGATGCCGACCTCGTCAGTCCAGCCCAGAGCAGTCTCCCAAGGCAGGTTGTCGGTGGCGGCCAGGGCCTGCACGGTGTTGCCCGTGTTCTGGCTACCAGCGGCGGTTGAGGGGTTTAGGCAGCTGCTCAGGATGGAGTTCTTCAGGAGCTGAACGTTGAAGGGGGTGACAGCGGCATCCAGAGTGACGTTCCAGGGCAGGGAATCGGTGAACTGAGCGGCGTGGAATACGTTGTCGACCTCAGCCATGGAACGGCGGTGCGAGTCGGTCAGGACGGCGCTGGCAACGACACCCGGCAGGATGGTGAAGCTCAGGGAGGTATCATCGGCGGACAGCAGGCGGCGAATCGGGACGCTCACGTTCACGAAGGCTCCGGCGTCGTTGCTGCCCAGCAGATGCCAGGCGTAGTTGCTGGGGAAGTAGCAGGTGGTGCCGGCCAGAGCATCGACACGGCTGGTGAGGCCCAGCAGGGTAATCAGCTGCCGGGTCACGGACAGCTGGTTGACACCCACAAGAGCGTTGGTGATGGAGGCGAAGACGGGGGGAGGAGGCGAGGGCGAGGGGGGAATGGGCGAGGGCGGCGGCGGGGGAGGAGGAGCGTCGAAGCCCCAGTCCAGGAAGCCGTTGGTGATTTGGACGATGGACTGAGCCACGATGTTGTCGCGGTTGCGCAGGCCGGCGGCGTTGGCGAGCACGCTGACGGTGACACCGTTACGGCCAATGGTGTAACTGCAAGGAACAAGAAAATAAAAGCTCGTCTGTCGCCAAACAACAGCGTTTGTAATGCCTATGACATTACTAGTTGAAAACAGAAAACGCACGGCCATGCCACCGGAAGGGGTGTAGAAGATTGTCACTTACCCAGCACCGGTCGTGACGTTGACGTAGGGAATGATGGTCGGCAGGTTGACACCGTTGGTCCAGGTGGTGGTGGTGACGGTGGAGGTGACGCAATGCTGGTTCAGAGCCCGACGAATGAGGCTGGAGCCCGCAGTTAGGTAAAGGGTGCAGGTTGCATCAGGCACGGCCTGGCTCTGGCAGCCGGCGAGGGTGGCGATGTGGGCCAGGAGCGTGGCGGAGGTGCCGTTCACCACATACGTCTTGGTCCAGATAGAGGACTGCGTGCAGAGAACAAGAGGGAAGATGAGGAAAGCTTATTACAGGCATAATTGAAGTGGAAGGTCGGCAAGCGAACTGTATCGTTGCAAGTAAGGACAGCAGAGGCAAGCCGAGCGCAGCAACACGAGAGAAAACAGCATTGCGTGGTTGCAACTTGCCTGGTCGTTGGGGAAGAAGCAGGTGTACTGCAGGGCGGGGTTGCTGAAGACCTGCACCAGGCCGGCGGCATCGATAGCGGCCTTCATGCGAGTAAGGTCGGCAATGCGCTGGGAGATGAAGTCATAGATGGAAGTGAAGGAGATGTAGGGAGACGGGGGCGGGGAGGGGCTGGGAGGAGGGGGAGGAGGGCTGGGAGAGGGCGGAGGGGGGCGAGGGGGAGACGGTGAGGGAGGGGGAGGAGGCGAGGGCGGCTGAGGAGGAGGCGGGGACGGAGAAGGAGGAGGAGGAGGCGGGCTGGGGGGGGCGGGAGGGGGAGGAGAAGGCGGCGGCGGGTTGGGAGGTGGTGGGGACGGGGGAGGAGGAGGAGGAGGAGGCGGGGAAGGAGGAGGAGGCGATGGGGGAGGAGGAGAAGGGGAAGGAGGAGGAGGCGACGGGGGAGGAGGAGGAGGCGACGAGGGAGGAGGAGGAGGAGGCGAGGAAGGCGGAGGAGGGGGGGGAGACGACTTCACAGGAGGTGGCGGCGACCTCACAGGGGGCGGAGGGGATGGGCTCGGCTTCGGCACGGGAATGAAGCGCGCCTGGAACATCACGCCATTAATCACGTGCAGCATCTGCGTAAAAGAAGAAATGGAATTGGTCAGACATCGCTGCTATACAAAGAGTCACCCGAAAGCCTGTGTGACTTACCCGGCCACCGACGGAAATGTTGTACCGACCGGGCTCAAAGTCTGCCCAGTTGGCAGCATTGCCGCCAGTAATGTAAGTACCAACATCCTCATAGATGTCGAACGTAAGCGCGTCCACCAGGTTCTTCCCACCGGCAATGGTGGCATAAGTGCAGCCGCCCGGGCAGGTACCAGGGAGCTGCTCGCGCGAACGGGCACCAGCAAGCACGTGGTACTTCATGACGGCTGCCCGCATAGTAGACATCTTTGACTTCTTTGAAGAGCAAAACTCATCGGCAGTGACCTCAAAGCCGAGCTCGGCAAGACTGGACCAAGCCTGCAAGAAAAACAAGATCAGGCGTCAACAAGTATGTGATGAAAAGCTTCCCTACGCGTCGTATAACCGTCTGGCTAGGCGTTCAGGGTGCGCATCCAAACTGCCGACACTCACATCATCGTTCGGCAAGAAAATTGTGAAGTCCTTCTTGCCCTTAGCTGTCCAAGGAGCCGACACCTTGTTGCCCATATTGTCAAGGCACTTCTTGAGTAGCTTCATATCCGGCTGAGCGGCGATGAATTCATACGGAGTATTGTAACCGAAGACGCCTGTACCAAGGAGAATTACGTATCTGGTAAGCGACCTCTACTTATGTGCTATCGCTAGTCTCTGGCATGTATTCTCCAAGTCCGACACCAACGTGGGGCCTAGGAGTGAGGCTAGCGCTATTTCAGGCGGTGCTGGACCCAATTAACATTTGGTATAAGTTGTTATTTTTCTAATGACTACGTACCTCCTGGCACCAGTGCCAGGAGCGCCACGGCCAACGCAAGGGCTGCTGGAAAGCGCCCCATCGTGGCTGCGCGCCGCCAAGCGCCGACGGCTCGCGCCAAAAAAGATATAAACTACTGTTGGGTAATCAATACTTCGTTGAAATGTGAGTAGGCAAAGTGCACGGTCGAGGTTAGGTGTCGTTAAAAGGACAAAACACCCTATAGATGTCCTCTATGACTTGTACCAAATCGCCCTAGAGGCGTAAAGTGACACTGAACGTTTTAACGACGGACCTAACAGCTGCGTTGCCAGCCTGATGGCCGATGGTACCACAAACGGTGATTGCATTGTTTTTGGGCGGAGGGCTCTTGGGGGCCTTATACGACATTTCTCACGCATGTGAGACCAGGAGTCAACGTATGGTCAACCCCACTGGTCAGAAGCTGTCGTACTTGGTCAACATATGTTGACCGCCCACCATCCTTGGGAGCCCACCTTGTCCTACTAGAATGCGATAAGCAAAATTGCAACCCCATCTTCTCTGGAAACCTGTATAAAAGGGCTGTGTCTATGAGGCATTGATGCTGGAGACAACTGCTGCGACGACGACGCATTCGGAAACGAGGTCTCACAGGAAGGAAAGCTCCGACAATGGCTAATACGACTTTTAAGTGACTAAAAGTCATTGCTCTTGATTGCTTCGCCGGCCCTGGAAAAGCAAACGGGTGTTAGACACGTCCATTTGCTTATCCAGTGCCTGCTATCCTAATACTGAAATGAAAAGCATGTACTCCGCTTGGCTTTGCACGGGGTACATAATCGTGACTCTCGTTCGCCTGTAATCAACGTCCATTGCTTCTTGACCTTGCGGTTTGAAACACCGTGCCAAACTGTTTCCGTCAAAGGTCTTTAGTCGAAAGCGCTTAGTAGAAAGCGTGCGTGAAGAACCAGCCGTCATACTAGCGCGAAATTCGAACTTTCCCAGGAAGCACGACGGTTCCCAAAAGAAAGCAGTCTCTAGTTCGCTACAGCTTATGCTATGCGGTGCGTTGTGGTGTTGACGCAAACAAGCTAGTTCTCCTGGTTGGTCTGCAACAGAGTACCGGTGTAGGCATGAATGAGAAAGGCAACTTACAAAAGGAGGGGCCCATGGGTCATTGATGCCATGCAACCCCGCTGAAGAAGATAGTTCGTTTCGGCTCTTTTCCCGATGGATGGAAAGACTACAAAGTTAAAGATAAAATATTAGTGTAAGAAGGTATCAGCAAACAACGTAGGGCCCATTCATACATCCCAAGACCAATCCAGAGCATACGCCACGCCAGGATACACATGCGTCATATAGCTGGGCACAACGCGATCCCGAACACGACAACTTAGAAAGCTTATGGGCAACATGAAAGCCAACATAGCTAAGTAGGTGCCCCTCGTTTTTGCCAAATTGCCATTAGCCAACTGCCAAGCCCCCACCACTGCACGAAAGAACAAGATGCAAGAATGACCGCTTTTGCAACACAGCGTCCCTCTAGACAATCGCAAGGTACGTCATGCACTGCGGCTGCTATAAACGGCCATAGTACCCTCCGACGAACGAAAAGCAGCGCCACGAAAACCTTCCTAACACCGTAACTTGCTGCTGTGGTGCAGCTAAACTCTGCCTTGCATGTCATGCGACATGCCGCAGGTTATTGCCGTTCTGGGAACACCTTTGCTCCGTACGACACCCAGACACGCATTCCTCTTCCTAAAGTTCACCTTCGTCACCTGCCTCAGCCGCCTCAGCTGCCGCACCCGCGGGACCCGCTGTTCCCCCGCTCAGCGGCCGCTCGCAGCAGCAGCGCTCCACCGCCTGCGTGAAAGCGCATATGGTCGGCGTGTGGGGGAAGTTACCTGAGCCGCGCAACCAGCGCACAGGGCATCACCTCCTAGGAGGAGCATTCACACGGGCAGGGGCTCGTGGCGGGGCTCGTGGCGGGGCTCATCACACACCACAGCACCAACAGCAACACACACACAGTACGTTTCGCCTCGCGGCCAGTTATTTTAACACACAGTACGTTCCGCCTCGCTGCCAGTTTTCTTAACACACACATCGCGGCCAGTTTTCTTATACATCGGTATCCAGGGCAACGCCTAGCTGGCCACTTGCTGGCCACACCGCAGCGCGAGCGTTACGCGGCAATAGCGCACCTCGTGCCACTTCTCCGGCTGGCCTTGGATCTTGGTTGCAAGGTAGGCAGCAGGAATGCAGGTTGCAGGCATCAGGAGGAACGGACGATGCGCCTCAGCAAGTTGTCCATCGGGCTTCCAGGGCAATGGGGCAGCCGCTCTAAATGCTACAGTTCAAGAACGCGGCGATAGACCCTTCCTGACATTGCTAAGTCTGTGACGTCGGTACATCGCCATGAGCCAGTGCTGGCCTCAAGGGGTCTCTCCTAGCATGGTGGGCCGCTGCTAGCGCCCTTGCTCACCCCGCCCCCGCCCCTTCCTCACCCCTGCACGCCTGCTACACCTGCAGCCTCACGGCTCGATCAACCAACCACGCATGCACGCACCCGCACCTGCACTTGTTCCGACCCGCGGGACAGTTTCGTTATCACACGCACCCGTAGCTTGCTCAGGATGAGGCGGATGTGTTTGCAATCACGCTTGCGCACCCGGCAGTCCATGCACTGGCAGCTGCGTTTGGTGTCGCTCAGGCGTACCACGTAATGGTTTCCGGTCGACCCAATCACCACAAACACGGCGTTCTCTGGCGTCAAGTCCACGAGCCCCGCAAGCTCCAGCTCGCGTAGGCGTGCGGCTTCCTTTGCTCGTAGCTGCCCTGTCTGTGCATGGATATGCGTGCCAGAGTGTTTTGGGGTGTCATGGTGGGTTGTAGCCCCTTGCCAGCAGGGCGGTTAAGGGGCTTCGACTTGCAACAGAGGGCCGGAGCTGGGCATGGGAGTTAGGTAAGGTAAGGGTTGTCAAAAGCGGCTCAACGGCAGGTACAAATGTACGTGTGCATGCAAGGGTCGGGCGTCTGGGGAAAGGAGTGCTGCAGGCATTAGCGCCTACCCTTGCAGCAAGTTCTCCTTCTGACAGCCCCTTCGTCTTGCTCGCCGCCTTCTCAGCCGGCCGCGGCCGCGGCCGCTGTCGCTTCTCCGCTGCTTGCGGCTCCGCAGTCCCGCCCTCCCCCAGCTGCAGCAGCTGCGGCTCACCTATCCCGCCATGACCCCTCACCGCTGCCGTCGCCGCCGTCGCTAGTCGACTTGACCTGAGCAGGACGACAACACCAAGCAAGCATGAGGAACCCTTGGGGATGCGGAACTGCAGGCCTTGCCGTACGAAGCAGAGGAAGTCATTGGGTGTGGCGTAATGCGCCCTAACGGCCTACATGCTAGTACCGTACGGAAACGCACGGGTCTGGGACGGCGTCACCGTACCTACGGACAGGCTCGGCTGGCTCCTCGGCGGGACGCTTGGCATGCGGTCGAACGTGGGGATGCCTGTGGTAGCGCTCGTGAGGAGGACAGCAGCGCAAAGAGGAAGTGCATCGGTTTGCGCAAGTGATGGCTTGCGTTGGTAGCCATAACAGCGCCAACGCGCACACTGTGTGTTGGTTGCTGGCAAACATGGGTGCAGTTGTTACGCCCCGTAAGTCCACAGCAGGATCTGCGCAGGATCGGAAAAAAAAGCCTGCCCCGGCTTGCACATACTTGTGTTGCTTTGCTGTTTTCGCGAGGTCCTGAAGCTCCGTCAGGTCCCCCGGAATGCCCAAGGCCATCAGCTTTGCACGGTTTCGTGCCATCCTGCGTCATGCGCTCGTTATGGCAGTCTCCTTATGACAGCGTTGCGTGTCGCTGGCTGGGAAGTCTACCAGTCGCGTCGCGCGCGACGCAGGCCTGAGGCTCGTGCTCGATTCGGTACTTACAGCTGACGACGCTCCGCATCAAGATCAATGGCGTCGCCAGCGCCAGGGTCGGTGCGTTCGCCTTGTTTGGCCTTGTTTGTTTTGGGCATGTTCGGCTTTGGCGAAAAGGCACGCAATACAGCTCCCTATCAAGACGTGACGTGTGAATGTTTATCTCTTGTTTCTCTATTGAAGCAGCTGTATTTTGGGCAGAGTGGGACCTTTTGAACCTAGGTGCGACGGGCCAAGCTCCGGAACCGCCCACTCAGCTTCTCAGGAACGAAAACAAGAACCAGGACGGGCTTTCCTTGGAGCATAACAATTAAGGATTTGTTACTGTAAGTCAAACTTGCATGTGTGTACCAAACGCGAGTATTCTTAGTAGATATGTCATGCCGCTGTCATAATCGATACGCTACATACACCGGGCGCTTGCCTCCTCCCACAAGGACACCCTCAGTGTTGAGCAAACGGGGGCGCCGAAAGCCGTTCCCAGCCGTGTAGTGCTCCGAACCCGCACCCATTCTCGTCCTTTGGGCCCCGTCTCCAAAGGCTAACACCCTCCAGTTCTTTCCGCCGTGAGCACGAGCATATGTACATGAATGTTTCTTTGCCATAGGAGATTGCAAACCCCCCAAAGTAACACTCAATAAACAGTCCATCATGAAGTATATAGGCTCAGAAAGGGTTGCATGCCAACCGCACTCGCATCATGCCCGCCTCCCAATACAGTAACAGAGTTGCTACCTCTGATAAGCCAAGGAAGGAAAGGCCGAACATCCGCAAGTGAAACACCCAAACACCCGGAGACGACTCCCTAACACAACCCATTATCCGCACCCTAGCACCCTAGAAGCCACTAGGACTGCCGCTCTCGCTGCCATCATCACCGCTCCCAGGTGACGAAAAGAAGTCACTCACAGTCCACAGCAGCAGCCCAGCCAGCTGCTCCTCTGACAGCGCACCCGCGTAAGCACCGCCACCCGACTGACCACCGCCTCCGCTGGACCGCCTCCTCCGACCAGCGGCGCCCGCAGGCGGGGGGCTGCCCTCGTGGCTCCAACCCATCCCAACCGCCGCGACCTCCCCGTAGCCAGCAGCAGCCGGTGGGGAGCAACCACCCTCCTGAACCTGCTCCACACAGCCCAGGCGAGGACTTGGCGCAGGGCTGCTCGGGCTCAGGGCGCTGCGTTGCGGCTGGTGGTGGTGGTGCTGCCCCGCAGGAGGAGGAGGAGGAGGAGAACCCGTGTGGTTGGTGGTGCCAAGGGTTTCAGGGCCCAAACCTGCTGCATGGGATGGAGGACCCGGCGGAGAGTCGGGCGGGTAAGCTGTCGAGCGGGTGGCAGCGCGCAAGGCAGGGATGGCTGGCAACGCGGGTAGCGAGGAGGGCGGATCCCAGGCACCGCGCCATGGCTCATGCTCCAGCACTTGTGGCGGCGGCGGTGATGCCGGCTGCAGCGGCTCGCTCTGAATGGGCAACGGCTGCCGTACCGCCTGGCTGCCGGCTGCATCATGCCCTGCTGCGGCCCGCACGCCCATCACGCGGCTGTCCTCGGCCTTGCCGCCATCTTCGCTGCCCGCCTGGCTTCCACCAGCACTGCCTGCAGGAGAGGCAAGCAGCGAGCTTGCGGCGCCGCCAAACACGGGGTACCCGTACGCCGCCACAGCTTCTGGAAGGGAGTCCAGGGAGGAGACGGATGACACGGTGGGGTCACTTGGGGAGCCGCTGGGCGGTAGGCTCGGCGAGTCGCAACCGGAATGGATGCTGGGAGGCAGCCTGCCTCGTGCCAATGACGCACGCGGCGCTTGCAGAAAGCTGTAGGTTCCCTCCTCGGCAGCGTCCTCGGCGACGGCGACAAAACTGATGGATAGGTAGTCCCGCGGCGCTGATGATGCAGACGCTGGTTGCGGTGGGAGCGGAATGAAGTCCTCGTCGCTCGCTGAAGCCGCCGAGCGCCGCGGTGGCTCCGGAGGCGGTTGCGGTCCCGCTTGCAGCGCCGCCAGTCGGAGGATGGAGTCGCCAGACGCCGAGGCAGGCAGGCCGGTGGTGCTGCAGTCATCGCGCATGGGGTTGTGGGGTGAATCGGGAGAGGAGGAAAACGTGGAGCCTGCAAAGTCGCGGCTAAAGCTAGGCCACGACAGGTATTCTTGTCTTGTTGACGACAACGGCTGGAGGCGGGAACCGTCGCCGCCGTCGTACGAGGGACTGAAGGGTGCTGCCTCAGGAGGTTGCGAGGGGCGAACCGTCCCGACAGGAAGAGCTGCTGTTGCTTCATGCTGCTGCTGTTGCTGTTCCGGAGGGAAAGCGGAAGACGTGGCACCCTCGGACGGACTGTCCATGCCAAAGGGTGAGGCCGCGTCAGCTGCTAGGCTGCCGTTGCTGCACTCATCCGGCCACTCCACGTCACCGTCAACGTCTTCCGCCGCCTCCCCGCCGCCGCCGGTGTTGATGCTGTATTTGGAGCTGTCGTCAAGCAACAGCCGCCCAAAGTCTTTCAGGATATCTGACCTGGCCGCGGCTGCAGGTTCCATCATCGCCACCTGCCCCCCGGCGCCTCCCAAGTCCACGTGCGGCTCCCAGTTCTCCGTGCTCAGCGCCTCAGCAGCATCCCCGCCGTCAGCACGTGAGTCGCCCGACACCACAGCCGACTCCGCAGCGGATTCGGATTCCTCAACGCCCGGCCCCATGCGGCCTAACCCCCCTGCTGGCGGCGCTGCTGCTGACGCCGCCCTGGCTCCCAGCTGCTGCTGTGGCGATCGCGGCTGCTCTGGCCGCGGCGACTGGAGCTGCGGGTCCACCGCCTGCAGCGCCATGATGCCGCGCTGGATGTCCTTCAGCAGGTCCGACATGATGGATCCGAACTCCTCGCTGTCGCTCGAGCTGCGGGTTGTCGAGCTCATGCGGGTCTCATGTGGCTGCTGCTGCTGTTGTTGTTGGGGAGGGGCGGGCTGCTGCTGCTGCTGTGGATGCGGAGCAGCAGCACGTGGGACCGGCGACCAGTCGGAGGACCCATCGGCGAAAGAGATTGCAGAAGACACTGCATGGAGGGGTGTGATGGGTTGCGATGGCTGGCCGCGGTTGATGGCTGGCTGCGGTGAGGGCTGTAAGTCCGCGATTGTGCTGCCAGCGATAGCCTGCACGGCAGTGGTGAGGGAAAATAAATGAAAAGTAAAGCAACGGAATCCCAATCCCATATTCCGACTCAAGCAGCGAGCACGTACTGCATGGGGGAGGTGGGGGGGTTTGCTGGTTAGGGCACTGCTGTAGGACCACCTGTGCAGGCTGTGATGTGTGCACGCGTGAGCTCTCCCCCTTGGGAGGCACTGCCAGGGCTGCACGCAAGCACTAGCGGGTGTGCTTGTTTCAAGGGCCATACGAACCCAGCCATGAGGACCGCTAGCCATCTCTATCATGATACCGGTATTGCTGCTGCACAAGCATGCACTCCTCCGTTGCACCCTCACGGGGGGCCCCTTCACGTTACGTACCTGCAGCAGCACGGCGTCCACCTCTGCAAGCAGCTCGCCCGAGGAGTATCCGCCCATTGCAAGCGGCCGCTGCGGGTCACACTCCGCTGCCTCCTCCTCCCCCTCCTCCCCGTCCTGCTTGTAGTAGTCCCCAACAGCAGCATAGTCCCCTTCACCCTCATCACCATCACCATCAGCCATGTTGGGGACAGAACCCACATCCCGCTGGCTGCTAGCACCACCACCCGTCACCGCTGCCGCTGTGCCAGCCATGCGCGCCCTCTCCTCCTCGTGCCATGCTGCCCAGGCCGCTCCTGCTACAGCCTCCTCCTCCTCCTCCTCCGATCGCCTGACTCCCAACGACGCCGGCATCTCAGCTGCTGCAGCTCCGGCCGAGGTCTGGGGCTCCTCCGCATGGACAAAAGGAGGCACGGGCGCACCTCCACGCAATGCAGCAGCAGCAGCAGCAGCTCCATCCTCCTGAAGCGAGCCACTTCTTCCCAGCTGCTGCGCCGACTGCTGCTCCTCCTCCAGCCCCTCCGGAGCGCTTGTTAGGCTGGACGTAGACAGCGCCAGGGAGGAACGCAGCAAGTCCTCAAACGTACCGTCGGTCTGGCCCATCAACCCCGCCAGTGCCTCCTCAAGTGTAGGGCCTGTCAAGCTTGCCCACACATCCGCGCTGGAACCACTGTCGCACTTGCGGATCTCTGCGCTGACTGGGACAGCACCGCTACCGTCGCTACCACCACTAACACCGCGGCCGTCCTCGTTATACCCTGCGGCAGCAGCGCAAACGCCGCCCTCCTGATCAACTGCAATTTTCAGCTGTGGCAGCGGCGGAGGCTGCAGCTGACTTGGCTGCGGGCATTGTTGCCCAGGTTGCACATGCCCATCCATACCCTGCACGCTCCTGTCACTGCCGCTGCCCCTGCGTCTGAGGAAGCCAGCAATGGCTTGTGCGACGGCGCTGGGTGCATCATCGCTGGGCCCAGAGTTTGGCTGCACCCAGCTGCCACCCCCGCCGCCCCCACGCGCCATGCGCGCCGTAGGCGTTACAGCGGCGGGGCTGAGGGTGGCAGGCGGCTCCGACTGGAAGGACCCCTCTGAGAGTATCGGAGACGGCGGAGTCGCGGGCGATGGCATGGTGAGCGCGGGTGAGGCCAGGAAGGCTGCGGAGGGGGACGCTGGCGGCGCCAGGCGGGATAGCGGGACGCCGGTCATGGGCTGCTGCTGCTGCGATGGGGGTGGTGCGGGCGGTGGCGGCGAGTCGGCTGGGGGCTGCTGCTGCTGCTGCGCCGGCGGTGGCTGGAGTTGAGGGTGAGGGTGAGAATGGCTGGGCTGGGGCTGCGGCAGGGGTTGCTGCAAAGACGCCACAAGGAAGGAAAGGCCGGATATGGTGCTGCTTTGTGCAACCGAGGTGGAGACCGAGGGTGCAATGGATGAGGAAGCCGGAGAGGCGTTAGCCGGTTCGTCAGCGGCCCTCCCATCGTCATCGGGCGCCCGCAGCGGTGTCGGCAGCAACAAGGATGAAAGGGAGGTTGAGGACGGTGAGGGTGGAGACAGCAACGCGCTTGCGTTGCTCTGGGGGCTGCTGTTACCAACGTTGCCAGCCGCTGGAACAAAGCGCTGGTTCTGCGCTTCTGGCCCCGAGGATGGCCCAGCTATTACAACACTCCCAGCGGCCGAAGTGCCCCGACTTCCGCTCCTTCGAGCCACTCGTGTTGGTGTGGCCCCGGTGTCTTGCTCCGGAACCAATGCGGTGACAGGGCCAAGCCCTGCGTGCTGCCGGCCAGCGCTCTGCGCCGCCGAGGGCGGTGTGGCTAGCGCTGATATGGTGCTATACGCTTCAGAGGAGCTAGGGGAGAAGCTACGGACTGTGGCCGCAGCAGCAGCAGCAGCGCCCCCGCCAGCCGCCGGCGGGGCTCCTGCACGGGATACGGCATCCGCGGACTGCTTGAGGCTTGCTGTGATGCTGGTCATGAGTTCCGCTAGCCTGCGCGCTTCCCTGTCGTACATTTCGTACGGGCTGCTAAGCGGTGTACTAGCGATGGAGGGCCGCTGGGTGCTGCCGCCGTCCTCTGAGCCCCTGCTTCTAAGTGTTGTCGGCGTCGCGATAACTTCCAACGCTGCTGCGGGCCCTCCAGCTGTCATAAGAGCCGAGCCGCTATTCAGCTGCCGACCAAGCTCCCCTAGGCTCAAGCTGCTAAGGCTGCTAGAGGTGTCGCTGCCAGCTACTGCGGCCACGGCAGCTGCGACTAGAGAAGCAGCGCTGCGGCCAGCAAGGGGCGCGGAAGGTGGCCCGTTGGAGGTGCCTTGCAGCTGCGAAGCGTTGCCGGGCGGTTGGCGCGGTGCCGGCAAGGACACGGATGAGGACGACATGGATGACACTCCGGAGGGGTTCCATGCAAGCCACGCATCGCCACTCGGTTGCTGCTGTTGCTGCTGCGATCCGGGCTGACCATGCTGCTGCTGCGGCTGTTGCGAAGGCAGTGCACCCAGGGAGGTAATGATGAAGGGCCCTGGCCTGGCAGGCCGCCCGGCAGACTGCGGCGCAGGCGCTGACGGCGCCTCCGGTGCTCCCCTCTGACCGCCTGCGGCCGTCGAAAGCAGCTCCCGGTTGAGGTCCGCTAGCGTAAGACGCAACGGCTCGGGCAGGAACGAAGGTCGTGAGGGCCGGAGCGCAGCTGCTGTGGAGGCATCCTGTGTCGTTGGCGCCACAGCGCCCAAAGCGGTTGCCAGCATGTCTGTAAAGGAGGTTGAGGTGCTGCTGGAGAGGGGCGTGCTGGTGAGCTGGGAGCCCATGGAGGCAGCGGCAGCAGCGGCGGCAGCGGCTGAGGGACTAGGTTGACCAGGAACGGGCGCCCGTAGCACCGGCCGGCTCTCAGGGATTGAGAACAAGCCACCAGCAGCGGCATTCACCGCGCCCGCCCTGTGCGCTGTACCATGTAGGCTGCCGCCGGCATGGTGAGGGGGCATGACAGGGGGCCCGCTGGCTTCTGGCGGCGCCATGACGCCGGGCGGCAGAACTCCTGGTGCGGCTCTGTACGGCGGGATGCTGCTGAGGGAGGAGAGCGTGCTGCTGCCTGGCATGCCGGCAGGTGCGGAGGCAAGCAACGCGGAGAGGCCTGACAGGGAGGTAGAGGCTGTCGGGGATAAGGGTACGGCGGATGGGTGCTGCGCGGGCAGCATGCTTGCTGGGAAGCTGCTGAGGGAGGGCGCCGCGCTGCTGCTGCCGCCGCCGCCGCCTGGTGCCCCGGCGGGGAGGGAGGCAAGCAGGGCGGTGATGCCCGAGACGGAGGAAGAGGCTGTGGGCGATAGAGCTTTGGAAGTGGGGAGTGGGGCAACAGGTCGGCTGCTTACTGGGGCGATGCCCGTTGCTGCTGCGGTAATGTCGGAAAGGGACCCCAGCGTTGTGGTTGGGGGTGTGGAGGCGAGCAGCGTGCTGATTTCGGGCGGTAGGATGCCTGACAGGTGGAGAGGCAGGGCGTGAGGGGTGGAGAACGGTTACTCTCGGCCCTCGCTTTGTAACGCACGGGAGCATACGGATGGAGGATGGGCCTTAGACAGATTGTCAGCTCATGACGTCATCAACATCATCACCGAAGCAGCAACCATGTCAGTAAGCAGTCCCTTTACAACCGTCAAACCACCACACACATACCTTGAGCGACGAGTTGCCGCAAACTTTCAAAGGACACCCCGCTAACACCGCTGAAGCTGCTGCTGCTCGGGCTGCTGCCGCCCATCCCGCCACCGTCACCAACTCCAGCTGCTGCAGATGCTGTCCCGCCAACGCCGGCAGCACCGCGGCCGCCCTCGAGCTCCCGCCAGTCCAGATCCGTTAGCAGCAGAAGCTCATCAAGATCTAGATCAGAGCGCATGCTGCTGGATCCCGGCGTAAGCGCGGATAAGGCCCGCATGTTGGCAGCAGTCGCCGCCGCCGTACGGCCCTTGTACAGGCCGGCACGGCGTGCGGCTCCAGCCAAGGACTGCGGAGTTGCGGAGGGCGTTTCAGAGCCGGATGGCGTGTTCAGAATCCTCAGGATGGAGGAATCCAACGTGTCAGCTGGGCTGCTGGCTGCGGCTGATGCACCTCCTCCTCCTCCTCCTACTCCTACTCCTCCAGCATTGGCGTCCTGCCGACCCGCAGCGGCGGGCGTGACCGCTTCCTCGCGCCGCATCTGCCGGCCCTGCTCTCCTTGCAGCCCTCCACGATGTGGCGCGGGTGAGTAGGCTTCACGACCCTTGGCGACCGCATCCATCCCAGCTCCTTCTCCTTCTGCATGCGGCCGTGCCGACGGCCCAGAGCGCCCGGGTGTGGCTGCGACGGCAGCAGGTACCCCAGATGCTTGGTTGTACTGCCGAGCTGCCGTACGCTCCGTGGCTTCCTTCAGTACGGCAGGCATGCTAACGCTGCTGGTGAGGCTGCTGGCAGAGGAGCGCAGGTCAGCGTCCTGCACGGCGAGGTGGGATGACATGACGGCGGATGCAGCCATGGCGTGGTGAGGGCTGAGGTCGCCAAAAAACAGTACGCAGCAGTCCTTATGGCCTGGACGGATCGGGAGTAGAAGGCCTGCATAACCGCGCAATTAACCAAAAGCCCTCCCTAAAAAGGCACAGCCGCCTTACCTCCAGTCCCAGCTCCCGACGCATGCGAGCAAGCTCCCGGTCCACCTCCTCCTCGCCCCACTTGTCCACCGCATCGTCTCCGAGCTCCAGCAGGTCCTGCATCTGGGCCAGGCTCTGGCTGCCCTGCTGCTCCGGCCGCCGAGCACCCTCCGTGGGTGGCTGCCCTCCATGCTCCGGCTCTCCCACATCCTCCGGTGACCCAGGACGCCCGCGGCCCGCGTCCGCCGTCTGGGACATGGCTGCAGGCGATGCGGGCGCTGCCAGCTGCTCCGGCCCTGCACAATGTTCGGGCCACGCCTTGCGACGTGCATGGCGGGTTTCAAGATCTTCGGGTTGTGCAGCAGCAGGTTGCTGAGGGCGCTGGGGTTGCGGCTCTTGTATGCGTTGGCGGGGGTGCTGGGGCTGAGGCTGTTGCTCAGCGTGCGGTTGCCGCTGGTGCTGGCGGTCAGGCGACTGGCTAACTGTATCGGTGGTCTGGCCGCGAGGGGATAGCGGCTCCGTTTGCACAGCGACTTCGCCCCTTGAGGGCGGTGTGGGTACCGGCACTGCGGTCAACGAAGAGAGGGTCGCACGACACTTACAACAACCAGGAAGGCAGTGTGGGTCAAGGCTGAAGGAGTACCGGTACTATAACGCACTCCGAACTCTGGTGGAGGATATAGCCGAGCAGCGTCGGAAACTCTGCTTTCCCGGCAACATGCCGATGCGTGCTATAACCACACCAACTATCTCAGGAGGCCATTCGTGCCGTACCTTGCGATACTGGCCTCGGCGCCGGCGGTCGGCGTCCCAGCGGCGCCGCCCGGCTCTTACTCCACCGCGGCATAGGGCCTTCTGCAGGGGCCACCAACGCACCCGCATGCGCACCGGGGGGCCGCTGCGCTGGCTCACGCGGCACCGCAGGTCGGCTGCCGCTGCTAGGCGCTGCCGCCGCCGCTGCAGCACTCGGCTGCAGGAAGGAGGGCAGCGGCCTGGGAGCCAAGTCGTCCTCAAGTGCTGCCTGGGGAGCATTGGCGACCAGGGGGAATTAGGGTTGAAGGGCATGGCGGAAATCCGCGTTGCATCACGAAAGTAATGAGCTTGATAAAAGGGGCTACATGATGTTGAGGGCGCCGGGTTCAGTAACCCGCAGGATAGGACGCACTGTTAACACGTCCTCGTCCCACTTGGCCTTGTGCAGCGCATACCCATATCAGAAATAGTACCTACCCCGCATGGCAGGAAATTTTCTTCAAATACACGTAATAGCTCCTGCTGCTTCCGCTGGTCTTGCAGTCGCCTGCGGCAGGCAAACGGGCAGAAAAGTAGGGTGAAGCATTATGGTCATGGTCCGGCTTCCTGACGGCATATGGGAACCAAAGCACAGCTGCATGCATCCCAACACGGCGTTTCCAGCGGCACTGTGGCACTGAAAGTCAAGCACCATGTCATGCCAGATTGCAAGCATCCACATGCATGAGGGCCACACAGCAGGGCCTGTACTTCACCCTGGTAACTCACAGTCTGTGCGCTGCTAGCGCTTGCTTCTTGGCCTGCACCCGTTGGGCTGCCATCTCTGCAAGCTCAGCCTTCACCGCCTCCCTCTGTGCTTCAGCACGCAGTTTAGCCTGCATGGGTCGCGGTTCACACCACGGTGAGAGCCACAGCAGCAGCTTGATTACAACCACACGGCCAGCTAGGGAGTTTTGGCTGACAGCTAGAGGACAGCGCACAACACATGGCCCCACCTGCGCAGCCTGGTAGCGCTCTTGTGCCCTGAGCTCCGCCTCTGCAGCTGACTTCTCCCGCCTGCGCTTCTCCATCGCGAGCCTGTGGGAAGGATTCGCAAAAGCAGCAAGCTGTGAGGTAACGAGTGTTGCGCTGCAGCCGCCCTTCATCCGACCCAGATCGATTTTGGGTTGCCACACTCCGGGCCGAGCCGACCCACATCGGCAATTGGCCAATTGCACATGACTCCTTCGTTCCTGGAATCCTTGTCATATAGAGCCAGGGGCTCTTGCAGCAAACCAAACCCACGCGAGTGAACCTAATATACACCGTCCGTCGCCCCTTGCCTTTGCCTGAGTTCTTCCGCCGACTCCACGGGGTCTGGCAGGGGCGGCAGGGGCGGCGCCGGGACAGCGGGCACCGCCATGGGGCCAGGCGCGCCCAGGCCCTCGTGCAAGCGTGTGTGCCGGAAGTCCACAGCCAGGCCGTTGGGACTCCGCTTGCGTCGTTCCAGCTCCTGACGCGCCAGGTCGTCCTGTCTGCGCCTTTGCGCCTGTGCTCGCTCGGCCATTTCAGCGGTAAATGCCTGCGCCTTGTCTCGCTCAGCCTTTAGAATCTGTGCGCGCAGCTGCTGGCGTTCGTGTGCTTGCGCTTTGGCAGCACCGTTCTGGGCTTTCACCACAGATAAAGCTGAATGGAACCGCTGTGTCTGGCGCTCGTTAAGCTCGGCAAGACGTCGTTCCTGTTCGGCGCGTGCCTCACATTGCTGCTGCATGTACGCGACGGCCTCCATGTGTGCCTCGCCCATACGGCCCACACGACGATCGTAGACGTCTGACAGGCGCTGCAGCTCGTCAAGAGCTTGCTGCTTCCTCTCAGCATCAGAGAGCGCTGCCTGCTGCTGAAGGGCGGCCTCAAGGCTTGAGCGGTATGCCTCGTTCTTGAGCATAGCCCGCTCGCGATCTTGGTCGCGCATAGCCTCCTGGCGGATGGCCTTTTTGGTGCTCATCTGGTCGGAGACTGCTCGCATCAGCTGCTGCTCCTTTTCGCTGAGCGGCGATGCACGCCGATGGCCAGCATCGGGTAGGTTATAACCCGGTCGCGGCCCTTGGCCAAGTGGTGTAGAGAACATCAAATCCAGCAAGGTATGTTTGTTCCGCTGTAAGTTAAGTTCACTGGCACCCCAAACCCACGCCCATGGAGTTTATGTGCTTGCAAAGTCCCCGCGCACCATTTGCATGGAAACGTAAGCTACCCAAGGGCTTGATGTAACGTTAAGTATGCCTAAGTTCCTGCACAGCATTTTGGCTGTTTGTCAGGGCTGGGAAGTGTAGTTGACCGAGGCAACCGAGATGCAGCGCTAAGGGGCGGAATCTTTAATTATTTTCATACACAAGCTAGATTCACAGAACGTCACGCTGAGCTGTTTTGGTTGTCGCCATCTGTTTCTGCTTTGGTTCCGGGGCTGTTGGTTCCAAGAATGCCAAAATTGCCGCCCTGGAAAATAATGAGTATGCCAGTGTATTGGGTATATAGCAAGCTGTATTACTGTAGCCGTTAGTTGTGAGGTCGACACTTTTTACTGAACGCAGAAACTACAAGCGTTTGCCCAACGACGAGGTTCCCTTACATGCTGATACAGCTATAGGTTACAATGCTACACTGTATGCGCGCATGTCGCCTGCTGCCGCGTAGGCAGTCCCCTGTGCCGTTCTCGTTTAACGCACAAAGTTGTGCTCCGGCTTCACCATACAGCAGCAGCCGCTCAACAACCCATCAGGATCGATTAAAGCAATGGTCCCGAACCTCCCCATCTGTGCATGTCGCTGCCTCCCCGTCCCCGTCGTCGCCTGAAACGGCAGCAAGCGAACCCAGTACGTCAGCGACCATTTATACCCGGCCAGAGCTGTATGACGTGGCTTTCAGCTATCGCGACTTCAAGGCAGAAGTCAAATTCCTGCAAGACGCATACAAGAAGCACGGCGGTGGCAGGCAGCTTACATCCATTTTGGAGCTGGGATGCGGCACCGCCCGGCACCTAGCTGGCCTAGCCAAGGCCGGCGTGCCAAAGGTGGTCGGCCTGGACCTGTCCGCAGATATGTTGTCATACGCGCGTAAGAATCTGGACAAGCAGGGCGGCAAGGCGCAAGCGGTTGAGCTGGTTCAGGGCGACATGTCGGCATTCGACCTACCGCACAAGTCATATGACATGGTCATGTGCCTGCTCGGCACGTTCTCGCATCTGCTGGATACCCAGCAGGCCATTTCCTGCTTCAGGTCTGCCGCCGCGCACCTGAGGTCTGGCGGCCTGCTACTGCTGGAACTGTCGCATCCCGGCGACCTGTTTGACGGGACGCTCATCATCGGAGAGGGCGGCAAGGAGGTGTGGGAGGTGCCCCACAACGGCGACAAGGTCTTCGTGGAGTGGGGCGCCGAGTTTGATAACTTTGACCCGGTGACCCAGATCATCTACCGCACCGTTACCATCAACGTCCTCCAGGCCGACAGTGTAGCGGATTCCGTGGAGGAAGTCGTACCGCAACGGCAGTACACGGTACGGGAGCTGGAGTTGTTGGCTACCATGTCTGGCTTCGAGACGTGCGCGCTGTACGGCGAGATGCGGCTGGGAGTTGACCTGGAGCATGAAGATGCGTATCGCATGGTCGCCATTTACAGGAAGGTGTAGATGTCTGGCTGCCCCGTTACAGTTTTCCCCGCATGCATTAAGGTTAGGGTGCGTGTCCGTAAGCAGGTATGCAGTAAGGTTAGGGCATGTCCACGGTACTAGACTGCGGTCGTCTTGAATGCCGTGCGTTAAGATAACTGGCCGCGAGTGGGAACGTACTGGATGAGTACGTAATACCGAGTGTATGAGTTGTCGTGTATGAGAGGGGTATGAATGATAACCAGCTGTGCACTGCGATGTGCTGCTGACGTCCGCCGAGTCCGTTGGTTGGGGTATGGCTTTGCAAAGCGCCGGCTCTTGCATTGCGGTGGTTAGTTTGTGCTACCTCGGGCGTGGTTAAGTTGTTTGTTGGTCGAGTAGTTGTTCGATGGGCTTTGGAAGAGCTCCTCTGCAACAACGCAGGAGTCTGGACAGTTGGTGGGGTTCTGCAGAGGAGTGTTCTGCTGTCCCCAACGTTGACACCCAGCCTCCTCGCTGCCAAATACGGTGTAGGACTGCGGGTAGGCGCAACTTAGTCGAATGGCTCTTCCTCGCATTCACTGCAACCCAGTGACCGCCTGCACAGCAATGATACGCATGGAGCACGTTCTACACGTGGCGCGTGTTCTGGTAGCTCGCCGTCGGTACATGAGGCACATTACACGAGCAGTCGCGTAAGATGGAACCACCCTAAACTCCATACATCACCGCAGTGGTCCAAGGAATGTCGCATGTTCAGACTGCAACGCCGCCCATTGCCATTCGATCCACAGGCATGCGGTCACCGGGTACCATCGCACCGGGTACACCTTTTATTGTGTCATCCTCTAATTGAAAGTCGCTAGTTATGTAGTTAGCCATGCCAATCGTTATATACAGCGCCCGCTAGAGCAAACTGCTTTCCAGCACTGCTCTTAAAGGAAAGGGTATCGCTACACAGTGCAAGCCCGCAGCCGTCATCATACGCCCCGATAGCCACAGCACTACAGCCAGACAGGCGCATGGCTTGCAGCCACCTAATAACCGTTAACGGGGTTACTGCCCTCCCTGGGATAAAACGTTTTACACCACCTGTCACGCACTGCACTAGGTTCTCTACAATGCTATGCCCTGCACCGGCGTTCCCCATTGCCCTCTTCGCCGGCGCCCCCTCGTCGGCCGCGGCCGTCCGCCTGCTCCTCCGCGTTACCTCCCAGCGGTAGCCATGGCCAGCAGCTTGCCCAGCGCCTCATCGTTGCGCAGGATCTGGCCCTTGAGGCCAATGATGCGGTCGCGTGCCTGCAGGGGCGGCACAAGAAGTCAGACAAAGACCAGCGTGAGCTCACCGTACTGATCGACATCCGGGAAGCCAGCATGGGGCACTGCAGTCGCTTTTAAACGTATATGCTACACGCATGTGAAGGGGAGGGCCCTCAGCTGCTGCGGCAGAGCTTTGAGGAGGGCTGGCAGATGATACAGCAGCCCGCCACCACTTTTCGACCGGCAAAACAGGGAAAACAAGCTGGGGCAAAAGGGGGTAAAAGGGTAGTAGCATGGTACAGTCTGCTTTTACTCGCACCTGCTTGATCTGGCCGTCCAGATCAGCAAGCTGGGCGTCGACGTTGGCGGCCTCGCCTTGCAGCCGCAGCTCGCGTGCAAGCTCATCTTGGTACATGCGCTTCTCCGTCAACCAGAACCTGAAAAGCATTGCCAGGAAAGCGGGTTGTGCCTCATGTTGGATGCGTGCATGCATGCTTCCCTAAGCGCTGGCTCGTTGTCACAAATGTACATGGCACACCGCACTGCCAACAGCAGCACCCCGGGAAGATTCGGGACGCTGGCCCCAACACGCGTCCAAATATCTCCCCATCCATCCTCCTCGTCCCCTTAGCGTGTGCCCTAGCAGGCCCCTAGACTCTTACTTGTACTCCTTGCGCATGTTCTCAATGTCCTCCTGCAGATAGTCCATGGACTTGGCCAGCGGCGTGCTGCTCTGGCAGAGCTTCTGCACCAGGTCCCGCACGAAGGCGGGGTCGTGCGTGCGCGGCCCGCCAGCACCACCCGCGGGACCACCGGCCGGCTTGCCCAGGCGTTTCAGGATGATGCCAGTGCCGCCCTGTAGGTGAAGCAAACGGCATACAAAGGATCCAGAGATGAGTCATGCGTTTGTGGGTAATATGCTAGATGCGGGTATGTCACCCGGGCAGGAACCCTTACGCAAAGGTCAAGGCCAGGATACCCAGCTTGTGGTTTTCATGTGCCACAAAACAGAACCTTAACGGGTAAGCCTCACCTGGTCGGCCGTGTCAGCTGTCTCAGCTGTTGCCTCCGCACCCGCTTTCTGCGCACAGGAAAAGGCAAGGTTAATAACTCTTAGGCACACAAGCGAAGCCGAAAATGCGCATGCAAGCTACAACGTGGATGCCACAACATCGACGTGGTGCCAGTCTTAGCGCGCACTATGCTTTTTTTGGGGTTCGTGCCCATGCATACCTTGAGACCCTTTTCCGCTGCCAAGATGTCCTTCACCAGGACACCCTGCTCTCCATTAAGTGTCGCCCCGCCTGTCAGCACCGGCGTCTGCTCGTGCACCACCTCCACCTCGTCGTCCGAATCGCCCTTGACGTTATCTGAGAACAAAGCCACCGGCTTGTTCACCTGCGTGCCGGGTTCAACAGGCGTGCACAGGGAAAATGAAAAAGCAAATGTAGCTTTGGTAAGGAGGTAAGGTGGTTTGCTGGCGCTGCTGCTTGCCCCGAGCACAACGCTGGCTTTGTGTTGCGTTGCCCTAACTGAGCTGCGCATGTGTCTCTTGGCGCATTCCTTACCTTGGACTCTGACGCTGGCTTCACGTCGTTCGTCCGCCGCTGTGCGGTTCCTGGCCGGATGCCGGTGCCCAACACAGGCCTGCCAGGACAGGACAGCACAAGATGTTAAATGGGGACGCCGCAAAGTGTAATCATGGAATCATGGCTTGACTTCGTCACCTTGCACTTATGCAGGAGTTCTGTGCGTCTTTAAGTCAAGACATCCAAGCCAAAAGTGGAAGGCGAAGTCATTGTTACACCCAGCATATCCCAGCAGTGCTCGTGTGACCCACCACTCTCCCACACCCCGCCTTATCTCCAGCTTGCCCCAAACTCCACTAAACAAGAGCAAAGTGCATCCCCTAGCTTCAGCTCCTGCCGCGCTGCCGCGGGCCAGGCCCCGTAATACTTACTGTTGCGGCTGAGGCACGCGTGGAGGCGCTTTGCGGGCCGAGGTCGGCCTCTGGAACTTGGGCTGCCCACCCCCGGTCCGGTTGAGCGGGTCCTCTCCTCCGGGCGAGGGAGCACGCACGGGCGGCTCCGGAGGCGGCGGGGCCTCCTCAACTGCAGTGCGGTGTTAAGTACATACCGATAACCGTTTTGATGCCTGAGTCGGTTGCATTCGGGAACCTCGTCCCACTTCCCACTTGGTTAGACCGCGCACAAGCCCCATCGTACCTGGCGCTGGCTTGGGTTTGGGCCGCTCCCTCTCCTTCTCCTTCTCCGGGGGCGGCGCAGGCGGCTCCTCCCGCTTCTTCGGTGGTGGTTTCGCGGGCGGGTCCTCTGGCTTCGGTCGTGATTTGGACGGAGGCTTCTCCACGGTAGACTCGCGGGGTTTCCGTGCTGGCGAGGGTTCAGCGCGGGGTTTCTCCTTCTCCTTAGGCGCAGGTGCGGGCTCTGGGGCCGGAGCCGGCGGTGGTGGGGCCGCGGCGGGCTTGCTGGGGGCTGCGTCCGCGCCACCTGCTCCCAACACTTTCTGTATGCATGGGTAGAAGGGCGGAAGATAAGCTCGTGGTTAGTAAACATGACCCTGACGCCTGCGCTGCGACAAGGGAGGACGAGGGACCGCCCAAGCACGCACCTTTACGGCGTCAGCACCGTTGTTCTTTCTGCATGCCCGTCCCAGCATTTGCAGGAAGACATTTGTGTTTTCCGGCTCTAAACCAGCCACAATCTGCGGGGGTTTGCATGTAAAATTGTTACGGTGCTGGTGATTATGAAATGCAGTGAACCGCAAGCGGAGGGCAACGTGGTGTTTTACCTTGTTGGGCCGGGCGGGACATTGTTCCCCTAGGACAATGCTGACAACGTCGATGGCCTTACGAAGGTAGGCAACCTTTGCATCTTTCTCCTGCATCCACAAGATTCGGAAAGGTAAGGCTAGCAGGAAGTTGGATGGCATGGAGCTAACCCACGCACCTGAATGGCCTTCCCATCTAGCTCCTCTCCCTGATACAGCCCTGGCGCAAATCCAGTAGCACTTTGCACCTGCCGCGCAGACATGAGCATGAGATCGGGTTGCTGGGCTGACCAAGCGGCATGCTAGTCCTAGTCCGGCATGCAAGCGCTGAAGCCGCACGCCATAATGTTATTGTTATACAGTATAATTCAAGACCAGCTGTGTCAGAGCGGTCTTACCGCTGATACCACATCGTGCAGGAAGCGGAAAGGTGGCTTCACTAGCAGCTTCTCAGAAAGCTTAGGCTTGTCAAAAATTGGGTTCGGTCCTTGAAGGACGTCAATTGTTTGCTGCCAGTTATCGCACATTTTGCCTTTACTACAACATCGAAGGGTGAAAGCGGGGTAGGCGTCTTTAAATCTTTGCAGCAAACTACCTAGGTAGCAACTGTGTACTTTGAGAGCAGACCTTGGACTCCATAGCCAGCGCTTTCCAAAAAAGCTTGAAGGTCAATTGACGTACGACGAATGGCATTCCTGTTCCAATTAACGGTAAGGCCTATTCCCTACGTTTAGGATCATGTCTACATGGACGGCTTACTGGAGCTTGGATACTCTGAGAGGGTCTGGGTTTTAGGGGATACCGTAAACAACCACCAGCGCCTCCTCGTTATCCTTGTATTTACAACCCAGAAGGGCCACACCTTCAGCTTTTTAGGAAAACTGCTTAGACGTGTTCTTAGAATTGCGACATATGGCCGCTTCATGTGCAAGAAGCACTCCAGCATGGCTATAGGGTTCAACATGCATCCAGACTTCCGGACAGCAGTCCCCTTGGGGTTGGCGCCTCGTGTGATGACAAACGGTGATCACACCCAGCATGTGTATCTTCGTTGGACTTGCAAGATTGCAACATGGACTGGACAGGGAACTGGGTTAGCTCCAATGGGGGTTCCACATGTTTGGCGGAAATGATCAAGCTGTCCAGCGCCCGGAAGACCAACGGACACGGTCACCAATCACAAACAAGCTTAGCATTGGGATTTATAGCGTGCCATATGTCACCATGTATTTTACACGGGCACTACGTGGAGTTTCTACGTAGGGGCAAACCCCAAATCCTACAGCTCATTCACCCGATTGAAAATGCCTCAAAAGTGCTGGTTTGATGCTCCATATACCCATGCGCCATGCAATTGCAGGCGAGACACCCGGAAGCCGTGCACCAAGTAAATACCACTGCATACCAACTCCAGCAGCACAAAGGAAATGGCAGCAACACAGAGAGAAGCAGCCAACACCCCTGTTGTATCATGGTCTGTGTTTGTTCGCTCGGAAAAAAACTTGGATAGGAAGATGCCGACATAAGGTATCAAGAGGTTGGCCCATTACCGAGATCATGTTCACCCGGCTCAGCTCGCCACCAGTTGCCCCTCTTCAATCCTGACGCCTACCAGTCCGCACCGGACCGTGAAGAAGCAAGGCAACAAAATACGGGCCGAGCACATCATAAATGCAAGTTGTGAAAGGTAAAGAACGCCCGCGTGTCAAAAACAGTCAGGAGGGTCCATTGCACGTGTCATAATCCATGGCACACCTCATAGCATTAATGGTTCGTATTTTGCATGATTCTGGTACGTCACCGCACCTCGCTTGGGCGCTACCAAGGGGCCTACCATCGTCAGAAAGTGACTAGCTAGCGCAACATATGCTAACGACTAGCCGCCAACCGCCGCATTTGCACACCCTTCCCAGGGGTGCAGTAAATAGGGCAGCTATACCACACCTGAATAACACCACACTCGCACACCTATTAATCACACTTAGCTGGATATGCTGACCATCCACCCACGGCCCCATCCTTAACCCCACGAAACTTTCCACTCGAGCTTCCCAAAGTTCCCACGGAAGCACGAAATCGGCTTTATTGTGGCACGCAGTCCTAGAGTTACACCTCCTCACCCGGCTGAAGCCCTGGCTTCCTGTCCCACATCGACACAGCAAACCACCCAAACACATTCCGACACGCATACACAACCACTCAACCCGCTCACTCCTCCCGCACGACACCAGCAAGACACCACCTGCAACATCCGCCTGCCTAAATATCCAATGTACGCTTCACGATTGGCGTCGGCCCCCTCTTTTGGTGCGACAACATGCCCACGCCAAACCGCACGTCATTCCCGGCATTCGGCATGAAAAGCAACGAAGTAGCCTCTACCTTGCTGGACAAGCCGCTTACCCCACCGCTAGCGCCCCGCTCCTCCGCGCCTGCGCCCGCCCCTGCCGCCACTGGCCTGCTGGGTACCAGAGCTGCACTCGCAGCGCTGCCGCCACTGGTGCCGCGACGGATCGACATCGCCGTCCCAAACACCTCGGGAACCTCCGTCGCACTAGCAAACAGCGCCCCCGTGGTGCTGTTCCGCCTAGCGCGGGCTAGGCTCGTGCGCTGCTGCTGCTGCTCCAGTCGCATGACCGCCGGCGGGGCGTCGTCCTTCACCGCCCATACACGACTGCACGCGCTGGCAGGACGAGGCGCGGCCGCCGGGAAGGCTCGCAAAGCCGCGGATGGTTGCTCGGATGCGTCGGTCGGAGCACGCCGGACAAAGAGCGGCGTGATCGTGGCCACGGCCGTGGGTGCGTTTGCCGCGTTTACGCTAGCGGCGTTGTTGGCGGAGGCGGAGGCGGGGGCATTGGTGGAGCTGAAACCGGGGTTGGATAACCGCGTCGGCTGAAGGGATGACGAAGAGGAGCTCCGGTTGGGAGCCGGCGGGGCGCCTGCGTTGTTCAGCTGCTGCCCCTGCCTGGGTGACAGCCGACCGGAGAGCTGGCAGGGCGACGGCGGACCGCTGCCTTCCGCAGTTGTCGGGCTTGCTGCATCTGTCATGCCGCAGCTGACGGCGGCGGCGGCGGCAGCGGCGGTGGGACTGCCTGGGCAAGGCAAGGACAAGGGCGGCTGCCCTTGCTGTGTTGCGGCACGTCTCATGGTTCCGAAGGCACCGCCGTCGGCTGATGCGAGCAGCGACGTCCGCGGTGCACCTTGCAGCCCCGCTCTCGGGCTCGGGGCGCTGCTGTGCGCTTCACTGCTCTCACTGGCGCTGCCGTCGTCGCTTGGACGCGGTTCAGGTGTGCTGCAGAGCGTGATGCGGGACCTGGTGAACAGCGACCGCTGTGAACCGCCCCGGGCGCTGCTGGGTCGCTGGAATTGCGGCGGGCTGGTGTTGTTGTTGCTTGGGGCGGTTGCTTCGGCCCTGAATGCGGCGATGACAGCAGGAGCAGGGGGCTGTGGCTGCGGCTGCTGCTGCGGCGGCGGCGAAGGAGGAGGCAGGCCTGCCTCCTGCTCCAGCTCCAGCGCTAGCTCGTGTAGTGGTGAAAGCGATGGCAGTAACGGCCCCACATCAAGAAGTGCGGGAGATATGGTGGGATTCATGGCTGGCGCTACCTCAGACACCAACGCCCCCATCCCCTCGGCTTCCATCTGAACACCTCCGTTTCCACCACCGCTCCCGCCGCCGCTGTCGCCGCTGCCTCCATCGCACAGCTCTGGCGGCGGCGACGGCACATGCGCTGCTGCCTCGCGTGCCATCCGGCACCGATTAGCGCTCCAAGACGGGTGCCCGCTCAACGGCGGCCGGGGACACAGCCCCCCCGACGGCAACTCAAGCGCCTCTGCGCCCTCTTGCTGCGGCCTGCAGCCGGCGGATGACTCCCGCGGGGACACAGGCGCCAGCATGCAGCGAGTTGGCGTTCCTCGCTCCCTACCGCTGCTGCCGGCGGGGCTGCTGGGTCCGCAGCCGATCTCGCTCGCCGCTGGGCTGCCAGAGGTGCCGAGCAGGGCGGAGGCGGAGGAGGCAGCGGCGGCGCCCAGTTGCGAGCGTTCGGAGGTACTCCTGATCGGCATGCGTAGGGCCGGGGTCGGCATGCCCGCGCCAGCGCCGCCGAGAGCAGAGGCAAGGCTGCTGCGGCTGCTGCTGCCACGTAGGAGCTTGTTGCTGGTTGGCTGCTGCTGCTGCTGCTGCAGCGGCGAGGGTTGCTGACCCTGTTGCTGCTGCCGGAAATGGTGGCTGTGAAGCACACCCCGGTGTGTCGGCGCCCGTCGTGTCGCTGTTGTTGTGGGTGGTGCAGCGTCCATCGGAGGGGCTGGCGAGACCCATGGTCCACTGCAGCAGGCGAAGGAGGCCACGGACGGCGCGGCTTCCTCACCCGAGGCGGAGGTAGCGCGGCTGTGGCTGGGCTCGGTTGCGGGCGCACAGGAATCCGTGGCACCCGAGGAGGAGCACCGCGTGAAAGGCCTGCTGCTGGCGGGGCCCAAGTTGCGGGACCCATGACGCGGGGTAGAGGCCTGGGAGGACGCCGAGCGGTGGACGGAGGCGGTTCCGGCGGTGCTGCCCAGCATCCCAAAGGCGCCGCCGCCGCTGCTGACGCTGCGGAAACTCGATTTAGTTGAGAACCGTGCGCTGGAGGCATCAAAGGAAGGGGCGGGGACGGGGGCTTTTGGCTTGAAACCGTCCCATGGGTCTTCCTCGGCGAGTGCTCGGAAGCCGGTGCCCAGAGCCACAGGACCGCAGTTGCTGCTGCTGGATTCCGCTTCCGCGTTCTTTCCGCTGTCCATGTCTCCTCCGCTGTCATCCGCTCCCTCATGCTCTTCGGAGGGTATTGTCAGCAGCTGATAGCCCCCGCCCCCGCCACCGCCGCCCACCTCCTGCTGCTGCTGCTGTTGTGTCGACTGCAGCATCTTGAAAAGGTTCACAGTGTAGCGTTGCGACCCGGCTGGCAGACTCACAGGCCCTACCTGGCCCGCCCCCCCAGGTACGGCGGCGTCGCCGCCTCCGTCGTACAACAGGACCGATTTGCCAGCCTGGTCCCCGCTGCCGCTGCTAGACGCGCCCCGCCGCCGCATGCGAAGCGAGCCCGCTACCGATGCCGACCCGGTTCCCGGCTGCGAGAAGCGTGCGGTACGGCGTGCGGGGATCCAGTCGCTACCGGTGGGAGCAGCCAGAAGGGAGTCGCTGCCGTCTAGTCCGCCGCAAGCGGAGGAAGATTCGCTGCTGGCTGCTGCCTCCGCTGCCTGGTGCTTGGCAAGCGTTGTGGCGACGGCGCCAAGTGTGATTGCAACGTCGGTGTCGTTGCCACTGTACTCTCGGGTGGAGCGGCTGCGTGCCGGGGCAGGCGTGGATGGCAGTTGGTGCGTGGGCGAGACCGGACGGTTGCCGTTTGGCGGAGCGCCGGCAGCAGCTGCCTTGATGGTTGCGTTGGCCATGACGCCAGGCGGGGCTGGGAACCAGCCAGCTGCGTGGGGTGGGGTTGGGGACAGGCAGAGTCAATAACGGGCAGGGCGGGAGTACAAGCCAGGGACTTCTTTGGGACCTAGGGTGAGGCTACGGAACCCGGTTCAGTACGGGGAGTACTGCGCATCCCAGTGTAACCGGCACGTGTCCAGGGGGCCGTGAGGATAAGAATCATGGTACTACGCTGCTATCCTTGGTTAGCTTTTGGTCTACGCGTGGTGCAGGGCCCGCTTTGGTCCCTCTGGCCGTTGTTAAATGCGCATTGACTCACATGGAAGTTCCTCCTTAGGCAGCCAGACTGCCATCTGCTCACGGAATTCTCGGTTCACAGTGGCTTGCGTGGACTCTCGCACCATGTGTTCCTGCGTAAGAACTTGGACAAAGCGGAGGTAGCCCAACTTCTCCTGCGTTAGTGAGCACACATACGCCAAAGGGGCAAACTCAAATTCTCTTCAGGAACAAATAAGTATATTAAAAAGAGACGAAGTACAAGACAACTATTATACCGTCGCTTCCACCAAGTCATCATTGTATGCAACTGCCATCGTGCTCTTGGACTGCCGACGGAAAGCCAACGGGTCGGACCTACCATTCCCTTCTGCAGTGCGGAATCCAACTCAAAGGTGTCAATTGTGAACTGTGGCGGGGGCTCCTCCTCTTCATTTTTTCGTCTGGCTGAGCGCCTCTCCAGCAAAAGCGCAGCTGCTTTTAACTTATTCGCAGCAATATGTTGAGATAGGACCTTGTCCATGAGTGAATGTATAAAAGCAAAATGGGCTCCGCGAAGGGTAAGTTTGGGAAGATGTCAAGGCAGGCGTGGCGCCTGGCTCAAATGGCAGACGCTACCGCCATGTGGCTTGCCTTCCTTGTATGCTATTACAACTTGTCACCAGCTCATGTCATAGGCGAGATCGCCGTGTTTCCTACGAAGGCCGGAAACCCGGTTGGGAACCATGTGCTTTAATCTTTCCGCAAAAAGTATAATGCAAATGCCGAGACTTTCCAAGGGGCTAACTAGGCCTGCGACGACGTAGTTTGCCTTAACGGGTGTATGCCAAAGAGTGTAGTACAGCTGGCGGTTGCGTCGCTAAAGGTATTGATGGGCACGAGAATGGACATACGATATGCACACTTTAAGTATATGCCATAAGTTGATACCTGACTCGCTGAGGACAAGATCCATGCTACGCTACGCACCAACTACCGCCGTCCAACGCTAAACGGATTTGGACGGACGGACGGACTAGGATGGTTCTGATCGGATGTGCTACTAGAAACCTATAGTTCCCGTACAAAAACGCTGTTTAAATGCCTCTGCCTTTGTACCACTGACGGCTGCTGCTGAGGCCATGCCATCCGTAGGCTATGCTTCCGCCGTCCACTCTCCCCATCACCCCAGGTTCGTGATGTATATAAATACGCACAGCAAATGCTTTGGCATCGTGTGCGGCAACCCTTGCGCCTGCCTGGACCGTTCCGCTTCTCCTGTGCCTCCTCACAGGTAAACAGCGTGCTAGCATGCAGTACCATTCGCCGCATCCATTAATACGCTTCGTAATTCCAGTAGTACGCTTCCATTAAATCTGTCGCGCGCCGCCAATTGACCAGTTTTGACAGTCTCTGTTGGGCTGTTGCTGGGGCGCAGTAGACATGCCCCGCGAAGTAGAGTCCCTGGAAGCTGGGTTGCGGAGGCCCATTCTGCTGCAGTTCATGGCTAGCCCAAGCGGGGGGGGGGGATAGTTTCGCCGCAAAATGGCGCCAAACATGTCTTATTTAAAGCAGATAACGCTCTAAGGGGTCCCACGGCGTGGCACATGTGCGCATTTAGCTGCCGAACCCAGTACCCAGAACATCACTGCTGATCCTGATCACAAACGAGGAGCGGCCGCATCCGCTCCAGCAGGCCACCATGCACTGGGGCGAGCTAGACAACCTAGACTCCGCTACTGCCGTGCATGGACCCCAGCGCAGTGTCTGAAGTGGCAAAGACCTATGTTTTGGGGTAGTGCGTAGGGCACTGCCTGATATGAACGTGAGGGCAGCTGGGTGCAGCGACTCCACGCCGGGAGGAACCTAGCGGTGGAGCCGTACAGCTGCCGCATGCGGTCTGGAATTGGTACGATGCAAATCCATGCAGTACACGTTCCAAAGGGGCAGCGTGCAGAAGGGATTGGGCTAGCACCTGACAAAGCACCGTGTTCCGATGCATACCCGATGCGTACTGGAGTGTGGAAGCGAAGCAGTGGGCTGTCTTCGGCTGGACAAATGGCTGTTGCCAGAACAGGCCAATCGTGCTTGCAAGGCATGTAAAGGCATGTGGAGGTTTAGCAGCGATGCTCCAATGTCATCGAAAGGTAGGCCGAGGGAGAGGACGAGGGCGAAGGCAGCAGCGGGTAGCAGATACACGGGCGTATCTTGCCGCTCTCGTAAAAGTGTGGCCTTTCACTGCAAGCGCTAACAAAGTGTGTAAATGCGCATGACCTGTCATATGTAGCAGGCAGCGCAGCTGTCAAGTACCGGTGATCGACCGAAGCTAGACGGCAATCAATTTCTCCAAATGTCGCCCGGTTGACCCAGCGACCACCCAAGCAATAATCTAGATTGCCTTTGGCGGCATGACGGGGGCTGAAAGCGTATTAACGAACTGCTGCGGAAGGTAGGAGCCCAAGGAAGCATCCCGATTATCGTTCATGTGACTGCCGTACTCTGGCGGGATGCCTGATGCAAGCTCTGTCAGCTCTTCCTTTGACGTCGCAAACTTCGTCCGCATATCCTCTTAAGGTCAACGTGAGCACTCATACATAATTGTGTAACAATCAATGCGCAAGAAACAAATGCTTAGCTTAGGGCTACAACGGTAGTCGACTTTGAGACTCACAAGCTTGCCAACTTGGATCAGCCGTGGATCACTTAGCTTTCGTCTTCTTTACTACTGGTAGTTTATCTTAGCCACAGCACCAGCCTTGTACTGCTTTACGCTCTTCATGTAGTATATCCGGGGAAACGGCCGCGGGTTCTGTTTCCTGCAGCCCCATCGGACCCGGCTTCAGCAGCACATGATCCCAGTAGCCGCCAACAGCCGGGACAACTTCATCTGCTACTGAAATCGCGAGACGGCGTGAGCGCCATCACTGCGTACTGCTCCGAAACGGTTTCGAGGTCCAAGGTGCCTCCTCAACGGCATTTGGGGCACCCTCGTGATGGACTCGACTAGCAAGGACTTCTCCTCCGCAGTCTTTCCAGACAGCGAGAGCATAAATAGAGACAGCGTACCGGAATTTAGTTTTCATGCTTCATCGGAGCTTCCTAGAGAGCAAGGCCATTTTTCCTCAAGACGCGCGGCCACGCCTTCAGCCAGCACCGCGCCGCTTAATTCTGAACAGGACAACTTAGTCTCACCTTTTGTTGGTAGAGAATCGCCGTTCTTGGGGTCTTGCCCAAGCAGAAGCCAAGCGAGGGCTTCCGTGCACCTTTCAACATCGATCTCAGCGGTCCTCCGCAACTCGCCGTTGCCTGCGGGACCTACTACCAGGATTGACAGCCCCTGGGTTGCTGGTGCAACACCTACTGCAGCATCGCTTCGCAGTAGCAGCAGCTGCAATAGCGCCCAGTCGCACTTTTGGTCCACAGCGCCGCCCTTTTACTCCTCGCTTAACCCACAAACCGCGTCATCAACTCAGCAGCAACCTCCTCGCGCACCCTCAACCGCAACAACAGCTTCCTTTGGCTTTCCTTCTCACTCAGAACCATCCAACGCAGTAGCCTCCTCAGCGCTGCTGACGTTTGAGCAGTGGCGAGCGATTGTGACCCACGGGTCATCACAGCCGCCGCCAGAAGAAGGGCCCCGTCGGAGCATCGACAATAGCCTGCTGCCTCCTCGTTCAGACTCCAGCGTCAGGCGTGTTGTTAGCAGCTCGCCAGGACAACCAACATTCGACAACTTTCAGGCCGCCGCCGCTGTAAACTACCAGCACCTGCCGCATGCAAGGCGCATAACCGCCGCGGACCCGCTATCCTCATTGCCGTCGTCCGGTCCCCAACCGCGCGTGCAACCGCAGCTGCTGCAGCACCCGCCTCACCAGCAGCACCAGCTACAGCAGCGTCTTCTGCAACCTTTCCACCGCTTTCATCAGCAGGTTCTGCAGACCCCCTTCGCTTCAGCAAGCGAAGCCGCAAGCGCCGGCCCCAGCGCTCGTACTTCTGCATCGGGAAGGGGAGTTTCAAGCGAGGAATCCTACTGGACAACGACTGCCGTACAGCTAGCGGCTTCCCTTGAAAGCGCTAGCAGCTTTGGCAGCGGCGGCGGTTGGCCGTGCACAACCTCGCCTCCCTCGTCGCGCTCCTCTCGAGCGTCGCTTCTGGTGCCGGTTCTGGACACAGTACTGCACACCAAGCCAGTCGACAGGTGCTTACGGCGGGTTGCGGGCGTTTTTGCGTGCCGGTGTCCGCGTATGGGGGAGGAAGGGTTAGGTAGCGCATTGCGGCATTGGCTTTATCTTGCGGCATTGGCTTTGGGAATGGGCGAATGGCATGCGAAGGGAGGTATGGAGGGGCTCTTGCATTGCGCTACAGGACGCGCACATCTTACCATATGCACTGTCGGTGCGCAATGTGCAGCCGCTCTCCTTACATTCACACGGCGGTTGTACCGTATTTTGACATATTTCGAAACCACCGGTCCCTGAACACAGGCCTCAGCCCGACGTCGCCGCTTGGCCTGTGCCGTACGGTCAATCCTTTACACAGCAGCTACAGCAGCACCCGCCAGCCGACCGCTCGTCTTCTCTCGGGGAGGCAGCGATCGCTGTAGGTGCAAGTCCGACGCAGTTTGAGCACCAAAGCATCCCTGCTGGTCCTGCTGCTGCTACTGCTGCTGCTGTCACTGTCGGAGCCTCCGTCGCCGCTGGCACCCTCTCAGCGACGCCACATCAGACGGCGGCCCAGGCTCCCCAGCAGTCGCTGTCGGCAGAGGTTGCCGCAGCGGTGCAGGCGACAACCATGCAGCAGCTGCAGCAGCTGCAGAAGCAGCTCGAGCTGCAGCAGCAGATGATCAACGCAGCGATCGCGCAGGCGGAGGCAGCTGCCTCGTCCGGCGGCGGTGGCGCCGCCGCGCCTGGCACCGCCGTCGTCCTTCCAAGCGGCGCCACTTTGCTATCAACAACTACTGCTGTAGCGCCGCTGGCTGCTGGTTCCTTAGCGGCGGCGGTGCTGCCAGCGGTTGCTCCCACACTTCCCTCGGCCGCAGGGACGGCGTCGCTGCTGGCGCCTGCTGGGGTGTCGCCGACTGAGCTGCCTGCCAGCGCTTCTGTGCTGCTACAATCCAGCCAGCCAGCCTACACTCCAGATGCGCACCTTGTTGCCCCCGCAACGCCAGAGCAGGTGGCGGCGGCAACCGCCGCCACGCCGTCGCCGCCGTCAGCGGCTGCTCCTGCCGTACTTCCGAGTACGACGGCAAAGACATTTACGGTCGCCGACGCTCCCACGGCAGGGCCCTTCGCCGCCGTCAGCCCACAACAACAGCAAATACAACAGCAACGGCAATTGATATTGGCACAGTTGCAGGCTGCAGCACCGGCCGGTCAGCAGGCGCCGCAGCCGTCATTCTCGCCAGCGTCGTCGCCACAGCTGCTGCAGACGTCGGCTGACACAGCGGCAACTCTCGGGTCCCTGCAGGCGGGTCACAGCTTCCGCAGCACTGCAAGCCGCACCAGCGACGGGCCCTGTAGCAGCGGCAGTGGTCGCTTTACTCCTGCAGAGAGTCCTCACACGTCCGGCGGCGGCGCCGGCGGCGGCGGCCTTGCTCCCGCCAGCGCGCGACTGCCTAGCGGCCGTACCGTTAGCGCATGCAGCGGCGAGGGCGGCAGCGGCGGCAGTGGCGTCAGCGGCGGCAGCGGGGTGAGCTTCACAACTGCTAACCTGTTGATACCTGCCTCCGGCGGCGCCCCGGCACATACGGTTGAAGTAACGGTGTCAACGACCAGCGATGGTCGACAGTCGGTTACCCTCCCTGCCGCCGCGTTGACCCACATGATGCCGACGAATGTCGCCGGCGGCGGCGGCGGCGGCGCTGAGACCTCGGCTGTACTGTCCCCAACTAGTTCTGCTGCCAGCACAGCCGGCGGCGGCGGGAGCGTCGGCGGCGCGACCGCACTGCCGGTCGCGCCTGCCCCCATCGTTTCCCCCATTAGCACCGCCGTTGCTGCCATCCCTCCTGCCCAGCAGCTTGCCGCTTTGACCTTGCAAGCTGCGGCCCCGGCACCCAAGACCACCTCCGCGCTGGCCGCCGCCACAGCGGCGGCGGCGGCACTCGGGCTGTCACCCCCTGCTGCCGCTGCTGGCGGCATGGCGCCGGCTGCTACGGTTCTGCTGCCAACCACAGCGTCTGTAGTGCCGACGGCAACGGCGCCGCAGCCGACAGCTGCCGGAGGCGGCGGCGGCGGCGGAATAAGTTTGGAGCAGGCACTGCTTGCGGGGAAGCTGTCTGCCGGTTCCGCCGCTGGTCCCTCCACAAGGCAATCCGTATCCTCAACCAGCAGCAGCATCGCCTCCGTGCCTCCCGCGTTCTACTATCCACAAGTAACCACAGCTACACCCGGCTACGGCACGCAAAACACGTCGGCGGCGCTCGCAAACGCTGCCGCCGCCGCCGCCGCACTAGCCTCCAACCCCGCGGCCGCCGCCGCTGCCGCCGCCGCTGCCGCCGGCCTTCCCCCGCTGTCAGCTGCGACTGCCGCGAACAATCAAGCAGCCTACACTGCCGCATTACTCAACGCAGCCGCCGCCGCGGCAGCCGCCTCCAGCGCCGCAGGCAGCAGCAATGCCACAACAACCGCCACAACCGCCTCACCCTCAGTCGTAACCCTTCAATCGCTTCAGGGAACGCTGGCGTCAGCAAACCTAGCCAACAGCCTGCTACAGCCCAGCCCTGCGGCCGTACAGGCCTTCATGCAGCTCCCTGGCGCCGCTGGCGGCGGCGGCGGCGGCGGTGGCGGGTTCAGCACCGGCAGCGGTGCGTCTGCCTGGAGTGCGCCCACCTTCAACGGCATGGGCATGATGGGGCAGGGCAGCCAGGGTGCAGTGCCGGGGCAGTCTCAGTGGTCGGGCAGTGCTCAGCCCAGCCTGGCTAGCACGGCGTCGGCTGCTGCCGGGAGGATGTCGGCTGCCGCTGGTGGTCAAGGATCCCGAGATGCATCTAAGGTACCGTATCGGCACACGTGGTCGGTGGTTGAGGGTATGGGTGGCGTAGCGGGGTTGCTGGCTCTGTGCGTTGTTGGCAAAGAGCGGGAGAGATGCTCGCCTCTCCCCTTTCCCTCCGGCATCTCAATGAATGCCAACTTCCTCCTCCCTCCTCCTCTCGCCACCGCTCAGGTCAAGGTGCTCCTGTACGCGGGCGGCGCCTTCAGCCGCTGCCCCTCCGGCGTGTGGGAGTACACCGGAGGTGAGACGCGACTCATCGCCATTCCCCGCACCGACCTCTTCACCGAGCTGGCGGCGGCGGTGGGGCGGGCGGCGGGTTTAGACTTCTCGGATGAGGTGAGGCTCGAGGCCGTGAGAGGAGGTGCGAGGAGGAGGATGCACCTCTCCAAAGGAGAGTGAGCAGGAGGGGGGCTTGACGGAATACCCGGTATGGTATGTATATGTGCGTGGGGATGGGCCCATGGTAAGTCGGTAACCTGCTTAAAACCCCCCCATTTCCTACCCTCACCCGCGGCTCATTTTATCTAATCCCCCCTCGCCACCTGTCCCAGTCCTGCCTGCTCAAGTACGAGCTGCCTGGCTCCCCCGACCTGCTGGTGGACCTGCTGTGTGACGATGATGTGGGCAACATGTGGGAGGCGCTGGAGGAGTACTGCCGGTCAGACATGAAGCCCACCTACAAGCTCAAGATACTGGTGCAGCAGGTGAGAGGGAAGGGAGGAGGAGGAGGTGGTGGAAGAGGCGTGGTGGGGCAGGTGTGTAGGTAGGGGTTGGGGGACGTCATGTGCAGGCTTGGCCTCAACGGCTCGCAGTCCCCGCCCTTGCGGACCCTAGTCGACCCCATTCCCCCTGCTGCTCGACCCCTGCAGTCGGCCTTCAACAGTCCCAAGCAGTCCGGCTCCCATGCCTCCGGCGGCAGCGGCAGTAACCGCCGTACAGTGTCGTACGACGGCACAGTTGGCGGCGGCGGCGGCGGCGCCGCTGGCACCTCCGCCGCTTCCGGCGGAACCGCTACGGGAGCAGCAGCCCACGGCAGCGGCGGTAGGAGTCAGGTGCCGGGACTCACCTCCGCCTCCGGCGCCTCCGCCGCATCGGGAGCGGAGGCGGCGTTACTCCAGCAGGATTCGTCCCTTCAGTCGGCGCTCGGCGGCATGGCGAGCGCCGCCGCTGCGCCGCCATCCGCCGCCGCTGACGGCCCCGTGACGGCCCCCCCCGGTGGCGCCCCCGCAGCGCCGGGTACCGTACAGGCCGCCGCCACGGCGGCAGCGGCAGCGGCCGCCGCCGTCGTGGCAGCTGGCGGCGGCGGCATTGTTCCGTACGACTCGGTCGCCGCGAACGAGCGCGAGGCGGAGCAGGCGTTACTGCGTACTGAGCTGGGCGGGCTGGTCAGCACTGACCCGCGGGTCGGCCTGAGCGAGCTGGAGTCGAAGCTGGAGCTCATTCGGCCGGAGGACTTGCAGATCATTAAGTTCCTGGGATCCGGAGGTTACGGAGAGGTAATGTTACGCGGCTGGGGGCTTCCATTTGGTGTTCATTTCTTTTCGCGAGCCAGTTACTTTGCATGAAACGTTGATGACCCTAATGCATACCGGTACATACAACAGGACACGGTTACTGCTGCTGCACCACTTGGTGAGCACTGGATGAGCGTTGGAGAGTCATCCCAGTTGTCCAGTTGTCAAGTCCGCCCTCCTCCCTGCCCTCTTTTCTCCCGCCCTCTTTCCCTCCCACTCAGGTGTACCTGTGCCGCTGGCACAGTTGCGATGTGGCGGTCAAGTGCCTCAACCCCTCTCTGCTGGTGCCAGATACGGCAGGTGAGCAGCCGGGCGGGCGAGGTGATGCGTGCGTGCGTGCACCAGCGTCGCACGTATGCCGGTAACGATGCATGCGGAGTGCTGGAGTCGTCGGCTGCTAAAGCGCTTCCATACATACCTCTCCTTTGGTGACCCCCCTCTTCCTGCCTCCTGCCTCCCGCCTCCCGTTCTCTCGCAGGCGGCAGCAGCATGAGCAGCGACGTGGTCACGGAGCTGCTGAAGGAGGCGGCCATGCTGGGCGGGCTGCGCCACCCCAACATCGTGTGGGTGTACGGCATCGTGCTGCCCAGCGGTGTACGGGAGCTCAAGGCGAAGCGGGAGAGGTAGGGGGGGCGGGGTGGGGTTGGGTGGGGGCCTGCGGTGAAAGGAGAGAACAGGGACGCACGGTGGTTGCTATTGCGTCGCCCTCAGGTATTGCAGCCGGACGAAGCAGAAGTCGGCAAAGAGGCGCAAGCAAGAAGGGGAAACCGGAGTGCAAAGCACCGTTACGTGCCCCGGCGCCACCTCATCCTCTCATCCTCCGGCCATACACTCCTCCTGCCTTCCCATCTCCCTGCCCCTCCTGCCTCCCCATCTCCCTGCCCCTCTCAGACTCGACGCAGCGGGCGACATCGATGCCGTACGCCTGACCGCCGCCCTGTCCGCCGGCATGCCCATCTTGCCCGGCGTCATCCGCCCGCCAGCGCTTGTCGCGGAGTACCTGGGGGCGGGCAGTCTGCGGGCGGCACTGACCCGTGGGTCGGACTTTCTGCGCAGTGAGCTGGTGCGAGTCAAGCTGGCGTTGGACGCGGCGAGGGTGAGTGGTTGAAGTGTGATGATGCATGGGGTCCGGGGACACGAGCGACTGGGTCAGGTACGAAGCCATCTCACAGGCCGCACAGCGTGCGGCTGCACACCCCCTGTAGCACAACGCTGCTGCTACTGAGACCTCCTGCGGCAGCAGCAATGGGACTGGGTTAGAGCGACGTGGCTGCAGGCTGCTACTGGTGCACGGCTGTTAGGATTGTGGCCGTAGGCGAGGCGGGGCCTGCTGGATGCTGGGAAAGGTGTATGCCTCGATCGGCGTCGGTACATAAAGCAATATCTCGGCCAGCCTGCCGCCCACCTCTCACCCGCCCGCTCCCCTTCCCCTTGCTCTACCTTACTCCCCGACGTCCCCCCGGCGCTGCTGATGCTGCTGCTGCTGCACAGGGCATGGAGTACCTCCACCTGAAGCGCATCGTGCACTTCGACCTCAAGACGGGGAACCTGCTGGTGGGGTTCCGGGAGAAGAACCCCACTTGCAAGGTGGCGGACTTTGGACTGTCCAAACAGCGGCAGCAAACCTACGTCACAGGTGGGGAGTGGGGGATAGGGGTGCTGGGGAGGCACGGGAGGAAGATGTGGATGCCGATGTGGGTGCTCTTTTCCTTGCCGCCCCGTACAGTACTGTGTGGGGTGTGTGACAAGCACTTTTGACGAGGATGTGACCCGTGGGTCATGCACAGTGAGCTTACCTCCGCTGCAACCAACTCCCCGGAATCCCCTTGTTTGACCATCCTGGCGTGGTGCAGGTGTGACCTCACTGCGCGGTACGCTGCCTTGGACCGCCCCGGAGATCATCCGTACACCCAAGGTAAGTATAAGTACGGCAGATAGGGCAAACAGCGGGGAATAATAGCGGAAACGGGGTGCGACACGGCTCCGTAGCAACCATGCCAGTGCCACTTTGCGAAGGGGAAAGCTATCGGCCCATTACAGTGCAGTACAGTAAAATGGGTTTTCCCAGCCATGTACGGTGTCTGTCCTCGCAACTTCCTCCCGTCCCGCCTGCTAGGCCGTCACGGACAAGGCTGACGTGTATTCCTTCGGAGTAGTCCTCTGGGAGCTCATGACCTTCAGGTGGGGGCTGAGGGGCTGGAGGGCCTGAGGGGCTTGCTTGAGGAGCTGCGTGCAGCAAGCCGGGATACGATGGCAAGCCAGGATGCCTCCCCATGCACGCCGCACCCATGCAGCACCCATGCCACCCACCAAATCCATCCTCCCTCCCAATGCACACACGCCCGCACGCAGGGAGCCCTTCGACGGCCTCAATTACCATGCGCTGCTGCACCAGATCTCCATGTCCACGGAGCCCGTACGGCCCGCCATGCCAGGTAGGTGTACGGCCTGTACGACATGTACGGCACAGCAGGGTGTGTGTGTATGTGGTTGCCCACACGCCCCCCGGCCACACGCCCTACCGGTTTAAGTGCTGCCACCCCTCCTCCCTCCGTCCTTCTCCTGCCCGGCCTAGCTACTGCTCCCTGCTGTCATACCCGGCCCTTCCCCATGCCTCCCTTCCTTCTGCCGCCATTCCTCCTCCTACCTTACCCCCCGTGCCTCCCCCTGCCGCCCCACCTGTCGCCCCGCTGCAGGCTCGCCCGAGTGGGAGGGTCCGGAGCCTGACGAGCCCGCCCCCGGCTGGATGGACCTGATGTGCCGCTGCTGGGACGAGCAGCCGGACGCGCGGCCGCCCTTCAGCCGAGTGGTGTCGGAGCTGGAGGGCATGCTGGCGGCAGTGAAGGCACGGCGGCGGGCGGGCAGCGCATGAGAGAGGGAGGAGGGGGAGGGGCTGTGGGTCGTGGGGTTGAGGAGGTGGCTGAGGAGGAGGAGGTGAGTGGAGCGAGCGAGCTGAAGGGTTGTGCGAGAAGCGGCCAGATAGGGTGTTGTGTCGGCAGCAGCCGCCAAGACGTGTTGGCAGCAGCCGTTATTAGTGAGTACCGAGTTGGCAGCGGGCTGGCGGCGCGCGAGGGAGGGGGGTGGGTGGGAAGCGGCAATTGGGTCTAGGAGGGAATGAGGCGGCGGCGGGAATGCACGAGGAGTTTGCCAGGAAGCGAATGAGAACAGAGGGAAGTGGGTTTTTCACGAGGGACACATGGTAAGGTGTGTTCGTAACGTAGGTGGTTAGATTTTGTTGCGAAGTAAGGCCTAGGAAGGTACAGAGGGGTTAGACATGAATGGGTTACCTAGCAGCTAGTACCCATGGGATGATAGGTCCCGTGAGCGGCGGGTATAGGGCCAGCGTGTATTTCCTTATGTTGTTTGCCTTTGCCAATCCTTATTACTGCTGCTGCTGCTGCAATGGTGGGTTGGGTAGGTGGGCTGGAGGGCTCCATGCAATTTGACCCATGGGTCAGTTGGTTGGGGTTTGGTGGTGGACAGGAAGCACACAGTTGCCTCGGTTGCTTTGTTTTATACCTTGCAACTGATTGAGGTATAGCGCAGGCGGTCTGCACATGTTTCTGTGAGCCCCCCATGTATGCATACAATGAATACAAGGGGAGCAGAGTGTAAGAAACACGCGGCAGGGACGCAAACATGCAGGAACGCAGGCCGTGCGCACTTCCTGATGAGAGACCATGGTGCCTTATTTCTTTTACCCATCGAGCCCTCTATATACTGTGTAATAAGCGCGTGCAGCAGGTTTTCGCTGCTAATAAACTCTCATATCCATCATACTAATGGAGTGTATATATCTTATGGATGGGGGACGGTATGTAATAAGGAGGAAGGAAATTCTTTGCTCATTAGTAAGTTGGGCAGGTATAGGAGAAGCGCTTAGGATGATAGATACCCAGCAGCGAGGCTTTGGACACTTTTGTTTTTGACGAGTGCTGTCTTAGATAGCACCGTGCATCCTGGTTTGGTAGCTCTCTGCATGGCCCTTGCCCGTGCCCTTGCGCTCCTTGCGGGCTTTGCTTTATGCCGTACTGTTGCCGTAGTCGCTATTCCATACAGCTGCTGCATCGAAGCAGAAAGAGAGGAGCGAGGACTTATGCACGCACATGCAAGAGTAAGTTCGCGTTATTGAGGAACTGACCCCTTATTGCGGGCTTTGCCGGTGGTGTTAAATGGAATGTGGTACGGCAATGAGGGTTGTTGGAGAGCAAGTAAACTGCATGCACGTGCATGTGGCGGCAACGACAAGCGAGCTCGCTGCTGCTGCTGGTGGTGTGTAGTGTTGGCGTTACAGTGGTCCTAGGGATATTGGTGAGATGTAAGCGCGTCTGAATGACAACGGGTACTGTCATTGGCGGTTGAAGCGGCATAAGCGCCGGCGTCATCAGGACCAGCATCAGCTGCAGGGGACTGTGATGAGGTGAACTGCGGTGGGGATGCATGCATGCACGTGCGCTGCTGAACTGCGGGAACTACACGAGTCTCGAGTACCTGCTGGTTAAAAGAGAATGGGGGGCTGCCTTGCCTTGCCGCGTAAGAATGGGCATTTCCACATGTATGTAACCCTGCCAAGCGCGTTGCAGGGATCAAGATCTCGCTAGCTCAATGAGCACACCGCTCCACCATGCATGGTGGGAAAGGTTGCCCAGTTCAGCAGCCCAACGCATTCCGCATCTCTGTGTGGCATGCAGTTCGTATGCGCTTGTGTGTATGTGTGTTAAGGAAACTGGCCGCGAGTGTGTTAGTGCACTACGACGCATAGCTGCGTACGGCACTTACCGTAATCCCGTACGGTGCAAGCGGCGAGACAAACATATGTCGTACTCTTTACACATTGGTGTGTCGCGGTTGCTCCGCGTGCCCAATCTTACTTTAACATCGCCCAAAACACTGCAACGAGCGACACATCATTGCTTGGATGGGCGTCAGGGCGCAAATGCCTATCAGCAGTTGCCCACAACCCAAGAACCGAAGTCAATCGAGAATCGACACGCCCTGTTTGTTTTTGTTCGTGGCTGGTATTACCTCGACACCTACGCGCCCCCATGGAGCTATCCTCGATAACCTCGATACCAGGCGTCGTTCACTGTCTAAGCGGCGGTGGCTTAAAGGACATTATCGGCTGCACATGCGAGCCACCAAGTCATGGAATGCCTAGCCAGCATTCCGCAGCAAAAGACCCTATTCCACAGCAAAAAGCCATAGTAGCCTGCCCATCTGCTCAAATTACCAATCCGCATTCCACGACTATGATGATGAAAGTAATTGTAACCAAACCGCTGTCAACAAGGCATAAGACCCTGCAGCTAAGACATTCGTCGTTAATAATCTCTGCTCAAGGTAAGCGGGCGGAAGGATGTCCACGTCGCAAACACAGCACGCTGGTGACCCACGGGTCTCACAGCGGCTACTGCCGTCATGCGCCGGAAACTCAGCAATAAATTCAAGCAAAGCATCAAGTCAACACACTAGCCGTCTGGAACCATCGCCGTGCCACTACTTTACCTCAAGGTGAAGAAGTAGCTTAACGGCAGTCTAAGAACGAAGAAGGCCAGAGACAGCCAGGTGACAAATTCAAGATGCACCGAGATACCCGCTTTCGATCGGCACCGTTCTAAAGCCCCAAACAATGCTGAAGCGCAGCAAAAGCAAGTTAATGACAAACTATTGATGGCTAGGTTACGGTGAACTGCTCTCAAAAAATCCACTAAGAAGGCAGCTCACTGCTAACACACGAGGCCCGAAGCAACAGCAGCGTCGTATGACGTTCCCGCTACAGCCACCATACCACACGTGTCAAGCAAGTTTCAACCCACAACACAACTCCAAAAACACGTCTCAAAACACGCAAATTTCGAAGCCACTTTCCTTGGTGACTTCAAACGACATACCTTCTGCAGCAACCGCTGACAAGGACAGCGGCGGCGGCATACGGCGCTATCTGTTGAATTCTCCATAACCTGCGATAACCTTTATGTAGCGTTCTTATTGTATTCTGCACTCATATCGTATTCTGCACTCATATCGTATTCTGCATTCATATCGTATTCTGCAGCAAATGCAACACCGACAGTTACCGGTGCACCGATCCCCATAACACGATCCAAAACAGCAGCAAAGCAGCAACCGCTTCGATTACCAATCGTGACCCCGCCCGCCAACATCTCAGATCATCAGTCGCTTCGCTCGGATATAGTTAGCCGCAAACGGCATATTATCAATAGAAGGCATGGGAGATATGGCTGCATGTTATAATAGCAACCGGATTAACCTAGCCAGGAGCATACAAAACCATATACGCATATACGACTTGCCATCTCGCAAAGTAAGGGCTAACATCTGGCTGGTCCCAACCATGCCATGATGATAGTAGCCCCGCTTCTGGCGAGTCCATCGCACGAATGAAAATAACAAGATTCTTCAGACATCTGTTTGCCAACCACGCATCTAACGGCAACGGCAGCAGATATGGCTATGACTGCTTTGCCTGCCTGCATCCCGTACTGCAACACACGCAACGTCATCAAGCACACGCCAGTTTTGTTTAGACACCCGCCTAAACCTACGCGGCACAGACGTGCTCAGGTTAATAAGCAGCAGAAGGTAACCATCGAGCATGCATTGCGTAAGTGAAATAAGCTGCCCG